GTATAGCATGGACTATATTGAAGCTGATAATTAATATTAAACACTATTATCATTTCAGGTACTTCTGTTAACAGTAAATAGGATTGCTTGGATAGACTTGATAGACCAGAATGCAATTCATTACCAATGTTCATGATATTAACCAAGTCCATTAAGGATACAATACCATTCCTCTTGTTATATATATGAGGAAAGCAAGTGACATGGCTACACACTGTGTACCAGCATTTAACCCAAACATTACTAAATTGTCTTGACTGTAAGGAGCTTGAATTGTTTTAGAAGAATTAATAACAGGACCAGGGTTTGTTTCTATATCCCCAGAAAGATTAGACTTAAAATAATTTACCCTATGATTCAGATTCTTATAAGCATTTGGTACTGAATTAGACCTCCATGCATTCAACTGCTTTGGCTTTGGACTTTATTAAATGTGGATATTGGTTTTGCATTTTCAGTATCCTGTATTTTCTAGACTTTCGATATTTTCTTCTGACTGCAGAAGAGGGATATTTCGTCGTTCCTTTATTCTCACATCTGATTCCATGTGCATATATTTTTTCACGAGCTTTATTTGTAAAAAGATACATTCAGGGAGACTTCAGTATGCTTTTTCTAATGTAGGTTCGAAGTAAACGTCTTATACTTTCCTGGATTTCTTCAAAATACGTGTAATTCTTTTCTTTGGTATTCTGCTGGGCTTACGATCACGAACACTAATACCACGCGTACTAGGGCGATTAAAATAAACAAATTTGTCGTATAGAGATCTACAGTTACAGACTGTATTTATTGAAAATGCTTCATCACTGCTATTATTAAGCTTATTACCATACAAAATAACAGATAACTGAGCAGCTTTCTCAAATACGTTACATTCATCGAAGCTATTCACGGCAGCTTTTGTTGAAGACATCAACAACTTTACGTAGAAATTAGCCCACAAGACAATTGCGTAAACAATAGATAACATAATTTTCCACGCATTTCCTTTTCTTTCTTTCACTTCTTCTTCACATACTAATATTTCCCAGCCTACGAGAGTCCTCAACGGGATTAATAACTTGGAAAAAGGCCTCATTTTTAACGAATAAGGGAAGGTACGTTTTTTCTTGGAGGGGGGAGGGCTGGGAAATTTTGGTATTTTTTCCAAAAGAAAGTGTTGGCCCTCCCTCATGTTTTGATTAAAAATCTCCTGACCCCCTCCCCACTTTTAGGTGACTGACAAAAGTGTGACCCTCCCCTCACTACCACATGGTATGCTCCATGCCATAGAAACCTCAGAACATTTTTCGACATTTTGCTTGTAAACGCAAAATGTTTGAATATGAATAAATCTCGATATTGAATATGTGCAGCTTAATGACTCAGGAGATCAGGCAGCGGATAGACAACAGCTGGAACAAGAAACCATACCCGAGTCAAGCACGTCATGATACGGACGGAAAAGGACACGAGTACTCCGAGAAAATTATGTGCCATGGAATAATATACATGTGGACACCCAGTAACCTTGTAAAACTACTACCTGCACCGAATTAAAAGAAACAAGTTGAAAAGAAAAAACTTAGTCTATTAAAGAAAAATGGAAAATAACATCACAAAAATCCTCATTAAAAATTCTGGAAAAGGTGTGACCCTCCCCTTGAATAGCTGAAAAAGAGGGTATGGCCCTCCCCCTTTGGTGCTCACTTTCACTGATGACCCTCCCCTCTGAGGCCCCGGCCCTCCCCCAAGAAAAAACGTACCTTCCCTAAAGGGGCTAAGTTTCCAAAGAAACTGTGATGCTGCGTTGGTGGGAGAGTATGACAGGTAAATTAGTGTTAACAACTCAGTTAAAAACGTAAATTGGTAGTCACCGTCAAGTTCTAAAGTTTTAAAGAATGATAGATCTAACTGCGTGGTTGTGAGGGTGAAATGTGAGATTGAATGAAAGGCAATAAGTGTTTTCCTTCTCAGCCGATTGTAGTGCCGAGTGTCAATTTGTTGGGCACGGGAGTGGCCCGCTTGAACGACAGAGACAGGATAGCCACGTTTATCGAAAAACTGGCTAGTGCCGAGTGTCAATTTGTTGGGCACGGTGGTGGCCCGCTTGAACGACAGAGACAGGATAGCCACGTTTATCGAAAAACTGGCACATTACCTCTGATTTTTCGGAAAAATCAGAGTCGTCACTACATAAACGACGAGGTCTAAGAAACTGTGAAAAAGGTATGGAATTCTTGATGAATACAACAAGTAGCTATGTGGATCTGTAGGTTTATAGTAAACACTAGCGCGTAAACCTTTTGCCTTCAATTGAAATTTCGATGTCTAGAAAAGCCAAAGAAGTGTCGGAAATTTCTTAGGTATATTTAAGAGCCGGGTGAAAGGAATTGACGGCGGTTGTAAATTGAGTGAGCTCCTCCCTGGTAAAGGAGGTAGCGCCGATGCAGTCGTTGATGTAACGGCCGTAGAGTTCATGTTTGGAGCCGTGGTATTGACTAAAAAATTGGTGTTCGATAAAACCTACGAAATTGGCGTAGCTGGGTCCCATTTTTGTGCCCATGGCTACGCCACTAGTTTGTTTGTAGTAGTTACCACCGAATGAAAAGCAATTGAGAGTAAGCACTACTTCAGCTTGACGGAGTTGTGTTTTAGAGCTAGGTTCCTTAACAGTGCATTGATCGTAAAAATGTTTGAGGGCCCGGAGACCTTCGTCATTGGGAATGACAGTAGAAAGAGATGTAATATTCCTATTGAAGATAAGTTTGTTTTGGCCAAGGAAATGAAAGTCACGAAAAATTTCAAGTGCGTGTTGGCTGTCCTTAAAGTAAGATAGTAAAGTTTTGACGATAGGTGCTAGTGAGATTACTCCGCCTAGCCGAACTAGTACTTACACTCAATTGCACTGCATTTACTCTCACATTTCGCCCTCACAACCACGCAGTTAAATCTATCATTCTTTAAAACTTTAAATTACTCCAAAACGATTCAGAGACTGGTACTATCTTTCGCAACTACCATTTCTTTCATTCAAACATGACTAAAATATGGGCAACTTTTTGGTCAGAATTTCATTTCAAACCAATGACCAAACTGGAACTCTCAAATGCGCTCGCTCACGATGCAAAACTTGTCCTTTCATTCATAACGTAGAGAAAATGTCGGGACCCAAGAGATCCATTAAGATCACTGATCACTTTACGTGCACCTCCGCCAATGTCATTTACTGCATAACTTGTACTTATTGTAAAAAGTTATACATTGGTGAAACAGGAAGACGACTAGGTGACCGATTCCAAGAACACCTTCGCGACATAGAAAGAAATGGCAAGGACGCATCCAAACCAGTCGTTTTAAACAGCATATGACAGTTTGCGGCCTTTCCTTAAATGTAGGCAGTTCAGAAAGTCGCAAAACACTGGAACAAAAATTTATCTTCCAAATCGGCACTCTTAATCCCCACGGTATCAACAAGCGCTTTTCATTCAACTAATTTATTCTTGTTTTCTCGTCACATAAACCCACACACAACCCACAATTCCTCCAATCGCTCTGACGAAGGGCAAAAGCTCGAAACGTCAACGTGTAAACACTTTACGGTGGCCAATTTACGTTTTCAACTCAGTTGTTAAGACTAAGCCACTCATTTTTAATGTCTTTGGATACAAGATAAGAAAGAGAGATGGAGAATAATTATTAAAGTCAACGCCGCAGTCCACGAGTCCGTGAATAGGGCTCAGAGACTAGAGGAGCATCAGTAATGAGCTCCTGGACGATCACGAAAGAAAACACTGCAAACGCAATTTTCTACTGCATCTGGATCAGTAGATTGCCTCTCCAGAGAAGACCAGCAAACGAGCGGGACCACTCTGCAAACACGGCGGGGCTCTGAGAAGAATCTTTTCGCTCGCATCTCCAGAAACTGAAGGCCGTCGGAAGAAGCTTCTAGATTTAATACGGTTTAATAGAATGCAATTGAACGTCATAAAGACTGATGGAAATTTTGGCGCGGGTCAACATATCGAGTACGAGTACACCTCTCGCTCATTTTCGTTGTAATTAAAGAAAGCCAACAACGTTAATGCCAAAATTATTGCAACAATGTTTACGAAACTCTCGAATAGGCATCCTAATAATTCAATCAAGCCTCCACATATGACCCAATATTTGTTCGCCCAGTTCAATTAAACGTCGAATAACAGTTTAAGTCGCCTAGGCAATGCGAGCAATTTGCAGATTAAGAGGCCTCCACTAACCGCAAAGCGAATTTAAGCCTTGGTATTGTAACCGCCAATTAGCCGAGCTATTTAGAGAATGTTTTAAAATTAAACTGGAGATAACAAAATTACTTTGTCCAAGAAATGACGAAGAAGTGCCAAAGATCTTACATAGTCGATTAAGATCGTGTACAACTTAATAATACGATGTAAATGATACAAAACGCATTTATGATAAACACCTCTCTCTTTTGTACAGTACTTCTTTAGTGTACATAGTGTTCAAATAAAAGGTTCCTCAGTTCAAAACCGCAAGTCTTTGTATCAACAATAAATTTAAGCGCCCAAGCGATTTCTTTGTGTTTAATTTTCGGAAGTGTTCTTCATATATTGATCAGAAAGGTGCAAGAGGTTAAGGTTAAAAATGTGCTTTTTCAGAGAAAATGCCGTATTCTGATCACGTATGCACTAAAATGCAAAATTTTGAAGAAGTTCGAAACTCGATAGCAAGTTTTCTTTTGTTTTGATGACAGACGTTCGGAATATAAGTGGACATTTGACCCCTAGGCTATTAGTATGAATGAAATATGTAAATACCCTAACACATTTTTGTTTACATGTTTGACAGAAAACTTTGTGTATAATTATTCCAGAAGAGTCGATCGAATCCTAGATACAACCTTTTAAAAGAACAGATGTTCCGACTGGCGCCTAATAGGCGTCCTATTTAAAACTGAGTTGAATTTCAGCGAAAATACTTGAAGGAGAAATTCAGTTCGAAGCTTTTATTGCACGACACCTCCTAGAGTACATATTGATTTAACACACAGATAAGTGACCGCACCACGGCACGCTGAGTGCTGCAAAAAATATATATATCAGCATCCCGCCTCGGTTGTGTTCATACCTTTGACGCAATACCGCTGCGTCAGGTTAAAGCGAAAACAGCGTCGTCTTATATCGCGTCGCATGTCACGGGTTGCCGCTTGAATTTGAGTCTCCACGTCACAGGATTGTCGAGTCCTTGCGCCGATTCAAAAGATTCAATCTTGCTAGAGAAGGTACACATCAAAGAGAAGCGGCCATCGAGGAAACGTGGCGTGAATAGAACAGTGGCGTGTGTCATGCATGGAGAAACAGACGACGGCGAAGCATAAACATTATAACACATTCTTATGTGATTAGACGCCCTCACAGGGTCTTGGCATGTCACGTTAGCATTGAACTGCAATATTTACAAAGAAAATTCACATTTCACTGTGACCTGTACCTGTTTTAGAATTGAAGAATAACATCGATATCAAAGCAAAACAAAGAATAACTTGATCGCACACAATTCGTGATTGGTAATAACTGAAATATTGGCCCTCTCCGAGTGACGTTGCGCTCCTATATAAGCGATCACTTTCTGTCGGCGGACAGTTATAACAAAGAGGAAAGAGTGATCTTGCTTTCAACACTCAAAGGAGCTAAAATGGGTTTCGACATTGAAAGGTTTACCGGAAAAGTCAACGAAGGGCTTCTGTGTTCCATTTGCCGCGACGTTCTGGAAGAACCATTACAAGCCCCGTGCGAGCATGCGTTTTGTTCGACTTGTATTCACGCGTGGCTCACACATTATAACACTTGCCCAGAAGACCGTTTACCGCTATGGCCGAGCGACTTGAAGCCGATTTTCAGGTACATGAAAAATGATTTGGATGCGCTGAAAATAAGATGCGACAACGAAGTGCGAGGTTGTAAGGCTTTGGTGCGTTTAGATGCGCTTAAAACGCATTCGAAGGAGGAGTGTGGTTTTGTTTTGGTTCGGTGTCCAAACGATGGTTGTAACGAGGAACTCACTAGACGCGATTTGGAGGCGCACTCTAAGACGTGCAAATTTCAGTCGGCCGAATGCAGTAAAGGATGTGGCCTAAAAGTGAGCAAAAGTGAAGAATCCGGACACAACTGTATAGCAGAATTGCGTAAAGCCTTGGCTAAACAACAGCAGGAAAGCGACGCTAAGGTTCGTGAGCTTAAAAAGGAGATGGAGACGCGACTTGATTCACATCGCGTTCACATGGTGTACAAGGAAGCCACGCTTCAAAATCAAATCGAGGATTTGAAATCTCAAGTGGCGGAGCTGATCCGTGAGACCAAATCGCTGAAAGCGCAAAAGAGAGAAGAGCTTCACAGTGAGGATCCCGAAAGGAAAGAGATCCTGGAATGGTTAAGAAGCTTGAAATATCAAGACGAAATTGCGGAGCGATATTGCAGCAGTTGTAACAAGCGGTATCTCTATGTAAGGAAGGATGCAATACACTGCTTGAATGATCAGGTATAATTCCTTGAATTTTAATGTTATGTTTTTTAAAACTTGTGATCTCAGCCGTAGAAAATCTTAGTATTCAATTCAATTTGCGACATAACAGACAAAAGAACTTCGTAAATAAAAAAAGGTTTTTCCATATTTTATGCCCATGGCATGATATTCTCTATGCGGTTTAAGTATTTTGTTCACACTGACAATTCTAAACAATGATATTGACGTTTTTTCTTACTAACTCTGTAGTTTTCCGTTTGCGTGACCTTTCGGTTATTTGGGTGTAGATGAGTCACGAACCGAAATCGTTTCCATACGGAAAAAAAAAAAGAAAAAAAAAAAAAGATTAACAACGAGATACAAGAAACAGTTCTTGGTTTTGCAACCTTCGAATATAAATCGAAAACTGTTCCCGCAAAGTTAATTTTTTAGGTTTTTCCACTTCATAATTCTTTTAATTCTTACGTTATTAACCCTTAAGCTCCCAGACCAAATTTGTAATTCTCCTTACTGTCAACCATACAATTCTTGAAATGTTAGTTCAGAGAATTTAGTACTAGATTAAGTAGTTTTACCCAAATTAATAGTTTTCTTTATTCTCATCACTTGTCTGGTTGACATAATATTGATATTGTAAGGAGAAATTCCGTCTTAGTCACTCATGGGAGTTAAAGGGTTAACAACGATTTTGAAACATGCTATCAAGGATGCAACTCCATAATAAGCAAAAAACTTCATGCCCTCTTTTATTTGAATGGCGCTCAATCTAAAAAGCAAGTGGCGCGTGATTTCCTTTTGCCAGTTATAAGTTCAAATTGACTAGGAGCAAAAATTATTGTGGTTAAAGAATTTTTTAACTTACGTTAAATATTTGAAGTATGAATTTTTGGGAGGATTGCAATAATCTAGATATGTGGCGCCGTCAGGTAATCAAGACCTTGCCAACATTAGCGGAAGATAGTTCAAAACTACACGGGTGGTGTTGCGAACAATAGAATTTCGACATGCACTATTCCGCGCACAATACCGGGTACTCAGAAACTCGTTATGGTGAAATTTAGGCCCACTGTTAGTAACGTTTTCATACTTATTTCACTAGAAAATTTCGTGCCATATGATAGGGGTGTTAAAAGCCCGTGAAAAGGTTATCCGTTTACGCAGTCTTTCACACCCTTTAAACAATAGTTCTTGACGCTTGCACTCGAAAAACTTGCACCCAACAACAGTTTACGCGTCCTCATCCAGACTTCGAACGCGGCTCGGACGCGTTAACCGATCCGTCGCATCTTATACTCAGAGACGGATTGTTTTCAACCTTCCAGGTTAACCTGAGCCGCTCGTCCTCAACTGAGGAAGACGCCATTCTCAGCCACATCCGAAGCTCCCGCGGGACAAAGCCTCGAAGTTGGTGTCCAAGTCCCGTAGGTGCGGGTCAAGCCGCGGTATTACCTCGCTCTCAAAGCGAGGAGTCCTCGTTGAACAGAGCCGTTTTGGAATCATGGCGTCGAACGCCAGATGTTTCCACTTCACCATGTACAAACTGAAACGCTTCCAAGAACAAAGAACTCCAGATGAAGAGGAAAACTTAGATTTCTATTTACCATCATAAAGAATTAATGTTTCCTGCTTTAACTTAAAGTTTGTGTTGGAGATAAAGAGGATATTCGCTTTTCAGAGACAGTTTCCATATATTAAATATCGTACTTCTAAAAGAAAAATTAAACCCCTAATACACACACTTGAATTTTCACTCTAAGACAACGTTAATATTAGATCCTGCAACGTGTCCTAAATGCCTTTGTCCCGAGTATTTTTACCAGCACAAGCGGTTCTTGTGAAACTAGCAAAGAGGAGCTACAGATGTCCAAGGCTTTGGTGTAGTTCGAAAGTTACACATTTAACGCAAAAAGGAGAGAAAGATATTATCTTAAATACTACTTAAAAGTATGGCACAGCCTCCTCAACGACTTCGCTTAAAACTCTCCAGCCAAGATAAATATGGACACTAGTATCAAGTTTCGAAAATTTAATGTAAAATTGGAACGAACGTTGATGGTACAAACAAATCTAATGGTTTCCTAGGTCTATTTAATCTAACTTAAATGGTTTTGTAATGCCACAATCTCTACGATAAGCTTAACTTTAACATCAACTGAAATATCAGCAGAATAAAAGTTAATTTAAGTATGTGCGTGGATCGTTCTTTCTGGAGACTGAATTCATCGTGTAAATGATCTCATATGTCTGCCTGGATAACCTCGCCCAGCCCCAGGCCGATAACCTCCAACATTTGGCGGGGGCATGAACCTAGAAGGAATGAGAGGGAGTGTTCAACACAAAACTGACTAAGAAAAACACTGAAAACTGCTGACATATCATTCATTGTGAGAGCTTAAGTAAAAGAAAGAACGGCAACATACAACGATAGTTATATAAGAAAAACATAATTTTTTTGCGATTTATTTCTGGTGTAACAGCTTCCAACTGGCCAACGTGCTAATCTAATGATCAAACAAGCAAACCAACAGACACACCAGACACAGATAGATAAACAAGCAGGTCCACAAATGGACCGACACAGAGAGAAACCAGACATAGGAATGAACGAAAAACTGAAGGAGAGTCTCACCGCGAGTCATCTTTAGACTTGGGCGCATCCCAGTAACCTCGCATCTGTGGTCGATTATAGTTATTTCTCATCCCTCCTCCACCACCTGAGAACAAAGCCCACACCAACTTTCAATACAAATATTATTCACTTTCCTTATCGATCTACTAAGTTTTTCAGCTAGAGAACAAGGTATTAATAAAGAAAAAAAGTTAAAGAGTCAGCAAACTCTCAGTTACCTCTATACGGCTGAGGAGTTTGCGATCCCCAATCCGGTCTGAAAAACGAAGAATAATAACAGTCCAACGTGTCAAGGACCACACAGAGAAAGACTGACAAACGAACAAAATCAGCTAGGACTTCGTGCCGTGCACTAGAAGAAACATAAGCGCAGATCTGCCCGGAATTAACCTGAATATCAACCCCGGGGTCACTCAAAATTGAAAACGACATAGGATAAAGTAATTTATAATTAAAGAGAGGTTATCTCCCCTTCCTGAAAATAAGAGGTTCGGCGCGCTGTCACGCAATGTTCTCGCCAGAATATAAAAGACATGTGACGAGACCCTACGACATTCTGTTGAATTCAGGAAAACGCTTCATCGAGAAGGCTTAACTCAGGGCTCCTATCAATCAGTCGATCGATTACTTGATACAGGGATGACATTCTCTCCATGACTGAGTCAGAGGCTCGTGCGCAAAAAGTGTGACTAAAAGTAAAATCAAACCTACCCATCTAGTCAAGGGCTACAAACGAAAAAAGGGCCCCTTGAACCGCTGTATCTGTTGTTGAAGGGACATTTCTACTCAGGGAGCAATTTTTCTACTCCCCACGGCGTCCCCTACATTGAGGTTCCTCTTTTACGATTACCACTGGCAGTTATCTTACCCTCTCTGGAAATTCCTTTGTCCCGGAAAGGCGATAGGGTGCTGTCGTGGGTTTCCCCAGTCAGGTCCTGCCCCGCGCATTCCTCCTTGAGTCACCATGCCAGGACCTTCAAGAAATCAAACCATATTCATAAGAAGGAGATACAAGAAAACACCTTCCACTGTAAATAACATCGGAAAGCAAAGTTGATGTTTAGAAGGCACCTTTTCGAAGTGGTCCCCCCGGCATAGCCGCCCAACGGCCCTGATTTCCCATGAAGTTGCCTGGGCCATGGTCCATCGATCTACCTGGCGGAGGACCCTGAAAACCACGCAAAAAAAAAATGTTAAGCAGCTTAATATAGCACGATAAACAGAAATATGTTAGTAAGCTTAACTACCTCCAAACGTTAAATTATTCTTTCATCCACCTATGAGGTCTTTCATTATCTTATGACGCGCGCGAGACAAAGATTCTAGCATTAACTTGTATATCGTACCTTGGGACCAGTCCTTCGCATCGGAGGCGGCGAGTCCTGGGTCTTGGCATTTTCCATTGCCATGAAGTCATCCACGTGCATGGAGGGCGGACGGCTCGTATTTTGCTTGCGTGATCGGAACAGGTCATTCATGCGAGGGTTGCCTCGACCCCGTGGCATACCCCTCGTGCCTCGACCACCGCCTCGCATTGGCGCCGAAGGAGCTACCATAGGTGAGAGAGCAAACGAGAAAAATAGGAACGATGGAAGAATTATTGGAGTTTGCAAAAATGGTTAAGAATGCAAACGAGACCGTCTGACTCGCAAATCTGTTAGAGCTTATCTTGGTCTCTGTATCCATAAGCGACTAAAACTATTGCCATTCCTCTGAATGGGATGTCAGTCCGTCGTAAATTACGTCCTGATTTTCGTAGCAAGTACACTTAAACACCTGTTAGATGGAGGGAAGCGCAGCGGGAATACAGCATAATGATCCTGCTCTGATCCAGAGTCTACCTTAACACCACGCGTCAACAGCTTAGGAAGTTTAAGTAAAAACTGAATATATGCTGGGAGAAGCTCGACAGATTTCCCAAAAGTATTCACTGAATATTTCTGTTTTGCAAAGTGAAGCGTTTAGTACTTAAGCCTTATCCACACCTGTCCTGGCTTTCTTATTATCCTTTCGCTGACCAGATATCAAGGGATCGTACTTTCTCTTGTTTCTAGGACAAAAATAACAAAGGATCAGTTGACTTATTCACCGATCATCACGTTAACAGATCCCAAGATCTTTTTTAGTTGCAAAAGAAGGAGCTTTACCTGTGAGCTTTCTTGCGCGTCGGGGAGCCTGGGGGAGAAGGTACTAGTCCTTTTTCTAACTCGGTCTTGAGATCAAAGTCCGGAGAGAACTTCTCTGTCAGAGAATCAACACCGATTTTTATCTGTGAATTTAAAAGCGTTCCACATGAGAACATTTTTTTTGAAAACAAACAAAAAGATAAGCATGCAGTTACATACAAATAAATTTTGGAAAACCCCCGTTTTGACGAACTTAAAACTTGTACAGATTTTCAAGCCAAGCTCCACCGCATTCTTGAATTGAACTCAATACACACATGATAGTACTTCAAAGTATTACGTCACAGTGAGAGCAGGAAAAAGCCTTACCAAGTCAACTTCAGGATCGATATCGTCTGGGAGAGGGGTAGAGTACCAGAGCGTTGGACTGACCCCACCATCCTCAACTTCACCGGAAACGAAGGCCAATCTGTTGACAAACAGCGTCTGAAGCGGAAGTGGACTTGGGAGCTGTGGTTCAGTGACCTCCTCTGTGAATAACAAAAGCCTTACATCAGATGCAACAATACCCGTCCATTCTAAACCTCTTTTACCCCGCAATGCACATTTTGGCTTTTCTCGGTTATTGTCTTTTGTTTGTTTGGTTTTTTTTTCCCAACCCTTTTCACATTTTTGGCTGTTGCTATGGCATTTGCGTAATTAGCATGGCCAAAAAGTCAGTGTTCCTTTAACTTATACCTTTTACGAGTATAAATAGGCAAACATATTTACCGAGACTTCAAGTTACTTTACTTTTTGTACACTTAGCTATGTTTATAAGACACATAGTATTACCTGCTTCTTTTTCAGTCTCGCCTTCTGTTTTACGCAGCATAACTGTCAAAACACGAACTGCATCTAATAATGGCTCCAGAGCCTCGTCTTCTTTGCAGCTTTCCTACAACAACAAAATGGCTTGTTTACATGTCTACCATGTTTGAAGTCTTAACGCGTTAAGCATCTGATTTAGGATCTTCCTCCTTTTCCATTTCCTCTACACCACTTTGTTTTGTTTGTATTCCTGAACTATTTTCATTACAACTAAAGCCTCTTTGAAAATTTAATTAAATTTTCGTCTCATTTGCAAATTATGTTGAACTTTTCAATTCTGAACTATCCTCGTTTCTTCTACAGCGATACTTATTTTTTTCACTTTTTTGAAGATTTCTCCTCTTTACACCCTAACATCAGAATCTATATTTTCCATGCTGTCCTTTACGCATTTCATACAGTACTGAACACAAAACCTTGTTAACAAACAAGAACTTCTTTCGTTGGTGATCATCTCTTTTATTCTCATAACCTTTACGTTTGATTCAAAGGTGATAAAGTAAGAAGACATTAGATGCTGATCACTCTTAGGAGTTTAAGCTAACGACTAAATTTCAATCGATTCTGTCCAACAGCTCTTTTTTAAAAGTAACAACCAAAGCTCGAAAACCAAAACAAAGAAAGATCCAATAAACCTCGAGTCGTTTTTCCAATGTTCTAAGTGGGCCGTCCTCTGCAGCGCTGTCAAATTTAAGGAAGCTTCTCATCTGAGCCGCGCTGATGCTGATCTCAGTGGTTAGCTTCAATGGTTCGCCCTCCATGGCATCGTCCTCCTGTTCCTGAATTATACCGGCTGTATCCTCTGGTAGTAACAGCTGCAGCAGCTCAATGGTCGTCGACAGCGTGGACAGGTGATCCGGGCCTGGAATGCTATTCCTGGACAATCAAAGGCAGTGTAATTTCAAAATCATTTCAAAAACTTATAGACCCTAATGGCGCTAAATCCCAGTTTGTGTGTCTTGAAAAACACAATTTTTACAATGCGTGTAAATCTTTTTCATTCTTCACCATTGTCATTCTCTTTTAGTCCATGCATATCTCTTGATGTTTTTTGGACACTAGCACACCATTATATAAGGTTTTCTTTTAGTTAGGAGCCACTTCCTGTGTCAATATATATGAGGTATCCAATTTCTTTCCTATCTTGTCTGTCTATTACTTTAAGTGTTTATGTGTACTTCAGATTTTATAGCAACGTATATTTAATACATTTACTCCTACAGCCTAGGTGTCTGACAAAAAATAAACGGAGCTATGTTTTTCCTCGTCCGTTTCTGACCAAGCTACCTCCGACCTTGTTTTGGACAGCGACTGGAGTGATCAGCTTATAAATTCTTCCTACGTTTTTCCTATACTCTGTCAAAATGCACTTATTGAGACTTTAGACCATAATCACATAGAGGATTTTGCTCTGCTTAGACACCAAACTCCTAGAACTAAACAACAAAGAATTGTAGGCCACTGAATCGGAGAATTAGTTCATAGATACTGTGGGTAAAGTGTGAAAGACAACATCAATATAACTTACTCAAAAGACGACGACAGCCTTTTCAGAAGGCGATAAAACACTTCGCTATTGTTCTCCAGAGCTCTGAAACGACACAAACAAGGAAATAAAGCTTACTCGTATGGGCAACAATCTAAACCATAAACCTATTTAAGCCCACGACTCGCCAAAGTTGTGAGCTAAGATTAAATGTCAATGCTAAGACAAGTTCAGGTACCTTTTCTGGTGGTAGACACCATAGTTATGTTCGGTAAGAGTCAGCAGGGTCCTCAGAGCGAGCAAAATCGTAGCAAATGACTGCTGCTCGGATCCCATGTGCTCCAGTAACGCAGCACAAATCACTTCCAGCATCTCCTTGTCCGGCAAAGTATTAGCCAGCTAGATAAAGAACATCTCATGAAAAATGTGGCTAGAGAAGTTATGGTAACGTAGCTTTATAAATGGAATAAACTTTTATGCTAAAAGGACAGTACTCATTTCATTGACAGAAAAACAACAAACAATATCAAAAAGAAAACTACAAAACAAGCAAACAAAAACAACAATAACACAAAACTTACATGTTGGTCGGTAAAAGGAGTTTCGAAAGGCATCAGGCTAACCGTGGGGTCACACAAGGACTGGACAATCGACTGGCAAAAAAAGCACAAATAAAGTTTTTGAAGAACAGGCTGTAGAAAAACAAGAGACTCACAAACAAAATCTGACTAGTTGTGTGGCCTCAAAAATACAGTCGTTGCAAAAAGCGCAGGTGATATACTAATGATACCCAAACATGCGCGTGAATAATCTACATCAGAGAAAGATCTGAACTCTTAAAATTTGCGCAACGTTCCAGCGACATGAGCGGGATGATACAATCGTCACAGACGCGGAAGATCAAGCGGCAAATAAGCGCGGGAAATAAGTAATAAGCGAAACTAACTGAAAAACCTCGGGTTTTGTAAAACTACAACAAAATCAATCAAAGCAAAACGAACGTAAAAACATAATTTCCTCTCTAAATGCACCTGAAAGTGGTGAAAAACTCGATTACATTAAAAATTGATGAATGTTTCTGTCATAAGGGCAATGAAATTGTTTCATAAAACTGGAGGTGTTTTAGTGGTAAAAAAGGACGGTGTTTACTTCCAAAAGGAGCAGTTCGAAGTACATCAAGCTCTTCCAAAATCTGTAAAGTAGTCATTATAAATGATTTACATACCACGACACAGTACTGTGATCTAGACACCGTTTGATTTTCAGACGACCCTTTCAAACAAGACAACATGGACGGCAAAAGACTGGGGAACAACAGGTCATCGTTCTTGGCATTGCCACTGTGAATAGAACGTGAAACAATCATTTCTTTTATATCCCAACTTAAGAAATGTTGGTTTTAAAACCTTCATCAATTATAACAACGCCGTATAGAATCTGTTTCAATCACAGTGTGTTCTTAAACAATTAAGTATAGTACTACGTAGTTCCACTGTCTTAGAAAGCTTTGGAAGTTAAATAGTGTAATGAAGCATTATTTGAAACGTGAATTATCCACCTTCTGCTCGCCCTGAATCTTCAAACTGTTACTGTGAATCGTGCAATAGCCATTTCACAATATTTGAACAGTCAAGGCGGTTTGGGTGTAAAGATAGCTTCCCTCGCGACCTTGGCGTCGTTCAGCCATCAGAAAATATCCGACCCATTCTGCTCATTATGTCTCAAGATTGAATTAAAGGATAACTTTTCAGTTACGTTTGATAGATATCCTTTGTATGCTATCAACTAGTATACCTAACTCGGTATTAGGATTTCACGTGGAAATTACGCCCAGCTCACCGACCTGGTTTTCAAAAGTTGAAGCAGCGACACTTTGACAGCTGGCTGTGACGAAAGGTAAGCTAACAATGTCATAATACGCACACCTCCCGGGGAACAACTGAAAAGGAAATTGGAGCAACACTCAAATTCACAATCATATCGGTAAACAGTCAATATACAGGCTAATTTTGTTCGTAGACAAGTCACACTTTCTTTCGCTCTAACCATCGGTCAAACTTTCCGTTGGAATTTTGTTTAGAAAAGTGCCATGATTAATGACAATTAAATGGAATACAGCATAATTTCATCAACGAATGATAAGCAAGTAAAGAAATGATCCTCACGCGTGAGCAAAAATTAAAGATATTGCAAAAAAAGAAGCTTGAAAAGATTCAAGCTTCGACGAAATTGGAGCTCAGGCCTCCTGAATAACAGTTGGGCTCTACCACCAACTGAAGTTTCCGCATTCCTTCCCGTTTATCGAGAGCCGTTCATTTCAGAACTGCTTGTAAACCGATATAAATAGAAAGTTTAAGTCGAGTTGAGTGAGTCGAGGCGCGTGAAAAGTTTCCAGGGTTGCAACAAATATTGGGCATCATTACTGCTCAATGCTGCAATCATGCGCACTCGATTGGCCTGCATAGGAGCGTGAAAACTTTCATGTTCTACTAAAATGACGGGACCGGTTCGGCCAAAACTAGCTCAGATAGTTTTCATTCCATTCACGGGAAAAACGGTCCGACCGGTGAGTTGCGATACACGGCACTGAAGAGGTCATAGTTTTGTAGCTTTTGTTGCCAAGAGTTTCTTACCTATTGTCGTCTCCACTTGCTTTGCTCATCTCGCTGTCCAGTGTCTCCAGAAGTGTTCTGATTAAACAAAATAAATGCACAGTTATGAATTCTTCGCAACTCGAACAAGCGATTGTTTTATCTCCTTTCACAGTCCGATTGAGCTTAATGGGTTGATAAATTTGCCTTATTTGCTCTTTATTACATTAGAGTGTTGAATATAACTCTGTTTTTCTTCTGATGGAGAACTGTTGACCTAAATTGACTTGTTGAAACGCAAAGAAGCACTTATTGAAAGGGGAAAATATGCAAGGGGGCAAACTTCTCACGGCAAAGGGAATAAGGCTATAAAATCCACTAACTTCTGACGCTAATACTATTCCAAAGCCAAATACGTTAGGAGGCTGCGTAGAGATAGTTACACTTTTCCAGTTTGCCATTCGAAATCCGTCTAAATCTACGCCATCCTAAAAAGTCTTTGTTCCCTCCTATATTATTATAGTCTCTTCCGTGTTTTTCTATCTCATCGACCTAACATCTTAAAGTCTCTTTACAACTAAAAGTAGTTTTGTACAGTGAAAAAAATGAGCCACAGTAATCACCTGACGATATTGAAGGCTGTGGGTGCAGAGAGGTCTGACAGCTGTGAACAAACTCTTCTCAGTACTTGCTGAAGATTGTGACATGCTGATCCTACAAGTTACAAGAAACAGAGGCTTTAGAAACCTCAAAGATGCTAGTTTTTAACGAAGTTTCGTAAGCATTTTAAAAGCAAAAATGTTTTACACAAGGTTATGAGTCAAAACACATGGCTTGATCCATAAAAACCACGACGCATTTCACATAAAAAGCAACCACAACGTAATGCTTAAACACAGTAGTGGGAATCGAGGATTTTCCCAAAGATTGGATGTTGACCGACCCCGCGTTTAAGAAGATGAAGCCATGATAATTAACGTAAATTTCATCTATCTTGAAAAAATCTTACTCGGCGATTTCACATTCAAAGAAGCTTAGAAAACTCCGGACTCCTTCCCTTTTTTTTTAAAGTCTACCTTTGTTTTCCAGGTATTGAAAGTTTGCCTAACCCTGCCTCTGTCAGTGAGGACTCTTAGATGTAACTATTCAAAAATTACATCGCGCCCAGGTTCCTACCGGCCAGATCCTTGAGTATTCCTTGCAGCTCTGTGCTGAGTGGATTGAGGTGCGCACTCCACAGCCGGCGATGATTCATCACCAGATTCGCTTCTTCCTGAGGCATTTCCTTCAAATGAAAAAAAGAAGAAAACAAAAAAGTGAACCAAGTCAACAGACCGCTAAATAAAAGAAATCTGTAGGAATTAGATTGTATACGAGTCAACGGGGTTTCCCGCTAAAACGGATCACAACTTGACAGCAGCCGTCTATTTCCCGCCAATTTGGCGCGCCCGTCACCTATCCCAATCATCATCACAAAAAAATACCGCACCCGTCACGTTCTTAAATACTTCCGCCATCATATATCATGTTCTTCGGAACCTTCAGTTTATTGCCGTTGTTGAAACAACACGCAGAGTCACACTCCATTCACTACCCCTCTAAAGATCAGTTTGAATTTAAAATTCCAAAATTCTACACTGAATACTTAGTTAAGTCACTGTGTAAATTACCCACCTCCAGCGAGCGAATTGGTAAAGGTATTGGTAACAGTTCTGACAGCAGAACAAGTCCTCCTAGGAAAGCCTTCGAAACAAATGAATGTCAAGAATAACCAATCAAATTAAAACGTAAAAGTAAAGTGTACAAAATCTATCTCAGAGGAGAAGACGTTAGGTAAATTAAATCATATGTGATAAATTTTGGCCACAATGAACGTGTCATGCAAAATTGGCGAAGAATTTGTCAGCTAATCTGTTTCTTTTAAAACTGTGGCAACACCTACAGTAAAGGCCAAGCTAGTTAATCCCAGAGTCTGACAGATTACATTTTAAAGATTCTTTCGTCTAACTGACATACAAAATAAAGATAGTGAACAAAATACGAATCGAGCGTCTTACATGAATGAGAAGTCGGATGGGTAAAGGGCATCATTTCTGAGAAATCTAACTTGTCGAATCAGCATCATATTTTTTTTATCTTTTGCTTTAAGATATACTTACTTGGGGAGCAGATGTTGTGTATTCAAGAAGTTCTTTTAACATAAGCGACCAAATGCTTTCATTTATTGCTATGGAAGAAAAACAAACCGGCAACAAGTCAAACAATACTACAACTAAAAACATGACCACAAATAGACAAACAGAGACTTATCAATGATTGAAAGCTGACATAATCAAGCGCTATCAAAATGTGTAAAGCGCTCGTTGTAGCGGGGTTTGATACAAACAGAAACCCACAGGCAGCGAAGATTTGGGACTAATCTATAGACTGAGCATGTGCAAGACTGTTTGCAGCTGATTATTATCATCTATTTTGACACGCTAGTCTTTGAATGTGGCTAGTGTTTCACCAACTACCTCTTTCTTTGAAACTGGATGGTGTCTTCAGGTAAGTCACGGCCTCTGTGCAGCGATAACTCACTGAGACAGGTGCCTTTTCTATTGGACTACAAGGATGTCATGTTTATTTCCCAATTCAGTTTTTTTTGGTCTTCTAACTCTGGTTAGTTCCAGCATTTGTTCTCTGCTTCCCCTTTGCCTCTCGACAAGTTAATATAGCAATAAATATTTTGAATACAATACTCAGTTCGCTTACCTTCTTCATGGTCAGATGATTGTACGACTGGCCTCGTAAATGTCATGAATACATCAACAATTTCACTTTGGACCTTTTAGCAAAAAAGGAGGGAGTCAAATCGCAGAAAATTAGCCACAGTGTCTGTAAACTACCCGCTATCATCCTTCGTCAGGACAAACAACAGCATCTATTAATGCAAAATTCACTACAGAGAATTGACCAGTCATGATAAGTGAAATCCGTAACGATCAATATTCAACAGAGGTTGATAGATACACTTTCAGCGACAATGATACAAATATGGACAACGTACAAACAGTTCAAATTAACTGCTCTCCCACTAATTCGAAAAGAAACATAAAAATCTGGCAGATAAAGAAGACATTCCAGCTTTACCTCTCGTTGTCCTTCTTACCAAAAGTGGAACACTGCCCTTCCCGTAACTTCTCTAGCCGATTCCAATTCTACTAAACTGGATTCTAGTATACTCACGACCAAACGACTCTGCAAGTGTTCTTGAAACAGCGTCATTTTGGCTGAGACATGAGTCAGCGGTCGTCATTTACCGATACTTTTTGCAAAGATGTCATAATGGCGGAAAACAGAATATTAGAGGTATTTTTTCCTCACTTTCCCAGTTTACCCTTGTAAAACTGCACTAACTAATACTGTAAGACTTCGCTCTGAAGATGGGCTAACGCTAAAAACCACGGTCAGCTTTGAAACTCTTAACGGTAGCCAATTCACGTTATCAACTCAGTTAATAATACCAAATTACCGTCCAAAAGGAAAGACGACTACAGTTACGGTACATCAGAATGTTAAAGACTCTTAATTCATCCTCACCTTATGAGCAAGACTACTAAGTTGTCCTGTCATTGGAGCTGTACACATCACAGTATGAAGTACCATCATTGCCTTCATAAGTCTTCTATCTTTAAACTGGTATTTACCACTGTTCAGCAGCTCTATTAGAAGGGTCTTCACCAGTGCAAGAAGAGGCGTTACCATAGAAACCATAACTAGGGGAGGTCCAGTGTGTAGGGGTTGCCCCTGCCTCCAGGGGCGGAGAAGGAAGTCTCCTAGTTTTTGAAACACGTTGATAAACACGTCCATGGCATTTGCAGAGAACAGCTCAATGCAGGCCAAGTTGTGGTTGAGATCTTTCTGAATCACTGCCATGACAAACAAATCGAGCAGTTTAATAGTTCATAACAAAAAATCACACACGCAGTGATAGTCCCTAATTTTGAAGCCTTATGTCCAGTACAATGAGATTCTTTGTTCGAAGTTGATTGAAGATGGGAGAGCATTTCTTGTTGTTGCACATAAAACAGTTAAAGTCACCAACCCACAAAGGAAACGATTTTGAAAATAAGCTGTTCGTACACCATTTTTCCTGAACGCTTAAAAAAATGTTTTGAAAGACATAAAAACACGATAGCTTCTACTTGAAGTGAAAATATTCTCAAACATTCGTATTTGGTCATAATCGGTTCCTAGAATTTTACAGATTTTCTTAAGCTTCACTCTCGGAAAACGAAAGTAATCATCTCTTTGGGAAGTTCACCCTCAGGTTACGACATTGTGCCAATAACTCAATTTAACAGACCACCGTGTTAACCAACCTTCAGTTGTGTTTGACCTCTCCACAGGACAGGCAAGGTACCTTAGGACTCGGACAGCCATCAGTACTCCACTTGCTACACTGGGTGTGACATTCATCTCATCCAGATGACTATTCAAAATGTAACAAAAGAGACAACAGTTAAGAATACTCATGAACGACAATTGGACAAGACACCCACTGGGTAGATTCAAAGGTTTGGGAGGGATTAGGGACTATTATCTGTGGTAGTGCTTTCCCTTTTTGCGTACCATAAATAAAACATATATCGGGGCTTGAACCCAAGAAGACCTAAGTTCAGCTAACTAAACATTGGCCACTGGTCTCCTTCTTAGGATTCTTTATGTGGTATGGATTGCTATTTGAATCTGCGGACTAAACATTTCTTGTGTAAGAGTAAAAGAAAAATATTACCTTTTCACAAATTCTACTAATTTGCCGATGCCTGACATATCAAACTTGATATCTTTCAAAGCAACCAGCCAATGGCCCAGTTCGGTAATTGAAGAGTCCGCATCCACTGAGAGAAAAACATAAATGGAAATTATCCATAACGAAAAAAGAAAGACGAAAGAATTAGAAGAAGCACAAGAGATGACACGGTTTGAGAAACATAGGTTACCTAATTGATCGATAAGAAGGTAGAAAATTGTGGAAGAATTGAGTTCTCATCCGTTCATTCAAGTCTCTACGAATAATCTGCCTGACTGTGTTTTAAAAGTTCTCTTGATATTCCGGTTTTGTCTTGAAGCTTACACCGGAAATGAACGGAGAGAATGAAAGGCCAATTAAGTCTGTAATTTGGACGTTAGAGATAAATGGTCAATCCAGTATTACAAGACCATTCGAAAAGACTTTGGGCCGGTTCTTTACACAAATTCTATCCCGAACTACGGTTTCACGAAATCAGTGGGCCTCAGGCGTTCTCTGTAAGAGGGTTGAGTTAATAAAATGAATGTCCTTCCACTCCTAGCTTTCGGTCCTCTTACCTCTGTTCACAAAAAATGAATGTTCAGATAAAAGGTTCAGCTAAACTGAGGATTTTTTGCGACGCGGTTTTGTTAAACTACGGCAAAACTTTGTTTAAATAATCAGACCATTGAGTTTTGCTTAGGTGTGATGACGCGTTATTGATCAACGAAACCCTCATCAGCCCCGTTCTTTCTTAACTTGGAAAATCATCCGTAATTAGTTTAGGGTCATCTGAAATAAATAGAAACTTGTCGCAAGCAAGCATATTGAGTTAAGATGTCACTAGATCATTCTCTACGATCCCTCTCTGGACTCTCAGTACCAATAATATCCAACAATAAAAATAATTTTTCTTACCTCTTTCTGTGACAGCCGTGAGTCTCGGAGCAAGCTTGGATAACATTTCCACATTCTCAGACACTGCGAAAGGTAAAAACGTTTTTAGGCTAACAGCCGACTGATGATAAAATATCCCATCTACTGCCCGTAACTGCTAAGCTGGTCACTACGCACAAATTATGTCAGTACACACACCTATGACGCTAATACTCACATTTTACAGTTAAAAGAATCAACACCGTGGCGTATCTCGTTGACACACATTTCTTCAACTTAGCATCGTCTTTTGCATCTCCTAATTAAAAAAAAAAAAAAAAAAAAAAGGTATCACACATTATATTTCCATCATTTTCACAGTGATGAAATAAAGAAAATGAAAAAAATATTACTGGAAACCATCCAGTATTTAAAACTATGGCCACAAAAGTTACTAATCAAAGTTCAGCATACTATTTTCAAAGATACAACGATCATCAAAAGAGAGACCTACCGGTAGATTCCACAAACGGAAGTAGAGCACTAAGATTTGTTTCCAAGCTGAGAACAGACACTACTGCAGCTTTACCTACGAGAAGAAAACAAGCGCACAAAAATTGACAAGACTGTCTTATTATCTTGAAAAAAATGGTCCGCTGTTTGGCTGTGTTGGTTGAAAAGTGAAACACAGATAATGAACAGCAAGGGAATCATCAATTAACGGATATCGTCTCGATAGAACGCCAAATTCTCAGCACGAAAAAAAAACAGAAATGTAATGACACCAGTCAACAGAATTAGATTTAAGATCTTGAGAATTTAAAGGGGCCCTCTGGTTGAAATCCATCAAAGAAATAGGTCATTAGTAAAACAGTCTAAGCATCTGAACCATTCATCGCAAATTGCTGAATTTTTGCAGGAAGCAAGTAGACAGCTCTGCGTACATTTGCACCAGCCGGTAACGAAGTCGGCCACATTAATGGATTCTTAATTATTATATTAACATCAAAAACTAAAAGTAATGATCCCTCCGAGGTACGTGACTAAAATAAACTACAGATCCTTTATCAACATCATTACAACTCACCAATGGCTGTAAAGGTCATGGAGTAGAGAGTGTGTAAAGTAGAAAGCAGATCAGCTCCGTCCATGTCATTTGGCAGCAAATCTTACGGGAAAAGATTTCACATTAGACTGAATATTACATCAAAATACAGCGACGTAATCGCTGTCAAGCCATAACACACGATGGACAACACAGACTGTACTACATTGATTTTTTTTCCCATGGTTGACAAAATTGATAAGATAAATTTGGCTGTTCGACTGTGGCCATGTAGAAACAAGATTCAATACAATATTAAAAATATGTCGGAAAAGAAGTTGCAGGAAAATTACCTGGAGTGAGGGATGTAAGCAGTTGATCCACAGCTTGGAGAGTCTGGAATGTCCCGTAAATAGAAATAAATATTGAAATAAAATGAAACCAAATTACATGAAACCCTTACGAATCTGAAGGAAAACAAGTTTTCAAACACTTTCAAATACTCCTTTCAATAGCTACAGTTCCACACTTTCAACATCACCAAGAAAAGTTAGTAATTTCAAATTGCTGAATGACGTCCCTATTTCCTGTTAAACGGTCTTTCAACAATAACTGAGGTAAGAGGAACAGAGTTTATAAACTTCACCTGCAAATGATAAATCAGCAAAAGTCCCAGATGCTGGGGAGTGCAAGAGTCGGCTGCAGTTGTATCTCTGAGGATTTCCTAAAGAGTGTGAAAATAACAAAATAATACAACGAATGCTGATAACCCAAGGAAATTTGATAATCCTTAGGCAATGAAAATAATAAAATTATGCATACCTAATAATACTAATAGTAAGTAAACTGTAATATACATTATTATAATAATATATATTCTTCATGATACATCTGACAATACTTACATTCAGTGGTGCTGCATCACTGTGGTGAATATCAGCCTCCTGAAATCAAACTCGGTGTCAGAATGTTATTGCCAACTGGTTGGAAGGTATGTGGACAAGTAGGTAAGTATGAAATATGTTGGTACTGCAGCTGATATAGGGCAAGCAAGTGGGAAGAGAGAAGATGGGTTAGTGAAGGGGAAACCAGTGAGAAAAAAAAAATAAATGGTGAAAGAATACATGTACTTATCAAAGGAATCAGAGATAGTACACCAAATATTGTTTCTATGTGCACAAACACAAGTCAGATTAGTAGTTCATCTATTATCTTGGCTTAGTTACCAAGCCTTTGAATGGGAGTGAGGCTAAAGGTGACCTTCTTAGGGAAAATTTAATTCAATTCACTATAATTTAAATGGAAAGTAAGAAAGACACTTACCGTTGTTTGAGTGAGGACACGGATAAGACCATTTATAGAGTCAGGATGAGAGGAAAGGAACAACAAACCTGAAAGTGAAAGAGTACAGTTTGATCAAAACTAGGCTAATAGCACACCAAGCTAGCCACTTGAGACTACAATGATCAAAATATCATTAATTATTCAGAATCAACCTAAAAAATATCAACAATTATTCTAAATTCACTTTGCCCACTTACAAGAGAAACACAAAATCTAGTGCCAAAAACTAATATCACAAGACAACACACATACCACAATCTCATAGTGAAGACACTGAATTGAAATAAGTAAATGGCACTTCTTGTCAACTTCCAAAAGTAACCAGTTATATTTTTGTATACACCTTGATCAAGGGCTGGTTTCTACAAGATTAGCACTTAAAGCAGTGTTTACAGGTTCTGTTTCCTTTTTCCAAAGACCACTACTCGTGTTACTTGTCAAACCATAGTTAATGGAGTAGAATGGTAAGGAACCTAACAGATTTCATAGTTATGTGTTTAAAATGAATTTTGAGAACCTGATCATGCTTCATGTTCAATAACAATCCACTCACAATAGAGTAACAGACCAATCAAAGCATCTCACTACTTCTGTAAGTTACCATGCATGACCACAAAAATAGAAGATTGTGGAAAGTCAGAGAGAAGTCCAACCTCAACTTTCAATTGGTGTTTTTACTATGAATTTTTTCCAACTCACATAACCATTCCCTTCAAGTAACTGTGTCCTGACAAAGAGCCTGGCACAGACTTTAACTACCAAAGTTAAAAGAACCAGTAAGAAGCAGTCAATGTACCTTGCTGTGACTGTAACAATGTAAAGAAGAAATCTCTAATTGGCCCAAACACTGCAGGATGACAACCAGCTGTTGAGGACATCACAACCAGAATGGACTCCAGAAGGCGACTAAATTAACAAAAACAGAGAGAGTTTAAAAAAACTTGCATTTGCCTACTGTACTGATATGGTTAAGTCTTAAAACTAAACAGCCCATAACTGAATTGCTTATCTTTGGTTTATGCAAAACTTAGCACCTAGGGGTAAAGTTACTCTCCCTGAATGAGAAGCTGGGCCATTGCAGATTATCACCAAGGATCTTATCCAATTTCCCTAACAATTCTGCAGCACCCATTGGTACTCCTGGGGGAGCAAGACATAGTGAAAGTATTGTGCCTTGTCTCAATAATGCAACCCATAATACAACATAAACTAGGCCAAGCCTCAAGCTAAGGTTTCTTGCTCCAAAATCAAGTGCCATAACCACTACTACTACAGTACATTGCAGTGTCCCACAGAATACCACTAGAGGTGTAACTAAAATCCTCTGCCGTACACTAAAAACACTTTTAAAAGCAATAAAATTCAATTACCGGGCCTTGAAGAAGTGAAACAATACTGGGTAAGGATCTTTAGGAGATTTATCAAATCCTGTGATCTTTGCTGAGGTAGGAAATGCTTTCACAGGAGCCTGAACCTAAATAGGAAAAATCAGTGCCTTAATCCTCATACTCTATTACTACTGTATAGTAGTAATGTACTGTATGTCAAGGTAGAGGAGTAATTTTATCCAATCTATCTTGTAAGACCTTGCTATTTGAGCCACCTTTGTTGGTTAGCAGAGAGTGGGTTAACCCAATGACTCCAATAATTGACATGCACAACTAAGCTGTGGGGCTGTTTTTTCTCCCTCCGAGAAGAATTTTGGGCCTCAATTTTTCCCTTATGTCAGAGAACTAATTAAGTAATCAGAATCTGTCTTTGGCATATACATTTTGATGATTTAAGGACCCTGAGGTTACTGGTAAGGTGAAAAGCTTTAAAAACCTGACTTTTTCTCTGATTGCCAAAAAATCAGACACCGTAACCACAATGTTCCCTTTCATGACTTTCTTCACCTGAATGGTCAGACTATGTGATCAAATTCTCCTTTGGACATATTCAAAGTGAAGAACAAGTAACCATTTGTTTTCTCTATAATATCACAATACTTAATCAGTTTGTTTTCAACTTCTTCACCCTTTAACCCCTCAGGCTGACTTGCATCTAATTTTTCACTATGGTATCACTGCTGAATCAAAAAGCACAAACTTGAACAGCTCATGATTTTTAGCAAACTGTCCCTTGTCAGTGCCATTGGAAGTGTATAGAGAACAGTATGGACAATATACATGCTGGTGGTGTTAAGGGAGGATGTACAAGTAACTACATTATTTTACACACAATTAAGATATTCACAATAAAACTGCATGTAACTGTCATGTATCATCTGAATTCAATAAACTTACTATCAACTGCTGAGCCTGTTTAAGGTAGATACAAATCTCTTCAAGGGTGCTTGCAAGGATCTCTATCATCTCTGTGTTAAGGGGTTGCTCTCGTTCACCTGAGGCTAACCCTGATGTATCCATGGCAATGTCAGGATCAGGGGACATCACATCAGCTGTATGCTTGGTTTCAGTTACCTCACCAACTGAGTCTGTTTCAGGATCTGTCTGCCTTGGACTAGGAGTTGTTTCAATAATTCTGTACAAACAGCAAAGAAAACAATTTGTGATACACCTACATGTACCTGGTATGCCATGCTGACTGATTGATTTATTGACTAATACTGAAGACCTGACACAATAAAAGACTGACTTAACAATTGAAGGACAGAATGACTAACTTATTAACTGACTAAATGACTGAATGACCCACTTGCTCACTCAATTACTGCCTGCCTACCTAAAGAACAGACTGATAGCCAGACCAACCCCAAAAAACACATAGAATAACTGTATTACAAGAATGGTAACAAAATATTGCCATGTTGATGTACAGTGTACGGAAGTCCTACTGACAGCTGTTAACAGAGCTAGCTTGGTACAAGAACTTATTAACAATTCTCTAAAGAAAGTAGAAAATAAAAAAGATACTAAAAAAATTTAGAAAAGCAACCTGAAAACAAATTGTATGTTTTAGAGTACATCAAAAATTACTTACTTGTCTACAGTTTTCTGCAAAAGTGCAAGCAATTCATACAAATGGACTTTGCGAGCAAGGGCTGAAGCAGATTCTACCACACGTACAGTCTGTTGTTAAAATAAGATGAGTCAGAAGAACCATATGGTAACTGCAGTAATATCCAAACCAAAGTGAAACAAACTGAACTCAACTAGAATTATCATTTATCAATTTCATCGTCATTATTTTACAAAAGAAAGCTACCTGATCAGCAAGAAGAAAATCAACAAGTTGCTGGTAACTTTTGGATTCTTCCTTGACAGTGTTTTCTTCACTTTCCTTGACCTTAAAAATTACAGACATCTTCATAAATTTCAACTACTATCACACACAATAACCAAATGGAGCATTTATGACATTGGTAGTGATGCATTCGCTGGTTAATGATTACACATCTAAGCTGTTGATTGGTCAAACTGCCTGCTAATTACCATCATGATGATAGAATGTTAACACCTATGAAGGTATGAAAGATTTCAAGTCAAAAATTAAACTGATTTCACCTGTACACTCTGAGAAGTAACCAAGCACACTAAATGCACTTGCAAAACCAAAAATTCACTTCAAAATTATATGGATGCTTACCTTGGCATCTTCATCCCATCCAAGGAAATGTTCCATTCCAATGTAGGAATCTGTAGTGTTGTCAATAGCTATAACATTAAAAAAAAAATAAAAATTTTAATAATAAAATAAAAGCACAAACCTTTAGTAAACACAGAATTTACCAAGGAGAATTTTTGTTATAGTTACATAATTTTACATAAATGTATCATCATGTATTCTACAAAATAAAGTAAATACTAAGTGACAAATATGGGGTATTCTTTTTTATCAGAGGGAAATACACCAAATGTACTTGATTGGTCCTCTACACCCTAACATCAGTATGCATATTCTCCAAACTGTTCTCTATACAATTCCTAAGGTGCTGACAAAGAGAATTGTTTTTCAATCAAGGGTGTCTTTAGTTGGTGATCATTTCCTTCATTCTTATGACCTTAGTGTGTGATTCAGGGGTGATATTGTTAAGAGAAATTAGATGCTGGTCACTCTTAGAGGTTTAAGGGTGAATATAAGTAAGCATGTAGTGTACATCCTAAATTGTTTTTCTTTGTTACACTGGTTGTTCTTAATATTTAAAATCATAATTAGGTAAGAGTTGTGGTTAATTTTTTTTTTTCATCTGTTTAAATTTCCAAATTCCGTTGACTTTTATCTATTTGTGACTTTTTAAACTGAAACAAGGTAAATAATAGTCTAACTGGTTTACTATAATAAATTAAAAGTTTTACCCTTAAAAGATATTTTACACCACAGCATAAAACATGTCTTGTAAAGTGAAAGCCGATAATATTGTAAATTCATTCACAAACATTTGACATAGATTTGTACATAATAGTCAGAATAGATCTAACTAATGTAAGTAAGCTTAATCAGCTCTCTACAAACATTAGAATTAAACAAATTTACCAGTAGCACTGACCTTGCAGAGTCAACAATTTCATTGAAGAGGACATGTGTTCTGTTGTAAGAAGTTTACCAAGAGACTCCTGAACCCCAGCATCCTGAGGGCAAATAAAATATTTTTTAACTTGGCTTCAGTATGCCACAAAATTAATGTACATGTTTGTTACTAACAGCAGCATGAAAGTGCAACCTGTTGCATGACACCATTCCAGAAAGATGAGATTATCAAACAGATATATGGTCTTTTTTACAGCATGGCTTGTATAAAATACATTGCACATCCACAATTAAAGACTGTTTCAAAAATTTTCCAAACAGTCATTCTTCATTTTCCAAGTTATGGGTCATACCATATGGCCTAAGACCAATAGCTGTTAATAACAAATTGTGCCTGAATTGAAACTTTTCCATCCCTAAAAATGTTCTGGTCAAAGCCACCTTGCAAATGACTCGACAAGAAATTGAACAGTAGCCACAGATTGGAAAAAAATCAAGTTGTAAATGGTCTTTACTTCCCAAACTTTCCAAGCTTTTTAAATTGCTATCTATGCAAATTTCCATAGTTTACTTATTTTTTACCATTTCACTCCCAAGATCTTGTTACTGTCTGCAATACAACTCTTATAATGTCAGTTTGAAGAATTTGGTATTGGATCAAATATTAATCCCATAATTAACATTGTCCTTGATTCTCGTCACTTTTCTGCTTTTTTAGTTAATATTGTAAAGAGAAATTCTGTCTTGGTCACTCATGGGGGTTAGAAGGTTGACAATTCAGGCTTCTTTCTTTCCTTATTGAGATGGTTCGCTTGTATATTGTTAGTAGTACTCAGTCATGTACATGCAAATGAAAAAATAAACAAAAAGTCTCACTATCAGAAAAGAAGAAACTTCTGATCCACAGGAGCACATTGCACCAACAAGCTTCAGTCCTGCTTTTATCAATCGAATGTTGGCCTGTTGGCAAAGATCAAACAAACAACAATAGATATACTGGGGAAAGATTAAAGTACACTTGAAAAGCAAGCAAGTTTTACTTGAAGTCAGCTTAGTGAAAGATGGTCTGTTACCCAAGAGAATGGTTACTGAAAATCAAACTGCAAGTATGTGGAACAAACATACATGTATGGTACTAGTTTCAGAAAAACAACTTTCAAAGGATGGTCCTAAAGGGTTCAAAACACAGAGAACAGGCCTATGCATAAAAAAACCTGCATCTCAAGTAGTTTAAATGCATAATTATGTTATACTGCGCATAGCCTTTTTCTTTTGTCAAACTACAGTGTATTTTGCAAGTCTGAGGAAAGGACCATGGCTCATGGCAGGTTCATCTGTTTGTTTTGTAAAAACAGTTACAGAACTTACAGCTATAGGAAGTTTCTGAGCCATTTCAACATCCAAGGAATACAAGATCCATTCAATAAGCTTCCTCTTCACTCCTGTAAAGTAAAAGCAATTACATTATTTTTTTTGGTTTTATTTTCTTCTTCTTTTTATTCATTTTCATTGCCACAAAAAATGCAAAATGGCTCAAAGCAGAATGAACTGGAGCACAAAAACAAACCTTCTTTTTGTTCACTTCTTGTAAGAAAGGCCTGCAAAAAAAGGAGACTACTTTGGCTGGGTTTCATGATATAATACCTCATTCAAACATTATCCTCCTTCCAATTGTATGCACTAACGAGAGATTACAAAAATTGTGCACATTACATAATATCAGAACATAAAACAAACACAATCAAGAAAGTTACTTTGATTCTTAGAAAAGAATTCACTATCAAGCAAAAGATCTTCCCTTTTAGGCACATGTACAATTATTTTTATGATTGCATGTTTAAAATAAGAATTAAAATCCTTAAGACATACCAGCCCTGGAATAAGAAGTCTGGGTATTTCCTCAAGTTGCTCAATCCATCTGTTGGAATGTGATTAATAATTGTTTTTAGAGTCACAATCCAGTCACTTCAACTGCTTTTTAAAAAGGCAAAGACTAAATTTATATTTTTTTCTGTGTGTACTTACTTCTTATTCCTCTCAGAAGTGCAACACATTTCCACATGTTCAAACAATGTCTGTCCCTGCAGTTTTATAGAGGAAAAACATGTATTATATCTTTTTATTTTTCACTTATTACAACCATTCCCATATCAAAGTAATCACTGAATTTGTAATACTGTTCTAGGAGGCAGGTCTTGCACTTAAGTCAAGTGAGCTGCACTGCTCATTAGTAAGATTATTTAACTTCGGTATCTTCCTGAGTGGGATGCTTCTGGCATTAATTTTTAAGGTTTCTTTGAAATTTTGTTGGTAAATGTACCTATTAATCAACATTCCTTGGCAGAGAGAAAATGCAGTGAGAGTTGCTTGTCTAATGCCAGTCAACACAAACACACTATCCTTCACCAGAGGTCCAACTTTGACCTTGCAATCCAGAGCTAGCTGGTACACCAACCATTAGTACCTCATCTCTATCTCAAATAGAGTATGCAGGGTCTTATCAGGTTAACCCTTTCGTTCCCAAGATCTCATTTTTCACCACAATTGGTAGTAATTGAAATCTGATTGGCAAATTTGCTGTTGTGGATATGAGTACAGACAATGCTACTAGTGTCAATGTGTCGCGTAATGGTCACACACTGAAAGAATTATTTTATTTGACATTGATATTGTGGCTGCAATCACTCATGGGAGTTTAAGGGTTTTCCTTCCTTGATCCTTGCACTTCTATGGTCTAAAAGCCAATTCTCCCCACAAGTGAGATACATTTCTTTGTTGGCTGGTCATGAGAATTTGAAATTGAATCAGGGCAACATCTCAAATTTTATTATAACTTTAATTTGTACTCTGGCTGTTGTTCTCACTTACCAAGTTCAGTTGCTGCTCATCTAAGGAGCCTTGGGGAGTATAAAGAGACATAAATCATCCAGGTGAATTTGTCAAAAGCAAACTCAAAAATTAACATCTAATCACACATTCAAACATTGAAAGAAACATTTTTTAAAAGAAATGTAGTAGCACTTTTATAATAAGAGAAAATCAGAATATTCTTTTAATCTAAAAAAATTGAGCTTGAGCCATTCAAAATTAGTTGCAAAATTATGTGTAGTTGGTAGAGAATTCTACATTGTTCCTCTAAACTTTAAAAGTTACAGTTACTGGCAGTAGTGGATGTTGAAACAAGCCACTTACTGGAATCATCTTTAACTTTCAGTAGAGCACTTTCATATTCTGTACCATCTGGAGGACTAAATGTCTAAAGGAAAAAACAGAAAAAGACATCAGAAAATGTCAATACAACAACATAATACTAATTTATGGCTAAATGTCATAGTTTCTTCCCTGGCCGATATTTTTTTGCTTTGGAACTCAGTAAATTTGTTGATCAACAGAGCATAACATTCGCAAAATACAAATACAGGCAATGAACTTACGGTCAAAGGTGACAGGTCACATTGGTAAGGATTAAAACTAACAGACACTGACATCCAAGCATCTTCACTATAAAGATCAAGATCACCAAACTGTACATCCTAAAAAACAAATGTTACCAGTTTAAATTACACAGCAGGGGTGTAATGTACTTTAGGCTCAGAGATTAGAGAAAAAGACAACTCCTCAATCAATCTCACAGTAGCAGTAACAAATTGCACCAGGAATAAAAGATGGAAAGACAGTTTGAGGTGACCTGAAGATCTGGTTGTCATAGAGGTGTATTTCTAACAAATAAATTTAGTATCCACAAATCGAATTAAGAAAAATTGATTTTATACTCACTGCGTCATCTATTGTTCCATCATCCATCTCCTGCAATTGAGTGCATTTTAATTTTTAAGCACATTTTTCTAATTGTAAGGCACAATTGATCATAAACTGATGTTACACATTGTAATTTGCACTTATCACAATCTACCATCACAGTTTCAAGATAAAGATAACTGGCAATTATCAGTGTCTTAGAAATCCCAGTGCTCACAAAAAATGACTAATCAGAAATCAAGGATAAGAACTACACCACACAGAGCAAAAAAAACAAAACAAAACAACAACAACAATAAAAACAGGAAATTTGATGGCTGCAAAGCCCCTGACTCGGCCTCTCCTGAAGCTTTTGAGAACTTGCCCAGTGTAACAATGTATAAGGTAATAAAAAAGTAATTAATAATAAATATTTAATCATAATAATAATGATGATGATAGTAATAATAATGACAGAAAGATAACTAGAATTTTTGGAGCTGATTTGGTTGGTAGTAGAGGATGTGAACTTTAGAATTGTGTTCTGTACAATATGTATATGCTTCCTTGTAGATTATTTCAAGTCACATTCACTGTTTTGCAAGTGTTTTTTAGACACACCTCTTCATCACTAAGGATTTCTTCATAGCCATCCTATTTGAGAAAAAAAGCATTTAAAAAATCAAATGAAAAATCAGCTCATGAAAAGAAGTAAATACACTGAATGAAAACAGAAAAAGGCCACTATAATCTTCATTACTTACCGGTTCATCAATGTCCTCTTCATCAGACATAAACAAGTTTGAGGGTGATCTGTCAGGTGTGAGTGGCTCGAACAAGTCATCTGGAGATTGGTTACCAGACTCTGTACCAGCTGGTTGCTATAGTAACAATTAATCACAATGTATAGGGTGCAGTGTTAGAGCATGACAAATTTGGAAAAAAAAAATTGGATTTCTAGTAGTTTGAAGAATCAATCTTTATCTTCTCATAAAAATTGTGAAGACGTAATGGTGACTTTGAAAACTGTACTAAAAATACTAAGTTGCTGCACCCACCCCAAATGCCACTGTGATTACCCACTTAGCAGGTAATAATCATTTGACCTTGCACACATTTAAATGTACCCCCCACCCCAATATAACTTTACTAAGAACATAGACTGTTTCCCTCGTAAGATTCACTTTGACTTAATGTGATCAACAACCTCACCATGGCTAAGGCCAGTAGAATGTCAAGAACATCTGCCAATTGACAGCACTGTAACCAAACAGAGGTTACAAAAAACTTCTACTCCTGTCTGTTGCCACCATAACAGTTGCTTTTGCTTCACCCTCAGTGTTTACCAAAATGAAGTCAAGGATAACACTGAGGGTCCCATGTAAAAAATCAAATAGTTTCCCAAAGAGACATGGAGTCAAGTATAATATTACCTCCTCCCTTGGGGACCCTGGTGGAGTAGTTGGCTTGGCAGCAGTACTTTCACCAACAGTTGCCATTGCACTCTCGGGGGATCCTGGTGGAGATTTTATTCTAGGTGGTGACTTTGACTGAGTTCTTTCCCTCTCCTTCCCAGCTTTTCTTTCATCTTTTGCATGCCACTGCTCATCTCTCTTCTCCTTTGATTCAGTGGTTCTCTCAAAGGCTCTTTCATCTGGACTCTTCTCAAAGAGAGCTGAGTCAGAAGGACCTCTCTCAGCACTCCTTTCCCTTCTTAATGACCTTTCTGGACCTCTATCATGATCTCTTTCAGCCCTCTCAGGTACTTTTTCAAAGGGTACTTTCTCTGTATCCCTGAGCACTCTTTCAATATCCCTATCAAGGCCTCTTGTTTCTACAATGACTGGGGGCCTATCAACTCTGGGTTCTGCGCGTGTTTCTTGAGGATGTTGATTGACATCAGTGAAGAGACCATACAGACTAATGGTGATTCTATTGTACCACCCACGCAGAACCACCACATCAGTTGCACCCTAATCAAAACAATTCAAACCAAATGTAGTTGAAAAGTAGTTATATTTATTACTAGTAGTAATAAAAGGTTTGAAACCAATATCAATTTTGTTTGTCAGGGATAGGAAATTTAACAAGAGAGTAGCCTTATATCCATTTTACTACTCCAAACCATTTTGTTAAATTTGTTCTTATATTTGCACTTCCCTATAAAGTGATTATCAAATCATAGCTGGTGACCAAGTGCAAAGAAGGACAGCAGATAACCTACTTTGCAATCCCACATGCAGCCACCACACTTTTTCCATGATCAATTTGGCCATATACAAAGCACAGCCAAGGTGTTAAACTTGAGACAACTGAGAACAAATCTGGGGAGTAACAGGGTGGAGGGCTTGAACACAAGGGCACCAAAGTATGAGCACAGCGCCCTCACCACTCAGTAACCCCCAACCAAAATTGACTGTAAAAAGTCTTACCTTAGAATTGGTAACCAGCTGAAAATTGTTGGGTTCTTTATACTCTAGTCTAGAAAATAAGGCAAATTAAAGAACTGTTAATAACAATATTTCTGTTTTTCTCTCCTTTTAATTAACAACCAGAGAGTCTTTGACAGAAGTAACAACTGCAAAAAGATGAAAATAAAAAATACTTTTTTTGTCACTTACTGTCCAAGTCTTTCAAACACTACATCTGCAGGCCTGTCTAGATTCCGAATGAATAGATCCAGCTTAAAAGAGGGAGGATGGGTCTCTCTGTAAAGAAAACATAGTTAAGTCATTTTATGTAACCAAGTAACTCAAGAAGTGTTTCCAAGTACCAATTCCAAGCAAGTTTTGCTAGCTGAGAAAGTGGTGAAATCAAAATGCTAATTGTAAACCCTAGGTATTTACCACATGAAATATTTTAAGAAGTCATGAGAGCTGCCAAAGTTTACAATGCTAGACTTTTTTTAACAGATATGGTGATATCTAGTATCAGAAGTTACATACCCCATTTTTTCTCTCTCACTAACAGCAGCATGGACTCTGTGTCCTGCAGGTATGACCCTTACTTCCTGGATGCAGACGGGTCTTGGAAAGCTGATCAAGTCAAGATGCATTTCCTGTAGAGAATATACCAATAAATTAAGTAATCACTCACAGGTATTAACCTTTTGAATCCCAGAAGTGATTAACCCATAGCTTCTCACTATATTATCTATACAATATTCAGTAAACAACAATTGGAATTCTCAAACTCGTCACATAGGAGGTGTTATCTTCATCTAAAACCAAATTAGTGTGACTAGTTTACATGGAAATGTGTAGCAGCCAAAGGGGAAATTAACAATCAGATCTTGGAATTTTAAGGGTTAATGCCCTTTTGGTGAGTTTCCTAGCCTTGTAGTGCAGACCTAATTTATGTTGGTTTGCTCCACCAATATCATCATTTTGATATTTGAACTCATAAAAAAATATGACTGTGTTCAGTAATCTAACCAATTAAGAACAATCAAATGTGACCTTCCACGGGAAAACGTACAGTACAAATGTTTTCAAACGGCTTCCATTCACAAGCCATTTGTCAGCCATTCAGAAAAATTTGCATCTGTTTGAATGGCTTCAGTTATCTGTTTGTTGTAAACATCAACCTGTTTGAACGGCTTGGTCATCCGTTTGTCGAAAACATCAGCCCATTCAAACAGCTTGGTCATCATTTGTTGAAAACATTAGCCTGTTTGAAGGACTTGGACTATTTTCCATCAAACGACTTGTATCATCTGTTTGGAAGGTTCAGGATTGGATAGTGTTGCATTACCTGTCACACAGGTCTACTTTATGCAAATGTCACAAGATTGTGTTATATTAAATCCAGAAATGGAATCATGCACAGAATAATTATGTTTACCACATCCAATTCACTGTCAAAAGAAACAATAAAGGAAACAATTTGGCAACATGCAAAGCTACTAGAAAAACGTTGCAGTCGCATTTTTGTGCAATAAAGTGGCAATAAACACTTGACACAGCAAAGATAAACAATGACAACTTGACCTTCATGGGTTATTCGAGTTTTGCTTTTAATAGAAGATGCTGAAGTCTCTGTTTAACAAACTTAAATACTTCGTCAGGCAATTTTATAGCAGCTGTGGGAAGTCAATATTTTTATTACATCAAAACAATTGACTATCTGTTGAACCTACTTTAAATGTGAATCGGACCTGATCTGTCCATTTGTTCAGAATGATAACCTATCCATTCAGCTCTTATGGCAATTTTTTCTCATGAGCGGTCTGAAATTATTCATAAACCCCTTCATCTGTCTATGTCAAGCCCTTCAATAACTTTCACAAGCCGTTCAGTTGTTTGGGTAACCTATTCGATAATTTTCACATGCCATTCAGTCGTTTGCATGACCCATTTGAAAATTTTGACAAGCTGTTCAGTTGTTTAGGTAACCCATTAAAAAATTTACATAAGCCCTTCAGAATACTCGATAGCCTGTTCAGCTGTTCGATAGCATCCGTTTGAATGGCTAAGTTACCTGTTTGTTACCCATTCTGTAGCTGTGCATTTCACCCCTTAAATGGAAAGCCATTCGTGTACATTTTCCCGTGGAAGATCACAAATTAGATCAGTAATAACTAGCTTAATTGCTTGTATCAGGAAAATACATCTTAGTCTGATTAAACCAAAACGTACATGAAAGGGTGATGGACAAAACACTGACCCCCAGTCCATACACATATGACCTTCTTAAAGCTAAAAAGTCACAAAGTTTCATTGTAGTTTAATCGACTACACTTCCATGCACAAAATCTGAGTTGACTATACATCAATCTAGGCGAGGCCTGGCATTAGCTCATGCAGTCAGAGACAGACTCAGTCCAAAGAACTTGTTTAAAAATATCTGCTGATTCCAAGGCTCATTTTACCTCCATATCAAACAAAAAATTCGAAACCACTTTCCGAGATTCTCGGCATTACATATTGTCACAAAGTTTGGAGCTGATCGCAATTATAATCAGGGTGCAAGGCTTGCGATGCATTTTTCTCAGCGGAAGTGACTTAGTCACGCACATGCTGCACTATCTGACTAGCATGACGTAGAGGCATCAGAGATTGAGCATAAGTAGCGTAGGACCTTTCAAAAAATTAATCACAGGATCACAAGGAAACGTTCTCGACCTGAAGCTGATCAACAGCTGGTTGGTAATACATTTGAAAAATATGCAAATTTGTGGCGTCGCGGGCAATGGCAAATTTGAAATACGAAAAACTTCCCGTAACATTGAATTTCCCTGGTTAAATTCACAGAGATCTTTTAACTAACCTCATTTTCAGGATGGCTGAATGTATCACAGAAGAGCAAGACAGGACCCACAGCTTCAGGCGACATAGCCGCCATCTTGCTTTTTAGAACCACAATACAATGCGGGTCAACACCTACGTCGTGTATGTACATTGATGGAAGACATGTAAGGAACCGACGATCTGTACTTACTTTCGTGTAATGGACAAATCGCTTTAGCCAACGGCGCCGACTCAGTCCTTCTGAAGATGACTATCGACTGTTGTCTACGAGATCCCTATCCTTGAAAAACGGATTAAATACAGATCTTCAAAATTCCCTGATATACTTGTGTGCTTACTATCCGATGTTGATTCCTTGACTGAAGAGATGCGTCTTGCCATGCCCTTTACAGACATAGGTGACCTGACGAAATTACAATGGGAGGTTTTGAAGAGGGAAGTTGTTGATTAACTACTCATGTCAATCTAGTTATCTTATATCCCTCTGTTTATCTCTGGCAGTTTCAGCCGAGCTCAAGCCTGGAGGATGAGCAAATAATAAAAAGTTCACGTGAACAAAGTCCTTTCAGTTGCCAATTGATTACCAGCTCACTCAAAACACAAAACTGAGATGAAAGTAATGCTCTTCCTTGAAAAGACTGAGCCTGAGCTCTCAGGACCACATAAATTTCTAACAATCCTTGGGCTCCATTTGTGGCAAGTCAGCTAATTTTATAATTTTACAAGTCTAATCTCTTTCTTTTCCCACAAAACATTTTGGTGTTTGAATTTCAGAATAAAAGGACGACAGACAGAGCAAATAGAACTGGTTACCAATGAGACTTTAAAGAAATAAACGTATTTCCTTTACTTCCTCACATCATTATCAATACTCTTCATACTATTCTAAACATATTTCTATTAATACTGAAATGGAGAATACATTGAACAATCAAGCTTCTGAGATTGGCAAGTATTTCCCTTATTCTTATATGCATAACTGTAAGGAGGAATTGGATTCTGGTCATTTTAAGGGTTTTAAGGATAAACCCTTTAGGGTAAAGGCACAGGCTTCCTTCCTCAACAGTGACTGGTGCCCCCAAATAGATTCTGACTTGAGATTCCTTTTTCCAAAGTATTTGTTGTGGACATTTAAAAAGACACATCATCCTTGGTTCAGATGAAATAAAATTCTTTACAGAACGAGTACCAAGTAAAAGTTAACTTCATACCACTCCTTGATAAAACAAGTTCTCTTTAATTATACTAAATATTATTTACATTAATTACAATACTTCACAATTTTTTATACTTTTTCCTTATTTATTTTTTTCTGAATTTATCTATCAAGTGCTAGAGGGTAGTCTTATGTAAAAAAATCTTCTCCTTTTTGCTTCAAGTGGTTGACATACGAAAGAAAAACCTCGTGTTTACTTGGCCAATACCAATTTAAGTTTTGTACAGGTTATTTTTGTCTTTAAGACAATAAACACAATTTTTAGACTTTTTCTTTATTTCTTTTTTTCCAAATTTATCTGATTTGGCATACATAGAAACACTAACTCAAGTACTAGAGGGTACTGTAGTCTTATGTCAAAAATCTTCTCCTTTTTGCTTCAAGTGGTCAACATATGAAAGAAAAACCTCATGTTTACTTGGCCAACACCAATTTAAGTTTTCAGGTTATTTTTGTCTTTAAGACAATAAATGAAAATCCAACTAAGGATTAACTGCTGGTTCTTCAACTTTAAAAGCTAATCAAAAATGATTCCCGACTTCATTCTCTTGGAATCCTTCTTTGTAGTGTTGTCTGCAGTCATTTAGTTACTTATTTCAAATATTATTACCTACAAACAGTAGTCCAGAAGAGCACTCCATAGTGTAGAGGATGCAGCTTTAAGAAGCATGAAAGGAAAAACCAGTGTTTGTCAGTTACATTGTCTTCCAGAATGATGAACTAAAGCCTGACCTTTGAGTGTTTAGACAAGTTTTTTTTTTTATGTTTGTAAATGATGGTATAGCAAGCTTGTTTCATATAACTCAGTTTAATCCTTAAAAGCTATTTCAATTAGCCAAGAAAAAATAAAGTTAGAAAATTGGGAAAACAGATTATGCCATCCTCTTAGCAAGTTTCTTTCAATGGCTCATGAAAATAATTGGGAATACAGCTTAGAAAGATCATAGGTTTGCACACTCAAAACAACTTTGTATTTAAAACCCAACTCTCATAAGTAAGCCCTCACAAGTGCTTACTAACATTTATAAATATCTTTTTACAAATTTTAGGTTGGTGATGAAAATGATGAAAATCAGAGTTACAAATCTTAATAGTCTTTTGGATCCTTCAAATAATTCCAGAGATTTAAGGAGGTGATGCAGATGTATTTTATACAGAAAACATTGATTCCACCAAAACACATTTAAAATGCAAAACGGCTCTCATTATTGAGTGTCAAGGAACAATGGAGTATAATTTGAAATTTGTTGAGGGTCTAATAGATTCTAAGCTGCAAACCCCAAACTCTTTCGGCTAATAACACTTGTGTAAACTTTCAAAGGTCAGACTTTTAAATCCTAGGAGGCTGATACTTTACCATTTAGTTCACGAAGTCTGTTGTGATGTGTTCAGTTCAACTTGTGGCTTAGATCCAACCTTGTTTGGTGGCACCTGAAAAAGAAAGAAAGACGACGAGTGCGTGCTGCTCAAAAGTAACAAAACTATTTCATTCAGCCTACACTGAAGTAGGCCTTTTCTTTTTTTGTTTTCCTTTCGTCTTTTTTTAGATAGTTTTCTGTCTTGGATAACAGGAACTCATAACCTTAAGGGTTCTTTCCCTGTTTATATGTTGTTCCGCAGCTGAAACACTTCAGTTTGACAAAGTAGTGATAATATACTTGGCCTATACTTTGTGATACCGACATTTTGTTTCATTTACAGAACTCCTCTCTCCATTGCTTTCCTCTCACACTTTGAACATAATTCCAAGGACACTTTGCCACCGCGCACATGGAGACACACACCACCAGAAGAATTTGACCGTTTTCTCTTGCTGGGGGCATCTTCCACACCCTCGTCAGACCGCCTCTTCCTACTTCTGGTCACATAGTGCCCCTCTTCCTCTTTTGTGTCGCTTTCCTTTACGGTATCTTGACTTTGCGTCGACTGCACAAGCGACGAAGATAACGAAATTCCAGGTGTAGCCGCCACGCTCTTCAGCAATAGTGAAATTGTGCTCTCATTAGCGAGAACATTTCGTAAATATTTCACCTCATCCGCCAGCTTCTTCATAATAGACGTCAAGCTTTCGTTTTTGGCTTTAAGAGTCTTATTCTCCTCTTTCAAATCAGTGACTGTGTTTTCAAGCCCTTCGACGTACTTCTTTTTCTTTTCTCTGTTCTCCTTGGCAGCAATGGCGTTCTTTCTGTTTCTCTCGACGATGGCTTGTTGGTCTTCCACTTTTTCTTGAGGAATTTGCTGCCTTTTCCCAAGATTCTCATTCACTGGAAGACTCGTAAAGCAGGGTTTTGTAGAAGGCGCTTTATTTGATTGTTCGTTAAAGTTCAAGAGTTCCTCTAAATCTCTGATATCGTGGTCGTTTAATCCAAAGTCTTCGTCGGCCCACGATGAAGCAAAATCGGTCAGGAAATCCTCAATTCCAACGTCTAATCCACTATCCGAACTATGGGCAGGAGATGAAGAACTAGGTAATGCTTCCAAATTTATGGATTCATCAATGGACGAAATCTCTCCGTCAGGATCTTCTCTGGGACAAATTGCTTCTTTCCTCTTGTTTCGTGGCTTCGTTGTGGCTAGGCACGACAAAATCTCGGTCTTGGAATCGTTGCCAGATGGCTCCATTAAGCAGTAATCGTGATCCAAAGCAATCGACATGGCCGTAATGGGACGTCTTTCGCAACAGGCTTTGTTCTCGGTCAAGAAGGAAACGTAAAAATATCAGTAGTCTTTTAACAAGACTTTCCTCGGCACTCGTTGACTCGGAGGAGAACGTCACTTCAACGTTTAATGCACGAGGCCGTGATAAAATTATAAGATGACGTCATTATTGATACTGCGCAAACTCTGTAAGTCACATGAGAGAGACGCTCTCTATCCCAGGGTTTTTCCGTCTTCTTGAGCCTAAATGACCCTGAGATCGAAATCGGACAAGACCGCAGGTCGAAATATCGCGGATTCCTAAACAATAATGGCGTCTGATGCAGTACTTTGATTTGAAGGACAACGTTTGTGCGACTAAAATTGAATGACTTAGTCACTGTTTTGGAAAAATGAATCTTCAGATTCTCTACCCTTTGAACCGATTTTTTACCAAAAATTGGGTGTTCAACTGTACCCGATTGCCCACAAGACTGCCTCACAGCCAATCAAGTTACATAAATACTCGTCATGTCGGCAGCCATCTTTCGTTAGGAAGAGTCAGTCTTGATCAGAGATGTGTCAAGTGCAATTCACGAAGGTTTTTTGGTAGTTTGGTTAGGTCCTCGCAGGTAAGAAAATAAAGAGGGAATAGAAAATTTAATATTTGCAGCTGGCTAATTTGACGTTCCATATATTGGTCCAAGCCTTGATCACGAGTTTAATTTAATGTAAGCTTAATAAGTTTTAGAAATGTTTAGATTATGAATTTTCTTCCATATCAATGTTCTAAATGTTTGAGAGAAAAATTGAATTAATGTTTTCCTTTTATGCAGGGCGAATTTTCAACAAAGTACGTTCATTCTCCCTCCATTTATAAAATTTTTCTCCTCCTGAAAAAAGACAATGTGAGGCAGGGTAAGCAAGTTGTAATTCGTTGTTGTTGATTTGAATTTAAATGGACATACATTAAGCATGGGTATACAGAGCTTAGTGTGTTGTTCTGCTCTATAGCAGACAGTGATAGGCAGCATGTGGAACATGGTTCACCAAAGAACCCCTTGCAAAATAATATCCTCTCACTGTCAGCAATCAAAAAGGAAGACAAGTGAAGCTTATCGTTGTGGGACACTTGCAAATTAATGTTATTCATCTAAGAAAACAATTCTCTCAGCAATTGCTCTTTGCTGCTTCAAAACCTGTTTTAAGAATTTTAATGTTTGGTATTTGAGACATTGTTTTGTTATAAACTGTGTAAAATTATGTATTCAAGGTGTAACAAGATTCTTTTCAACAAGCCTTATGAGAAAACATGGCCAAGGAGATCAACATCAACAAGGTAATAGGGTTGATGACATTATATTTGCATGTTCACCTGACATGCTCAATCACACTGCTGAGATTACCATCAGCTCACCCTTGAAGAAATGAACTGAACCTTCATCTGTACACCCTAGTGTATTTTACATGCATGTATATGTTTTCTGCCAGGTTTGGTTTTTAGTCCATGTAGATGCAATAGGGGCATGCCTACATAACATCTGCAATACCCTGTCAGCTATATATTTTTTAAATTTTACACTCATTATTTATTGTTAGTTAATTAAAGTGGTGAAAAGAAATACAAGTAACACTTTAACTCCCAAATCAAATTTGTAATTCTCCTTACTGTCAACTATACAATTCTTATAATGTTAGTTCAGAGAATTTAGTATTGGATCAACTAACTATCCCTAAATTGATATTTTTCTTTATTCTCATCACTTATCTGGTTGATATTGTATTGATATTGTAAGGAGAAATTCTGTCTTGGTCACCCATGGGAGTTAAAGGGTTAAATTGTGATTGTTTGTCCCAGAACGAGGTCAGTCAGGTGTCAATCTTATTATTGTGATTGCATACTGCCTGTACTCTCCAAGTGATAAGTTTGACTGGCAATGCCTCACTTTTAAATGAAGTATCACCAGTAATTATATGATATTTTATTGAAATAAAGCAGCATATAATGACATAATCTTGGCTGTTATTTACAATCATAATGATCTAATAACAATAGACTTAAAGCTCTGAAATCACATGCGAAGTCTAAATTAAGAATCCTCTAAACTTCCCAACCTTTAGGGTTAGTTGGTGTACGTAATGTTGAAGCAAAGTTTTGTGCATGCCCCTGTTCTTAAGGAAAGTTTATTCTTGAGTCTAGTCTTATTCGTTTTCCTATGTGGCAATTTTCAGCTAAGTGAACTTCTTGTAACACACTCAGCATCATAAAAATTTTTAATTGATTCTTCTGTTGCCATTGCAGGTGATTCTCAAAATCCTGAGGAGGAGCCTGGGAAAGATGGAGGATGGGTAACCATCCTTCCTTGGGTTATGCTTGCAGTATTTTACCTCCTTGCTGCAGGATCTGATCCTACACCAGAAACAACATGGACAACATTTTACAGAGAAATGCTTTCTACAGGCGAGGTGAGTTCAATTCATCTATTGCCAAGTGTTGTCTGCTACCTTATTTGTCTCTCACTAAGTTTTAGGCCTTTACTTGAAAAACCTTGGTTGGTAATCCCACAATCAGCATTGCAAACAACCTTTTAGATTTTATAATTATATGAAGTCATATGATTATAGAGTATGCTATATAATTTGTAAACATAGAGATTTGAATAAATATCTAAGTATTTATGTAACTGTAGAATCATTCACTAGGTTTTGTCTTTTAAGTAATACAATAAAAAACTGAGATAAAAAGTAAACAGGTTTGAAGCAACTTTAACTAAGTAAACATGTAAACCATTGTAAACATACATAGCCTTACATTTGTAACGTAATTGAAAATGACGGGGCATGTTACCACTTTTGATTATTTTTAGGTGTGCGATTGGGAACATACATGGCTGTACACATGCTAGAGATGTGACATGGTTTGATGCTAGTCTGTTTTAAAGATTTTATGAATGCAACCAAGAAGTTACAATTCGTAGACCAAATGTTTGGACACTCCTGTCTAGTGCCTTTATCAGGGGTGATCTAATTGCTGCAACAAGACGTCCTTTTGTATTCTTGTTGCCATGATTAGATCACCCCTAATGAAGGCAGTAGATAGGAGTGTCCAAATGTTGGGTCTTTGAATTGTAACTTCTCGGTTACATTCATTAAATCTTTAAACCAGAGTAGCATCAAACCATGTGTGATTGTCCACCTGGTTGCCTTGTGAACTTTTATATATCTTACCAGAGATGTGTTTTATCTGTGATGGTTTGTTACGTAAGTTTTCTTTGTTTCCAGGTTGAGCGCTTAGAAGTACCTTCAAGTCAAGACAAAGTTTATGTCTTCTTGCACAGAGGTGCAGTAGTAGGAGGAAAGGAGGTATTGTATACTGTTTTATACTGATTTTTGAGTTAGAATAAGGACCTGACCTGTGCAGTAGTAGAATACTGCAGACTTGAACTCACCTGGGATGTGCAGTAATAGTATAGCTTTATTTACATATCTTACAGTACCAGAAGGCATTTAGAGATTAAGACACAAGAGGAAATTCAGCTGGATTAGATATCTGCAAGAGATTACTTGGTGTGCTCTGCTCTCAAAAGAAGTTGCTTAAATTCATAATATTAATTGCTGTTATTCTGGCATAAAGGCAAAATATTAACTGCATTGCATCTCAATTCACACTATGCATATTGTTTCTACAGCTTTTTCCCACCAGGTCTGGCAGTTACATATACATGCCTTGCAGTGTGTTGTAGCCTTGAGGCTGTTACCTATTTTGTCTCATTGAAGCCCTTACCTGTTTTGTCCTATTTTGTCCTATTTTGTCCTAGTTGCTCTGTTAATTCAACCTGCCTTATGCAGCTCTATTTAACTGTCCTTCTCCAAGCTGTCTTTCATCTCTCCTTCCCTGGCTTTCAAACCTTGAACCTATTTCTGTTACTGGCACCTTTTTTCTTATTCCCTTGAGCATGCGATCAGAGAGTCTTTGCCACTCACCTCAAATAAATTGCTCAAAACATCCTCCACTGCAATCCTCCAGTCCAGTAGCATAAAAAAAATTCAACCTTTACTTCTGTTGGCATATTTATTTATCATTAACTATCCCTCAAATTATTCTTCAAATTGCTGGTTTGAATAATGAGCAATGCATGCTTTTCCTAGGTACTGACTCATGGGCCACATTTTGTGTTCAGCATTGCAAGTTTGGACAGCTTTGAAAAAAAGATGGCTTCTGCTCAAGCCGATCTACATATAGCATCTCATGACTTTGTTCCTGTAAGATACAGGACAACAAATGAACTGCTGTAAGGAAGGTTTTTTTTAAGTTTTCACTCATTTCCTGGCATATATTTTTTCTTCAAAAATCACTCAAAACCAGTAAGGTTGTTAAGCAGTTATGGTCTCTTTCTACAGACCATTAATGAGAAATTCCAAATTTTCAGACCTGTGACTGAACTCAACAATTACAACCTTGACTTACATTTAAGAATTCTTGGATTTTTTAAGAGATATTTCAGTATTCCAATTTTAATCTTTGTTCAATTTAAGGGGCATTGAGAAGCTTTATAAATATGAATAGTTCAAATCCCAAATTAACTTACCAAAGGCATGAGAATGTTCCATGGTTTTTCTTTTTTTGCTCGTCTTTTTGTTTTTGTTTTTATTATTATTATTATTTTTTTTTTTTTTTTTGGGGGGGGGTTGATGAGCCAGGATAAAATTTTTTCAGGTGTTGAAGAAACTAGTCCAAAGAAGTCTTGGATATTTGAGTATGCAGACAGTATTTGACTCTAAATTATGGATGTTTCTTCTTACAGATTCACAGCCCTGAGTGCTGCTCTAAGTATTGCTGTTTTAGGGTTAGTATGGTATTGGCTCTTTGGAAGAGGAACAAAAGGAGGAAACAAATCAGGAGGAATAATGGGAATGAATCCATTTGTAAGTCACTAAATCAAACAATTAGAGAGCTCTTTGATTGAGTGACATAACACCTGAACCAAGTATTATCTTAACAGCCAATAAGAATGAAGGAAATATCTTAAGGAACTGATAAAAGCTAAACACAACCTTTGTGTACTTCAGGAAAACATGAGTCACCAAGTTACTTAATGTTGGTTTTAATGTTGCATGGAGTGGTGGAAGAGGGACCAGCAAAAATTTTTTTCTTGTAAAGCCTTTTTTAAAAATAAATGGCACAGTATTTTGGTTAGACAGGACAGGTTGGTTATAGAGAGTTACAACACAATCCCTAGTTCACCAATCAGAGCAACTTTTTTCAAACCTGACAGCATAAGTATAGGTAATAAAAGGATTTCGAGTACAATTTGGTAGAGTAAGTTTTCAAGGACAACAAAATTGCACAAATCTTTATGGCAAATGCAATTTGTAGTCTTTGTAAAATTTACAATTGCTTATTACACCAAATTGCAAGAGAAATAATGTCTTTACTTGTTAGCAGTGTACATGAAAAAACATTGCAGAAAGTCAAGACAGACAAAATTTTGAAAGGGTGCAAACGCTATTTGTAATTTGCACTTGTGTTACAACATTGCACTTGTGTTACATGAGAAAACAATTGTTTTAGGCCAATCAGAAGTACGTAATTTTTTAATGTTCATTATTAAACTTTAATCCACAGGCTAACTACATCAAAGCCAAGCCAACAGTAGTCATGCCAGGAGGTGGAAAGGGAATAAGGTATTAGATTATGATCATTTCAAAGCTATTCTTGAAAATTATGTTAATTGACAATTTAATGTTTTAAAGACTTTGTGCAAAAATTTCTCATCAATTTCATAAGTTTATCTACTTATTTTCACACTCCTAAAATTACTTTTAAGCTTCAAAGATGTTGCAGGGATGGAAGAGGCAAAATGTGAAGTGATGGAATTTGTGGATTATCTGAAATCCCCTGCAAGATATTCAGAGCTTGGAGCAAAAATCCCTAAGGTTTGAACTAATTGATATATCATACTAGAAATAAAATGTGATATCTGTTGTTGGCTTTCCTATTTGTTGTGCCCATCATGTAGCTTTTATTTTATATATTTCCGAAATAAATTGATTCTCTTTTTACAGACCTAACACAAAATTTATTTTTGAGCTGACAAACAGCAAGCTCATCACAACTGCTCATCACAACTGCTCATCACAATTGGAGGGCTCAGAGCAAGAACGATCCCTTGATTTTTCGGCCATTTTTGAAAGTGTTCAGAAGTAGTTGAATTTTGGCATGTGGACACTTTCAAAAATGGCCGAAAAATCAAGGGATCGTTCTTGCTCTGAGCCCTCCAATTGATCAAACAAATGTTTGTTTTTTTTTTTTTTTTTTTTTTTCCATTTTTGCTTAAACACCTCTGGGAAAGTCAATGTGGATCATTTTTATTAATGGCAAATGATGCATATGACAATTCTTGTCCTTTTTAACTTTAATATGTTGGTGCTTTGATTGCAATAAAAATTGTCTAAAGATTGCATTACCATTTAGCTCCTAATTTATATAAGGTATCTTATTTAGTTGTTTTCTTCAACTCAGTCTGCATTCACTCTCCAAACTTCACCCATTGTAAATTCATTTTTTATTCATCTGTTTAATGTGTTTTATTTTTCACTTTTTAAGGGAGCTCTCTTGGTTGGTCCTCCTGGTACAGGAAAGACTCTATTGGCCAAAGCAGTTGCTACAGAGGCAGATGTTCCCTTCCTTACCATGGCTGGCTCAGATTTTGTTGAAGTTTTTGGTGGTGTAGGCTCAGCAAGAGTTAGGGATTTATTTGGTCGAGCCAGGAAACTTGCTCCTTGTATTCTGTACATTGATGAAGTTGATGCAATTGGAAGATCCCGCTCATCAAAGTGAGTTGGCTAGTTTATTTGGAAGAGGTTGCACAAAATTCTAGTTTTGTTCAAGATTTTGTCATTTCTCTCGTATACTGTGACTTACATACAGTATTTATTGACAGCTCGGAAATATCTGCTGGAATTAAACTTTTTTGAAATGGTTCAAATTTTTTTAAATTAGCTCGTTTTTTATTTTTTTGTTTTGCATTTAATTTCCCTATCGTGATCTTAAACTAAGGAACAAGACATTTATAGTTCAATCAAAATTTTAAAACAAGGGAAAGATTTTAACTTAAGCAAATTGAATTACATTGTTTTTTAGTTCTATGGGAGGACACAGTGAACAGGAAAGCACTTTAAATCAGCTTCTTGTTGAAATGGATGGTGAGCACTAGTTTATGACATTAACTAAGAGGGGTTTCAACAAAAAAACGGTTACTGCCGGTCTATGGCCACCTGTAAGACCTTTTACCGCCGTCTCTTGACTACCTGTGTGTGAGCTCTCGTGTTTGATTTTCGCCTTGCGGTACAGCCGTGTATTATACATGTACCTTCGGCAGTCGCTTAAGGGAAAATATATTGAAACCCTTGACTACTCTGCACATTTCAATCTTTCACTTCAGGAAAATTTAAAGCTGTGTCAATAACAAAAAACTATGATTTTAACTTGGATTATTCAAATTGCCACTTTCTTCAATCGTTGTGCATGTTCGCAAGAAGGTCGAGGTAACGAGGAGTCATAAATTTAAAAACGGAGAAACTGATCAATAATTTCCAACTTCTTTACCACCTCGTGCATTGTGGATAAATCTCCAAACCAAAGCTCCGCCAACGTAAAAAAATTGTGCTCATCTCTACAGAGATTTCTTTGAATCTTGCTGCTTCAGATAATTCATGTTACACCGCATAATGGACAGTTCTTGATCTTGTTGTCTAATTTTTTTTTTTTTTTGCTGGTAAGGTATGAACACAATGGAAGGTGTCGTGATGCTGGCTTCTACAAACAGACACGACATTTTAGACCAGGTAAAAATACTGTGACCAGAATTGATCACTTAAGATAATCTAGCAATCTCAGTGTTAAACCATACACATACTTGAAATTGGTCACAGCAAGTTTGATTGGTAAATGCGAGTCAGAGAATTAGGCCTACGAGTGGTGAGCATGGAAATATACAGAGCTACAAAAAAAGGATATGCAGTAGGCGACAAGCTTAGGGAAAGCCATGCCTAATTGGAAACGGTGTGGGAAACACCTGAAGACGCACGATAGGTAGTAAACACGGAGTTAATTAGCTTTAGTTGGCCAGAATTTCCGTGATGGAATTTATTTATTATTTGTTTGTCTTCTTTCTTGTTCTCTCGAGGCCCTCCTGAGGCCTGGACGATTTGATCGACTCATCTCCATCGACCTTCCAACTCTAATCGAGCGACAGGCCATATTTGAAGTTCACCTCAAGAAACTTTCCCTGAAGACGCCAGTCAAGGCGTTCTCTAAAACTCTGGCGGAACTTACTCCTGGGAACAGTGGTTAGGTTTTGTTTGAATGAATTAAAAAGCTCTCTTAATTATTTTTAATAATTAATCCCGCAGTATACCATGAAGAAAGTTCAGTCTTGGTAGTCCAATCAGAGACTCGGGTTTACAAAGTTGTCTTAATCACAGAAATTTCGTTAAATATCACTGAGGGAAATTACCATTTTGTTTATTTTGTTACGCTGTGTTACAAAGGGAAAATCTAAACAATATACTGATGACCTCACAAACTCACCTAATGCATATGCAAATCCCGTGGTGGATTTTCCGGTAGATACGCCCTCCCTTCCCCCAGGTCTTGTAGAATTGCGTCAGCCGTGTGCCTGGTGGCTGTTGAATGGTCAGAACCCATGCTAGCTATTAATCTCTCTTAGTTTCTCTCTCCTGACAGGTGCAGACATTGCCAACATTTGCAACGAGGCTGCTCTGCATGCAGCTCGCATGAATGAGAAAACGGTTGATAAGCGAAACTTTGAATATGCTGTGGAAAGAGTCATTGCTGGTAAAGTAAAGTAAAGTAAAAATTATATCTGCAAGAATAGATTGAGTTATCTTACGATGACACAGCGGTCATTTAAAATCATCTATAATAAGAGAAATATAGTGAGAGATCGAATCAGTCGTGAACTGAGAAGGGAAAGTAACCCTGGGTTACTCTTGTTTTGTTTCACTACTCTGTTCGATTGACTCAAAACTCGCACTACCTTACAGCCAATCAGATGCAAAACTGAAACCCGCAGCGACGTGCTCACATGTGTTTCCTGCGCTTTTGTCACTTTGCTTGTTTTTCGCCGTTAGTTGTAACGAGCCCCTTGTGTTTTTATTTTTTTTTTTTTTTCATTTGCTCTCAGTGGCCATTGTGATTATTTTGGTCTTGGTTTAAGAGAGTCGATCGAAATGCGTACGAAACACCAGGAAAATAGTATTAACTCGGATCATTGTCATTTCTGTGCGCAGACACTACCCGATAAGACCACTTTGAACGAAAACCGATTGTAAATATTGATCTAATTGATCAAAACTTGTTTTTGTCTACGCGGATGAATTCATTTTCCACGCGGCAATCCTTAACCATACATTGCACTGTACTGAATGATTATGTTATCAGTAAGGCAGACATATTCAATTTCCTCCTCGTAATCGATAGTGGTTTACCGTATCTGCTTCCTAGTTAGACAATATTCTTTGTGTATTTACGTAAGGCATGGAAAAGAAGACTCAAACTATGTCTCCTGAAGAACGCCACATAGTTGCTTTCCACGAAGCTGGACACGCTCTGGTCGGCTGGATGTTGGAACATACTGATCCGTTACTCAAGGTAAGAAAACAGTTTGATTAGAAAACAAAAATCATAATAATAACAACAGCCAATTAGAGGAAAGGAAGATACTATAGCAGCAATACCAATCAGACTGCCTAAAGCGCGGAAAAACCCGGGCGATTAAGTAGTGGTTAGTTTTAATGTTGCATCTGATTGGTTCGGAGAGTCACGCGAGTTTTCTGGACTACTCATAACCATTAGAGTTTCCGCAAATGTGATTGGTGCATTAGCAGCTTTATTTTTCACCAATCATTCTGCACAGTTGTAATTGGACAGTGCAATCGGACAGTTGGCTGTAGTCGGACACCCGTAATCGAACAGTTAAAGTAACCAATCATACGAAGTCCACCCAGCTAAATCCACCAATCACAGAATTGATCACAATAACCATAGCAACAACCACTTATCCTGAAAAAAAAAATGGGGAATTTCCAAAATGGAGGAATTTTTTACTTTAGACATTGTCTCTACCGGAGATGTTTGTCCTAAATGTATTTGTTTTTATCGGAAATTGAAACGGTTGCGATTAATTGGTAACAGGACTTCAAGCCGTGCAATTCAGTCTGTAATCATACTTGAGATTGACAAATCGAACGACCGCAAAAGTCACTGGTATGATTACAGACCGAATTGGACTCCACTCCGTCCTATTACCATTATAAATCCCAGAGAGAAGTAAAGCAAACCCAATGCAATCCCAGATTACTTTGGACACTCAATTGAAAATTGCTCTTTAGCGCTTTGGGTTGTAAGATTGTGTGGTGAATATACTATCTAGATCATTGCCGGAAGTAAGTTCAATGGGACGATTCAACCCAAGTCTAGAACCAGGCACCCAAGTAACTACCCATCTAACTTGGCTTATATGACCTTATATTGTCAGATCAGACAATTCTTAACAACAAAAACAATTTTACTAAGAGAAACAAGTTCTCTGAGGTCAAGTTTTTGTTTTAGGAGTAGGAACTGACGTAAAAGAAAACCTTCAACAGAGATCGAAATTTAGATTCGGTCTCTCTACGATCATTTTCAACGGAGCGCTTATTATTCATTGTTATATGTTGTTCTCTGTCTTGTTAGAGGCAAACCCACCAATTTAATATTTTTCTTTCAAGCTTTCCATTGTTCCACGGACCAACGCTACCCTGGGTTATGCGCAGTATCTTCCCTCGGACAACAAACTTTACAGCACTGAACAGGTTAGACAAATGACTTTTCTTAAGAACATCTTTATTTAACCTTTCTTTTTTTTGAAAGAAAAGTACGAGATTGTTTTCCTTCCTTTTTTTCCTATGTTTTAAAATGGCACCCCTTTTTGTTTCCTTTTAGTTGTTTGATCGAATGTGCATGGCCCTGGGAGGAAGAGCTGCGGAAGCCAAGATATTCCAGCGAGTTACTACAGGTATGTGAACTCGCACCAGTTTCTTATCAAACACGCTACCAAATCTGTATCGGTGGTGCCTGGACCGAATATGTGGCATAGCTTACTAGCTAGTTTCTTCTGTGATGTTAGAGTATCTAACCTTATGATCGGACGGTCCAAGATTCGAATTCCCGCGAAAGTCGAATATCTCTCGCGCGTGAAAAATATGTAACGTCCTTCTGAGGTCCAAGGTGAATTACCCACTTACTTTCCCGCGGTTTGGTGCTTGTCTTTGTACATCTTGTTCTGAGGGTTTTTCCTTTATGATCATCGGGTTGAAAAGAAAATCCCTTTTTCTCGTTTAAACCTCACTTTAAGCCTTTTGTGGTCGTTTTTTTTCCTCAAGGAGCCGAAGATGATCTTCGCAAAGTAACTGACATGGCGTATAAACAGGTAAACTCTTCATTTTGTGGAGTTTTGTTGTAGGAACGGGGGAGGGGGAGGGTGGGGACTTGAAACTACTCCTCGTCTTGGGTTACTCTATGTATTTACAGCGCGGAACTCAGGGTAAACTTTGGTAACTGTCAGCCTGAAGTGGGCGTTGCATCAGCTGACTGTATTTACGATTCTTTTTGCAGGTTGTGACGTTTGGAATGAACCCTCGGGTTGGGAATATTTCATTTCCCGTTAGAAAACCCAGCGAGCCGACCAAGAAGTTCTACAGTGATAAACTTGCTAAGCTCATGGATGAGGTACGATGTAGACTAGTTGCTTTTTTAAACCAACCCTGGAAAGAAAAGGAGCAGCCATAGTAGGAATAAGAAAATACATTGCGCGCCTTTCTACGTTGATAAATGCATCTGTAAGGCACCAGTAATTATTTATCATGGGGGGGGGGGGGAGGTCGAGGGATTCGGGGGGGTCACATGGTCTTCAGGGGAAACGAAGGGGGATCATTAGGATACTACAGAGCCTAAGGGGGAGATCAGGTAAATTTTACTACGACACGACCAAAATCCTTCAACCCTTCCCCCCCCCTCCCCTCCCACGTGATAAGCAATGTCTGACTGTCATTTCTCAGAAAGCCGACGTGTCTTTGGACTATATACTCTCATGTTATGACTATTATTTTATCCCTTATATGAAGATCAAATTTCTGTTTCGGTTGACGTTCTTGGGAAAGATTTGTTAAAACCAGAGATCAGCTCAGGCGTGAACACGTCATTGGTGACAGGCAAACCGTTGCAAAGCGCGGGTCTGGTACCTGATATGTTGTGTGGTTAGCTCCACACTGTTTGGTTTCTAGAGATCACAGGAACACGTGCCTGCACTGTTACTGGTGTGACCTGAACTCATTTAAGGGCTGAAGAATGTTCGGAAAATCTAAATTTTTGTTTATAATTTAGGAGGTACGCATATTAATCAGAAAGGCATTTCTGACTACAAATACAATCATTGAAGAAAACTTGGACAAACTAAATGCGGTAAGATTATTTATGTGCTATGTTTATTTACATTTGTTCTAAATTCTCCGAAATTTTTATAGCAGAATTGTCATCGAAATTGTCTGTGTTGTATATGCGTTGATGAGCCAGCTTTCAGCTTCCATTTTGTGGAAACTTGAGCACGATTGCAATTTGCTTCTGTTGACTCGGTTCATGACAACTCCATCTAAAATTAAGTAAAATGCAATCAACTTAACCAATACAAGGGATACAGTAGAGGAAAAGGTATCTCCTTTTGGTCGTATATATCTTTTTTTTTTCTCCTCTTTTCTTTCCAGCTTGCTCATGAACTTCTGACCAAAGAAGTCCTCAGTTACGATGATGTGGCGGCAGTGCTGGGACCGTGTCCTTACGGTGATAAAAGGGTCCGTTTTAACTCACAAGATGGCGAATCGAAGTCCCAGTCTCTCTTCACGACTTAATTACGAGTTCCTATACCACAGTCTCCAAACCTTCCGTCTTACTAGAGTTTGTTTCAGTCAAAATAAAGTACACAGCAATAAAACTCAAGCTGTTGAAGACAACGGACCATTGAATATCATGGGTAGAATTCGGCTGTGGACTAGATTGATTGTCTTCACATGTATAGCTGTTGTATAAATATTTGTAAATAAAACAAGAGACCAATTTAAGTATATGCAATAATGTTTCTAGCTTCAGTTTCTGTGGTAGGCTTTTGAAAGCCTTTCCCCTCACTGGTTAAGAGCCAGAGTCACAATTCGTTCGGGTTCAGTCCTTTAGGCCAAATGGCCCCAACCAGTAGGGCTTATCCATGTAAACTGAGCCTGCACTCTCCCTGGACGGTAGGAGTCCAACCCAATCCCTTCAGACCCTTGATACTCTTGGAGGCTCTGCCACCGAGCTACATAAGACAGTGGCAGGATAGGCCGTTTCAGGGAGTAAGCAGAACACCAAATTAAATATCAAGTTGATTTTATTTTTACATTTTATACACAGAGTAACGAAATTACAATGATCATGTTGTTCACTGGCAATAAATTTCTGAAAGAACATAACACAATCCTGTTGTTGATTCTCAATTTTTGCTTGGTTAGTATAGTAAAAACATGATTGCGAGTGCAATTTGGTGTTAATAAGCAGGAGTTAATTCTTTAAAGACCACAAAATTACACACGCCTGTGGAGTGTGTACAATTTGTAGTCTTTGATAAATTTAACACTTCTTTACACCAAATTGCACAAGAATCATGTTGTTACTTTTTAATAATTTACATGAAAAACTCATCAAGGAGAGTCAACAGACAAAATTTTGGTAGCATACTCGCTATTTGTATTTGCACATGGGTCACAAATCTACACTCGTGGTGCATGATTAACGTACTCATTTTAAGTCAATCAGACAAGTGTAATTTTTTCATGTATATTATTAGAAGCCAAAGAGAAAAGATTAAGGAAGTCCTAAAAATTTCAAAAACAGTTGTTGTACAACAGAAGCACACCTTAAGTAACCAAAGAACTTCACAGAAAACTCCTCTCAACTCTGTGACAAACTCCATACAATCCACAAAATTAACATGTAACATAAATTCCCTCCAGATGGGTAAGAAAGTTATGATGACTGCAGTAATATTCCTGAAAAGTTTCTCACCAAATATGCATACAAACAGCAAAATCTCTACCTCTGCTTGCAAAATCTATAAAACAACCAAGGGGCCCTCTAAAGATCAAAACTACTCAATTTATGAAATGACTGGAATGGATAAGTTTCTGAAAGACACCTAAAAAAACCTTGTTTAAGACTGCCATTCATTCATGATATTAGCAGTTTAGTTTTGTACATACTAAATTATTTGGGTCAACTTGCTATTTTCAGTTTAGAAAGTCAGTTTTGGGGTAACTATGCTTCCTTTCCTAACATATCTCTATTTCTAATATATAATGTGAAATAATTATAACTGGTTTTTCATTGCTAGTATGCCAAGCACACATTTGAACAATATTTACTGTCAACCAAAGACCTCTGGTTGCAGGTTCTTCTTTGTTCTTTTTCAAGTTCTTTGCAGAATAAAATATGCCTTCAGCCAACATAGCTCACATTCTGCCTTATCCTAGCACATTCAAAAACGAAAAAGTGGAAATAAAATAATGATTATGAGAAAACTACGAAACCTGAGGTTACTGCATAAATTCCATTAACAAAAAAAAATAGCCTTGCTCTAACACAGTACAGTACTCAAAATAGCAGACAGTCAATGATTCATTTGGACATTGAATTAGTAAGCAAGTAGGAAAGTAAGTAAGAAAAGACCTGAACATACTGTAATGTGATTAAGACAATTAGACAAAAAAAACAATCAGACAGTAGGATCTCACCCACTGTCAAGGCAATATTCTGAGCGCTGCAACTTGTTTTTTCTCAAATTTGTGCATAGCATCCAGGCTGATTTTATTACAAAATAACAATTGCATGCAAAGAAATCTCTTGCTGTTCTTTCTATTGATGCCTTCTTCAAGGACACCCATTTATGGTTCTCCTTCAATTGAACTGACAGTCATGGTACAGTAATAGCAACTTCTGATCAAGTTAAGGATACCAGCAACAAATGCGCCAATCCAAACCACATAGATACCTAGAGAGAACACAAAAGAGTTTGGCATTAGTGTATCTTCAATGAAAACTAATGATCTACACAGTGATAAAGAAAGAAGAGGAAAGAAATAAAAGAATTAATTTCATAACCAAGTTTTGCAAAACTCTAACCAGTTTTTTATCAATAATTCTTACATACGAAGTCCAAAGTCCTTACTGTGTGTTAAACGAATTAACTTTTTCTCCCATAGAAAAATACAAGGATCCGAAACTTACAGTACAAACCAAAAATTTCCTTTTTCTAATTTTCTACGACAATTGACAGAAATAAAGCCAGACAGACAGGAAAGAAGTTAAATAGCTGTATACATGTGCACCTGTGGCTTACCTCCTGAATCTTTTGCAAGGTCCAGGGTTCCCACAGTAACTCCAACACCTGCTGCTAGGAAGATGAATCCAATGACAGCAAATATAGTGGCACGAGTCCTGGCAAAATTTGGTCCCACCGAAGATCTAAGATAAACAGATCATTGATTTAAGATTAAACTAAGACATACATTAAAAATGATAAATCACAGAAAGAATACTGATGCATCACAGACCACTACACTGTTATGATGCCATAAGCTAGTTAAGTCACCTTTTAGAAATTCTTTATACCCTCCCACATGATCACCCCACCAATCTGGGGCTGGCTACAATCCTTTTAAGACAATCAATACAAGACCAAAATCCTTGAGAAATAACTGACAATCTCTCACACTTAAACCTAATGGTGCCAATGTTGTTCCTGTTTGACCAAGCCCTACACTAACAGACACCCCTGAGGAACCTAGCTGAGTAGCAGAGAGACCACCAGTAATATTGAACCTCCCAATATGAATGTTGAAAAGTTACACTGATGATAAACCTGAACAGTTATATACTCACATTCTTCTGCAGTGGGGACATCTAGCCAGGTGGCTTGTTGTGTGAAACTGGAAGGAGAGAAAAAAACATATCAATCTAGGAATACAAAGTTGATTAACTTCACTTACAAAACTGTTATTTTGATTGACAATAAATGGCAACCTTCTCAATTGTTGCAAGTCTTGCCTGTTGTGATAAAAACAAGATCATCTCCTTGCTTATATGTAGTCAGCTAACAAATAAGGATTGCTGATTTGATATTCCTTATAGACACCAATTGAAACAATACATAAAAAGACATTTTATTTCAATACATTTAACCAGACTGAAACAAACTCAAATTTTTATTTAAATGATTCTCAATCAGAATACAGGTAAATAGATAGATATGTATTTTAAGCAAAAGCTTCCTGTATCTTTAGCAGATGCTGTAATGCTAGTTTTATGTGAAAGAGTGACAACAAAAATACATGTGACAGAAAACTATATTTATAACTTGTGTTGGCTAAAACTGTATGTGCACCTTACAGGGTGGAAGACACATGACATATTTCATTCAAAGACCAGTGAGATCTAATTAAACAAAGACAACAAGCACTCTGAGACATGTGAAATAACCTAACAATTTTGTTGGCTGCCAACTGCTTTTGAAAAAAAAACTTAGAACTTACCACAAAGATCTCATTGCAATGTCCACAAGTCACTCTAAACTGACTTCTAGCCATAGCTGGTATTGTTGCTGCTGGCGGCAGCATTGGAGGTGCTGCAAGGTTGATTATGCGCTTGCTGAAGGACAAAAGTGAAATTATTCACACAAGCCATAAAACCAAAAGAAAATTTTACTAGAGAAGGCGAAAATTACATCAACTGGAATTACCTTTGCAAGATCACAAAATAATTCAAAAACAATAACTTTACAATATGTTGATAGAACCCTTCTTGGAGGACACCTGGATCACAAAAATGTTGACATGTGTCAAATAAATTTCTCTCTATGACGTCCATTTTCCAATTAACCCTTAAACCCCAAGATCTACTTGATAATTCTCCCCTCTAACTGATACAGATTTCCTTGACACTTAGTTATGAGAATTTGGTGTTGAATCAACATAATAACTTCTATCTGCTAAATTTGAAAATTCCCATTAACTGATTGCTGGATAATGTATGGATATTTAAGTGAGAAGTTACATGTCAGTCACTTCTCTGAGTTACAGTGTTGACACAGAATTGAGTGACAACTCAATCTCACAAATGGAAATATCCGTTCAGAACTGACCAGTTAACTCTTGGGCAAGATATCCTGACGGAGGAGACCTTGCAGGTCAACAGAGCATTACACGGGCAACGAATGTATTTCTTGCCAGCTGGAGGTGCTTTTATAGGCTGAGGGAAGGAAAAAAAAAATATCCAATCTTTCTCCTCACAATATCACACCTGGATCAGACATTAAGGTGACAACAATAAAGGAAATAATCAAGAACTCAAGAAGCTCTAGATTGTAAACAAATTCTCCTTGTCAGCACCTTTGGAGATATGTAAAGAACAGTATGGAGAAAAAGCATATTGATGTTAAGAGTGTACAGGAATAAATGACAGAGTTAGATGACTCAATTTATTGCTATGTGGAGGCTTAGCCCTTTATGCAACTTTTTCTTTGCTTACAATGAAAAATTAATTTAGATATTCTGGCTATAGATACCAGTATGTTACATGAGGGTATCACTCTTTTTTCTATTTTTTATTAAAATCTGGAATTGCAATCTGAGCTACATATATGTCAATCCTTCTGAATAGGAGTATGAATTTGCAATTTAATCTACATTAATTTTATGTCATTCCTTATCAATAGGCATAATTGGAAGTCAGTTTCTCACCGTAGCTTCTTGACAGTTGGCACACTTCACAACCCGCTGGTGTTCCCTTCCTTTAATGTAAATGAGCTGTTGACAAACTCTGCAGATCACAGATGGCTCAGTGTTCATTGAAATTGGTGGGGCGTAGGGTGGTGGCATTTCTGAATAAGCCGGTGGAGGTGTTCCAGGAATTATGGGAGGAGGACCTTGAATAAAGAGTAATTGTTAAAATAACTGAAACTCTTGCATTGTTTAAGTTTTGCTCTTCAACAACAGATCTGAAACCACTTGCAAATGCAGCACACCAGCTTTACTTCTGCCAGTTTGAAAGGAGGTTTATAAAGCTTTTGCCCCACTGCAAGTTTTCCATCTATTACCTTAGGGAGTTTGCCCCTAAATCTTTCAGCTTTATTTCTTGCTGCAGAACCAGTTAGATAAAGACCAGAGTTATGTAGCAGCTTTGCATCACTTGTGTAGTAGTCACACATCTTTTAACACAGTTGCTAATTTGCATGTTGATAAAACTCAGTTATCATTTTACTGTGAAATTTTATGTTAATTACAACATATCATGGTTTCAACAAAATAAAATATTCCATAAGGAATAGACCTTTTTACAGTTCTTGGCACCATATTGGATTAGTAACTGTGCACACACGATAACGAGGCTGGGGATCTTTCAAACAGCTGATCTATTGACATTTCATGTTCTAATACACTTTTCAATGCGATTTCTCCCTTTAAAATGGTTCTTTAAGACAACAACATGGAAATTTCATCATTAGATGACATTCAGAAACTCGTAGCAAAAGATCTCAGGGAGATTTTAAAATCTAATTCAAAATCAACAGGCGAAATCAGAGCCAACTTAGTGTCAAAAGTTCACACTTTGCTGATGTGACACGTCCTGCCATCAAGTAGTGGAGAAAACCGAGAACTTCTTACAGTTGTTCAGGACCTAGAACAGAACCAGAGCGACTTCGAATACAAAGCAACTATGGTGAGGATTTCAGCTCTTGGATGGTCGAGTGATCTCCGTAATTTACCTGAGATGAATTTCATTCAGCTTTACAATTACCCTGTTGTTTCACAAGAATATCGCTACATCATGCTGAGAGGAATGCATTACAGGAAGTACCACAGAAGCTGTTCAGTATGGTTTAGAAAGCAAGACAAAGGCTGTAGCCCTCTAGGTAGGGGAGATTTGTTATTGCTGCTGTTGTTTATGTGGTACTTGTTGTTGTTGTACCATATTCTTCAGTTAAAGTTGTTCCCATTTTGTTTACCAAGATGTATTTTAGTTTGCCATTTGTACATTGTATCTTATGGGAAACTATACAATAGAGCCTGTAGAACCACTTGATTATAACCCTTCTTTCTATCAATCCATGAGGGAAACTGTAACTAACAGATGTTATAATATTTTGATACCCATCTGGCCCAGGACAACTTATGCTCATGATACATTGAAAACTATTTCAGCTCACAATTCATAGTAATTTATTAGATGGCAAGACAGCATTGAAAAAATTAGACCAAAATATTAGACAATTTAAAAACTCCCAAAAGTGACTGATTCATGTAACTTCTCCCTATAATATCCAAACACTATCCAGCAAACAGATAATGATAATACTGAAACTTATCAGGCAAAAGTTATCTTGATCTTACATCAAATTCTCATAACTTATTTACAAGTAAATGTGTAGCAACTAGAAGGGAGAATTAACAATCAGATCTTGGGTATTTGAGGGTTAAAGGAAGAGAACAGAAATGCTTCCTCTCAGCTACTGATCTCAACAATGCTAGTCCTTTACACACATTTAAGTGAATTGATATTCCCATTCTTAGCGATCAGAGGCCTTCTGACACAAAGGTTTGTTATACTAGTTCTTATTGCATTGTGTTAACCAATGTTATGATAATATAATTTTGAGATGTAAAGAAGATACTTAAAAGATTGAGAAATATGTCCAAATCAAGATATTTACTTTATACTGTTACAGTTACCATAAGATTTGTTTGGAAGAGAATCTTTCAGACCATCGAATTTTATGAGAAATTAATTTTGCGAGACTTCTATCAAACTTTTTATTATGAGAACAATTTTGTGAATAATAAATTTAGTGTCATGGTTCATCTTGTGTTGAGACCTCTTTTGGTTGGTGAAACTCACTTTTACTTTTTTTCAATTTGAAGCATCAAATTGATTGATACATAATGCACAAAAAATATTTTTTGAGAGTTCCATGTAGCATCCACAGTGGATTACTATGCTATCATAAAAAACAAAAACAACAACTACTGAAAACTTCTTTTGTCACAATTGCTACCAAATTTGTGTCAGTTTTCTGGGTCTGCCATAATAAGTGAAAACTTGAAAGATACAGTGTCTTGGTTATTTTATTAAAAGCAATTACTTTCCAAGAGTTTTTCTGTTAGGAGTGTTTAAGGCAAGCCATGTAGTAAACAGGTGAGCAGTACTGAACTTATTGACTTACTGCTGACATAAAAAAAAAACTCTATTGTACTTAAAACAATTCAGGTACCTAATAGAAAATTTGTATTAATTTTGCAACAATAGTTACCCTCATCCATAATTCACAGAGAATAAGATAAGTATAGAACAATAAATACTTAGCAAAAATACATGCCTCTGTGCATAAACTTGAAGAAGTGAAAGCTTGTAGGCAAACCATTGGGGCCATAAAATGTATTTGAAAAACCAAAAGCGGCACACTGCTTTCCTTTCTTTTTGGGAGAAAAATTAGCTTTATTGAGATTTCGGCTAGGACCATTCATTTTCCTTAAAAATCGAACAATTTTACAGCCCACCTACGAATTTCAACAAAAGCGCTCACAGAGATTTAACACGAGTCAACCCCAGCCTGGTTCTCATGTGTGCGCGGTTGCATGTCCAATATGGCGCTAGGAATTGTAAAAAGGTCTATTTGGTGGTACACTTGTTCTGAAGCAGGGGTAGAACTTGAAAATCTGGTAAGGGATACATCTGCAATGGGGCAATACCTTCAGATACTGCTGATGCCATTAATATTTGCCTTTTACTGACTAAATATTCTGTGAAACATGAATTGGCAAAAAATGTAACACAAAAGAAAAAACTATCATGATGTCAACATTCACTCACAGCTTGGTAGTTTAACCTACATTCTTACATGCACCATAAAATAGGGAGTTTTTTTGTGACCTGTAAGAAGTATAATCACTGTCTGGAGTAGAAATTAACCATTTGCAACAAAAAGCAATGAGTAAGTGAATGCAATGCTGTGACACTGCAATAAAATCAGATGCAATGCCTCACTAACCGAAAGCTTTACCACAACTCCCTGAATTTTTTTTAACACATGACGAGTTTTCTCATGGGACTTTTTTCTACTTGATTGCACACATTTAGCTTTGTTAGAGACAAAAATAAATGTATAGAACAATACAAGTGGCAAGCATATCAGAATTTAAGGTCAAAATATATAAAAAATGCTGAAGAATGGAAAGTGTTCCCCTATTACGTTACCAATATGGATCAAGCTGCCTGCGGTTATTACCCAAAAGCCATGATATGCGCATTCTTTTACTTTTCGATTTTGCACCAACTCATCGAATGATTTCGTCCATTCTTTAAACTTGATTGGAAGACCATAATTAATCCCCATACATCTAAGCATTTCTCAAAAATCTGCATCACACCGAACAAGGCTCAAAGGAATTAAACTACAACCGGCTTTCATCTAACTGCAATTGTTATCGCAACAACACTAAGGCTGAAACAAACATGGTGTGAAATGAATTGTTGCTTGTCACAAAAATATCAAATCGGAAAGTTGTGAATCCTTAGTCGCACCCTTAATATATCCTTGAGACTTCTGAGAAGAATCATTAGAGTTTAATACCCAAACTGCGAAACAGGAAATATTTCGTAATACGCTTCGAAAATAAACAGGAATGAAGTTCGACCATCCGCAGTTTCCTCTCAAAAGGATGAAAAGAGCTTATAATGGTTATAAATCCACTTACTTGCGACGAATGGAGGTGGTGGTCCCAGATTTTCATTTCGATCATCTTGTTCTTGCAACAGAGGAGCATTTTCACTTGAATCAGGCTCTGGAGGGGCAGATGTCCCTGCTGAACCCCCTGCGTTAGCCGCCATTTTGTGTTCTTGGGAGTTACTCAAGCGACGAAGGAAGTCACGTGACAATCAGGTGACAGTCATCAAAAAAAAACTACGTCATGGGCTTATAAAAAACCGAAATGATCCATGTAACGGAATTGGACTCGCAGGTTACCTTTGTCGGTATTTTTTGTCCAAATTTCCCTCCCCTTTTCGTCGATAGATAGCTTTTGAAAGTTTATTTTATTTTTTCAAATACCGTATTTCATCGAATAAGCACCTGCACCCTACTAAGCGCCTTCCCCCCAAAAAACCCTCACCCCCAAGGCTATAATATTAAACAAACGAGAAAATACAGTTTGCTGAACATCTGTATAGCTGTGTCGCACGAATTGAGCGTTAACATTACAGAAAGTCTATCCTTTTCAGTTATATATCATTAAAATTTGATACTGATTTAAATGAATGAAACAGTTTTCAACAGTATTTTTAGAAAATTTTGTAAATTACTTGCCGTCGACTCGTGATTTAAAACCTTTTATTGAGTTTTCCCATCATCCTGGGTGGGTTATTACGCCAGCACGGCTGTTTCGCGATGGAAATTTAGTTCGCGCATGCGGTCTACAGGAAACATCGAGTTAATTATTACTTTTCTGGTTAATACCAAATTGTGTATTTGCATAAATCTAGCGTCCATGGCAACCCCTTGGGCTAAGACCTAGTTTAGCCAATGAAATTTTACTGCGTATGTAATGTATGTGAGCGAAATTCAGCATGGCGGATGTGTGTACATGGGAGAGACCCTTGCTGTCGAAAATTTGAGTAAAATCGGTCAAATTTTGCCTGTATTCGACGAAAACACGTTGCTATGGTGGAGTTCAACAAGCACACCCTATGAAATCGACTGAAAACTTTGATTTCAATTTGCAAAAGGCCCGATTTTTTTCCAGCAAAGCAAGAATCACAAGAGAAGACTTCATGAACAACTGACAGAGGTAAGTGTTTTAATCCGAATTGTTTTAGACTCCTCTCGAGGCGCTTTTAATATGTTAAGATCGGCCGTTATGCAACTCCATTTTGAATTTCGGAAGTACTGAATTTTAAGCAAAACAGTCTGTAAACGACTGGAGAGCTTTAGTTTTGGTTCCAAAGAGTGCGGTAACACTTTTATTTATCTAAATTAGTACTTGAGCAAATAAATTACACTAGATTTACAGACATAGTACTCGTTCTTAGTCAATGAACCGATACATTGCAAGTGAAAAGGCAGGAGATTTACCGGTACTCGTTCGCTTTTCGTTTTAAATTTCTCTCTTTAGGTTTGGGAGCTTTCCGGACTCGTGGCAATGTGGTGGTTTACAAGGATTTGACGTAATCTCGTGTCCTTTTTCTTCACATGGTCAAAATGCTGGGACTGAGTGTTGAAGGAGTGTATTCCTTCAATCCTTTGTTCACCATGGAATCCATTGTTGAAGAAAAGGGCAAACATGTTCTAGCATATGGAGCCTTAGTGTGATCATCATGTCTGTACAAAATAGGTGACACGTCATAACCATAAAGGTCGTAAAACGGTGGCGCGCATGAATAGTGTGAAAAATACACTGTCGTTACACTGCTACTTCTACGTCATGGTTAAAATCACATCTAGAAACTATAAAGTGTTCCTCTAGCCCATGCAGCCAATAAAATTATTTGTGCATTAATTTCTACAAGTTTTTCAAATCAAGGTACACTCTTTGTCGACCTTACTTTCCAACCCTATTACAGTCCGGGATAGGGTTTAATTATAGGTTTTTGTTCAAAACAAAAACTACGAAGAAAGAAAAACTGATTTTCCTTACAGCTCCATTGCCTAGTTTACTTAAGCAGACCCAACTCGTGCTACCATATCAGAGAAAATTAAAATAATTTTATTTATTTATGTTTCTGATTAGTTTCTGTAATGAAATTAGAACGTAAGATACGTTAGTTAAGTAGCCATTATTATGATGTGATCATGTGAACACCTGAGAAAATGTAATTTCTGACGTTTGAGTGACATGGCAACGAATTAGTCAGAAATTAATATTCTGACGGCACGTTGAAGAGGTTCGCATAGAGTGACAACATGGTAGTTTCGGATTATTTAAGCGTTTCACGGGGAAAATTAAGTCATTCTACGTCGGTCAGTGTTAGGTTTGACCACTTTCCTTTTTTTTATTTAATGTAATTTTGTTTTACAACTCTGTAAAATACCACTGCTTTCATTGAATTTTCTGTGTGATTATTAGTGTAACTAGGTTTATTTTAGTTACCCTTTCCTCGGGGTATAGTGCTGCTGCATTAGATGAGGAATACGTTTCCACATATTTTTTGGCCTCTTCTAATGAGTGGTTTTTTAGTGGTTTTTCGTATCTGGCGTCGCACAGCCTATTTTTGTATAACCCTTCAGTTTCAGTGAGTACTTGCAGTACATTGCAGATTGTAGTAGGATGTGTAGACTACAAGACTGGCTGACTCATCCTAAATGAACTTTCACATTGAATATCTCGCCTGAGTGTAGTCAGCCTGTGGGCTAGCGTGCGAAGAAATTATAAGCACGTTTTTCACTTTTCTTTCATCTTTTTTTCCCACACATTTTCCGTTCTCGTTGGTTGCTCGTGATATCTTCCTCTTCCCTGATTTGCTGTTGTGTTTACTTTAGTTTTAATCTTGCGACACTCAAACAAAATGCGTATGCACTCTAGGTCACTGAGTTGAGTGGAGACCGACTTCAATAAGTCTTTAAATACATTTGCAATGAAGAGTCTAAGAAAAGTGTGAAATAAGTGTGGCAAAAGAAAAACGACTCCATTAGCTGAGTTGAACTTTCTCTAATTACAAATTACGGATAATGCATAGCCTAAAAGACTGACAGCCCCTGACGTTCATTGGCTCGGCCTACATCCTGAAGTGAGGGGATTTAGTAGAGGGGAGGGGAGAGGAAGACAAAGAGTCGGTGGGGGATAAGGGGAACAGGTGGGAAGATATGCATACACGCCCGTTACCACCCTGGATCAAAAGGAAGGTCGAGTAGATTATTCATAAATTCTATGAATTCGTCGTGAGGGCAAACTTTCCCAAATAAATATTAGTAAACTATCTTTTTCATCTAAAACGTTGTTTCCCTATGGGACGTGGACATAGCATGTAACAAAATGTTAAAACTATATCACTTAATACATTTACAATACAAATCGGGAGGCACTTCAGCCTACGACATCATTTCATAGTTTTCATTAAGATGTCGCTAGTATACATATATTTTTTTAAGGGGCGAAATGTCCCTTAGCATATGTGAGTAGCTTTTGCGAACAGTTTGCGGCTGCGGTCAAGTTGATCGATAGTCCACAAATCGTCTCTATTTTACAACGACGAAAACAAAATAAAAAAGAAAATTATGTCAAATGATCTCTAAATTTTTCAGCAAAAGACGGACTGAAACTTAATTACTAATTAACCAGCCAGGATTCCAGATCATTCGCACAAGACTCTGTTCGAAGGCGCTCTTTAGATTGTTTTCGTAACTCTGATTGTTCCACGAGTTAACTCGTTCCCAGTCTTTTTCATAACGCGCACGATTCGGGGGTTGCGGTTAAGAACAAGGGCATGATGGGAAGGGGAACACAAGGCACTGCTTGCACCATTTTGGCAAATGAAATCTTGTCGGCCGGCAGTATGATGGCTACTGAAGGCGACGGATTATCTTAATCAAACGTGAAGTTTCCACATTATAACTTGACCGTCCTCTCCACCGGTGACTACAGTACAGCCATCACTTGATACATCTATGCATCGAATGGCTCCTGGTGAGAAAAGAGAAGTAAATTGATTTCAATCAACAAATTTCATGCCGAAGACTAGCCTTTCCATGTACTTACGTGGTCTTCCTTTTTGCACTACAAAACTAAAACAGTGATGTAAAAACTTTTCCGGGTCGAATATAGCAAACTGCCTCTATTAAGCCTCATGACTGCAATCTTCCCAAGGGGTAAAGAGGCTTATCTTAAAGGTTACTTACAATCGGAATCAGCATAAAAATAAACAAACATAAAAATAAAATGTGTCTTAAATAGCTATAGTAGTGCTGATCGAACTACATTTCCTATTTTATGATTTGTGATCATGCTTTTTAAAGCTTGAAATTATAGAAGCTAGGGTAAGACTTACATTGAGGTTAGAGGGAAAGGTTTTAAAATCGGTTTTATCTTATTCGGTTGCTGAGCATATGTTAACAGTGCGATAGTAACAGGGAAGAGAAAAAATGAGGGAGGTTTGGGTCGGGTCGCGTAATAGCCCGACCCAGACCTCGCTCACGTTCAATCTGCCTCTACTATCGCGCCGTTTACTATTTCGATCGTCTTATTAACTGAACGCCTGGAACAAGCTGGAAGGTTTCTCAGCGACTTACTCTCTTGTTTGTAATCAACAGAGCTACAGAATTTCAACATCGACGTGAAATTAAAAGTTTAAATCTTTGATCTACTTCACCTTCATGAGCTGTGATTCTGCTGACTTCCTGCACATTTATCAGATCCCAGATCTGGAGGTAGCCAGACTCACCACCAGCGAGTACCATCTGACCATCCCACACAGCACATCTAACAAAAAAGGAAATGGAAAGTCACTATATTAACAAAACCCTAAATATATGCATCAAACAATGTACAAAAATATTTTATTTTCCGTGCCTCTTTGAGTCCATTGCTAAAGAAGAGCCACCATAGGCGATTTCGACACTTTGAGGCCTATGAGATACTTATCTTCCACTAAGTACGTGCGCTAGGATTGTCTGAGCAAGGATCATGGGACATATAAAACTCAATTTACTCCCCAGTGGACCAAACCAAGGAAACAAACTGTGATGAACTACCTAATTTCCTCGCCCACATCTTTGGAATACACTTCTGTCCCTGTATGGACGTCCACCACTCTCATGAAATGGTCAGCGCCGCACGACAGAATCCGCTGTCCGTCTGAAATAAAAACGGTACCTGTTAGGTACTATCTAAATATGGATGACTGCAATATTACTTCCTTACGGATGAGCATAAAATAGGGCAACGGAGGATACTATCATAGAAGATATTGTAAGGGGTTCATTTGTGTAGATCTAAATCATTTGACCCCTAATCGTTCCTACCATCTAAATTCTCACACATTAAGGTCACGAGAATAAAAGAAATGATCACCGGAGGAAGCTCTTGATTGTTCAACAAATTCTCCTTATTAGCATATTAAGAAATGTATAGAGAACAGTATGGAAAACAAGCATACTGAGGTTAGGGTGTAATGGGTTAAACTTCAGTAATTTGGCAGGTTTTCTCCCAATTCTTGGGTGTCTTAAACAAAACTTGCTTTCCTCAACGACGACAACGCCACGCTCTAGAACAGCGGACACAACGCAAGTACATTGGAAAACAACACATGCCTGATAAGGAATAACGCTGGACAAGGACGGCGCTAACTGACGCCTAAGATGCTAACAGAACGCCTGTAAAACGCTACTGACAAGATTTGCTCCCAGTCGTTACTTATGTTACATTCCATTTAACTATATGTACAGTTTGATGCAAAGAAATCTGCCTGTCTTACCCGGGCTGAAAAGAACTGAATGCACAGTCTCCTTATGAACTAATGCAGAGCAAAAGAAACATTCGTTAACTTTTCTCGCAAACAGAATTATCGACTACAAGACAAAGTGTTTGAGTGATAATCAAACTCGGAAATAGAATGCTTAGAATGAGCTGTTAGACGTCAAGGCTGCTGCGTGAAGCGCTCTCTGTTTTTTTAAGGGAAGTGTTCACCACCCTCCTGGCAGAAAAGAATGCCTAATTGTAGAATATCGGGGGGATTTCAATTTCATTTATCATTAAAAAGACCGTTTTTCGACGAAGATGGGGTCGGTAAGGCACCTTCTAGCCCTCCCTACCCAACCACATTTTCGCCCACAAATCAATTAAAGGAGTTTGAAGAGGTTGAAAGTAGAAGTTTGTCCTTTCCACCCACCCAACCCTCCCTCTCCAACTCTGTTCGCTTGCAGTGGTTCTGCATTAAGAAAACAGGAAGGGTTTCAAACGATAGAATCATCCGACAGCCCGTCGACAAGCGACGGACGGATCCCTTATGAACTATGCAATCAAAACGGAAAAAAATTTCTGGTTGAATTTAACATTTCTCTCGAGTGGTCAAAAGAAAGAGAGTCGACTGCTTGGGTTAAGATTTCTTTACTTTCAATCAATTTTCTTCTATTCATTTGCAGTTCTCCGATTAAATTGAACGCTGTACTCACTTGGGTGATGACTGATGGCCGCTTGTTGATCAATGTTCCAAAGCATTACAGTTCCTAACAATCAGAAGAAAACAGCGATCAATTACTATCGGGAGGATGGGTGTGGGAACGACGTTGGCGTGGGGAGGGAATAAGATACGTCATAAGCCAAAGAGGTGCTTACCATCCATGGTGCCTGTTACCACAAGAGTGTTTGTAGGATCAAGATCTACAGAGTTCACCTTCAAAAAATACGAAAACCAAGATTTAGACTGAAATCAAAAGACGAGAATTAAGATGGAACAGAGGAAACGATTCACATACTTCGAAAAAAATAAGACAAACATACCTCAGTGTCATGTTCGAGCTCAGCCTGGAAAGAAAATGGAAGACAAACAAATGAATTGTATGTTTAAGCACAAGAATATGTCTTAGCCAGATTCTCAGCTGATATCAACATGACAAACAAGGACTGAATGTAAAACAACTCCCACTCCATTGAAAGAACTTCTGACAAGAAAATACTATATGTTTCTTTTCTTAGAGCCAGATCTTTTTTGGACTTGTACCGCATTATAAGTAATCAATGATAACCGCTTTATATAACTTTCAAGCTGATTGCTCTAACGACCGAGTTCCAAGAGCACTAACTCAAGGCTGTTGCTCAGTCCCTTTTTCCGTGTTGAAATCCGCCATCTTGAATTGCTATGTAGACTACCGCGATACTTCCGGTCCCAAACTTTGTTTTCTCGTTTCCTGTTTTACAAACATCCCTTTATCTAATAGGAATTAAAACGCACACTTTACCAAAATTTCAGGCGGCGAGGGTTTCTTGCCATCCGGTTCTGGAAAGAACTTCCACACCTTGGAGTGAATAAAATTTAACAGATACATAAATGTAACCCGGCGTAAACTATAATCACACACGTAAACGCTTTCTTTACAGTGGAAATAAACTCCAGTACAAGGTCTCCACTCGACAACAAACAAATAATCCAAACCAAACGTAACATGACAAAAATCTTCGGTCACCAGGAGGTAGACAACGGTATTTAAGTTGTACTGGAACTTTCCGTTAGTGTTCAGAGCTGGACTCGAATTCAGAATCCTCGAAATACCAGGCTAACGTACTCGTCACGAAAACTTGCTGCCTCTCCCGTTTAAATAATTTAGTTTTTGAAACAGGTTCAAATGTCTGAAAAAGTTTCCGAATCGTTATTGAGGCAGATTTAGGCTATAAGCAAGCCGTAAGTTAGCAACTTCTCTGCTGCATGAAAACTCGTTGGTTTCCGGATTGAAGGAGACAGGAGGGGAACAATACTTTTTAAAACATTGTTCGTCATTTACCTTTCGTAAAAAGTTGATTTAATGAATCCTAACGTAGCCACTGAAAAATTCAAGCTTACCTTGACTGTAGAATCCCACGAAGCAGTCACCAAGATACCATCATTCCAGCACAAACATGAAACTAAGGAACGAGGGAGAATATTAAAATTCAATGTTTTTCACTTCATTTCTCATCACAAAACACGTTCTACAGAGTCCGTCCCGTTATCAACGACATAAGTCCCAAAATATGATCTCGTGTCCGGCCCAAAAAGACTGTCAAGCTGAAGATTTGGAAATATGTAGCGTGAGTTATTACCACTTAACTAATGCCTCGGTTATCTTTATGCAGGTACTTCCCTAAATCGCATTGTTCCGTCGAAAAACCAAAACCAAAGTAATCGTAACCACCAATCGGCAGAAAAAGCTAAATCCTCAAGTCAATACATGTGAAGAAGGGCGGGAAAACTCGTGAGACCAAGTCAGTGTTGGGCTTGGTTTAATAATTTATTGGTGGGGAAGTTTAGCGCGAGCTTCCCAGACAAATCAATCTGAGTAGAGTTAAAAACAAATTCTGGATTATTTTCAAAACGTAGTTTAAAATGATTATATTCAGTTCTTGTGGCGAATCCTTACTTGCATCGTCATGTCCCGCTTTGGTGTCCACAACTCTTCCATATTCAACAGAGTAAATGTAGCTAAAAACACAAAGAATGTTGTTAAATTAACACTCCAGAACGATCGCTAAAAACTGTTGGGGATTCAGTGTCTTTCTATCCGCTGCCCTGGTAAGCAGGCGCTAAAGCAACCTTGAACGCAAGTTGAATAAAACAGGCGCTGAGCCTCGAGTCTTATCTTTGCGCGCCTACATTCAGCGAAACTGCAAAGATTTGCAACTTACGTAAACAAAATTTTCTTTCTTCATTTTACCAAAATGCGAAAGCTCTTTTAACAATAGAGAGCTACTTTCAGAGGATGGTGTAAACTTGAAGGAGAAGTAGGGTGAAACCCCTTAAAAATTCTTAGAAACATAAAGGAAACAGCAAATTAAGCGTGTTACTCACATTTTGTTATCCCACGATCCAACTATGATCGTTTTTGAGTCCGGCATAATGGCACAAGACGAAAGCGCCTGTCAAAGGAATTAACCTTTTCAACAATCAATTATAGTAAAATAGTCCCGGTTATGGCAGGAAATTATCATTGAGACTACAACGACGACATAGTCAAACTTTCTGATCTCAGACGTGCGACATATTTCATGCCGATCAAATTACAGAAACAATTCCCGCATACTCGGACAAAAAGATCTGCGAGTGCTCCCTCTAAGAGTCGAACCTACGACCTTCTGATTCGTACTTCAAGTACGGTCAAGCACCGAGTCATAGTTTCCGGAATACCTCCGTAGCAATAGAAGTTTAGTATCCCGAAGTCAAAATCACTGGTTTTCTTTCTACGAAGATACACTTACCATTGACGATAGATTGATTCCACGAACTTGCTGTTTGGTTTCTAATGAGTACATCTTCAGTTGTGTATCTGAGGAGCGAGATACCACCAATTGTAAATATAGAGAGAGTCGCAGTTACGCCTTAAATCCCCAAGCTCAGAGCGTAATTCTTCTCCCTAAGGGGCCGCTTGTAAATTAGTTTGGAGAATTTTCTGTCATATAAGGATACTATATGAGGATCCTGTTCCAAGCGTTCACTGAGTTAACGGGACATAACAGAAACACAAAGAAAAATAAGGAGAATATTTGAGTCGCTATTAGCGATAATCTTTTGCAAGCAATCTGGCTTCTCTTCAGCAAAGCGTTCACCTCAAACACGTTCCATTGACGAATCTAATTTACCGAGCGATTCGAGGTAAACTATCAGAACTGGCTAATTACCCATCGATCGCAAACAACCACATTAATTAAGAGCAGTTACTCTCTGCTGGGTTTAGATTCGTTTTTGTTGGTTGGGAAACTGCCCTCTTTATTTCTCTAGCAGCAATGTTTCTACTTTACCTTGAGAAACAGAAAAGACATTTTTACAGTCCTTTGATAGTCTCACTGATGTAACCGTGCTGAAAAGAAGTAACGCATATGGCATTAGAAAAATATAAAACCGGAAGAACTTTACAAGAATGTGAGTCAAAAACAGAACGAAAAACTTGCTATCCTCGATAAAAGCGAGGGACTGATTGCAGGCTTTGCACCCGGTGGCTGCTGCTAAGAGAAATCACCAATTGTACTGACCCTTGTCTGGGATTTACTAGAACAATAGGGATTCACCAAAACAGTAAAATGAGTAGTATAATTACTTACGTAAGAGTTATTGTAATTTCTAAAAGAAGTGAACGTTTTAAAGTTGAAGGTGAGAACGAACACGTGAGCAATAAGATGAGTTCAACGTGAAGGAACTTAATTGGAGCATGTAAGAGAACGAGAGTCCGCCCACAAAGCGAGTTCAAGAGACTTGTTTGAGGAGGCTATGATCAAACAAAAGCAATAGTACTGAGAAGCCAGACATAAGAGAGTCTGTGTGTTCCCGAGTGCGCGGTAGAGGTTCAATTCTGGTTTGAAATTAATGCTTGACATATGATCAATCGAGTGTAATCTATGTCTCATACTGCAGGAAAGTTAGAGTGCTTAATTAATCAAACATTACTCCAAGAAGAAAGAAGAAAAAATGAAAAGAGCTAGTGTTGATGCTGCAGGAAACTATTTAGGAATTTTAAATTCAGCCTATCATAATGCTGCGTTATCTTTCGGCAATTTGGTAAAAATTCGAAAAGGGGTGAGTTTTCATAGTTAGCGCACAGGAATGTTTTCAATTTCGGCAATCTTTGCTGCACATGCGCTTGAATTTATCTCCCTGACATAAATGGTTTGTCCGTTACAAGCCAGAGATTAACAAGGAGCAGTGACCCACGTATTGTTTAGAAAAAAAAACCAAACTCACGGTGGGTGTTTGTTTGAAGACAGGTTAACTTTAGACTAATGTCGATATAGCTCATTTGGAGTTTAATATTCTGTTTAGCATTCACGACTGGATGTATTTCATGCATTTCTATGTTCAGCAGCTTTTAAAACAAAAGTTTACCTTCTGTGTTGCGTGAGTTGACTGTTGGTTATATTGACATTCACAGAACAAGATGAAGATTCCCTACATAGGACACACGAGGTTAACATACGCATAGTGCCCCTCAGACATCTTATAACTCGAGGGAATAAGTACCTCGCCACCCACAGAGTTTATTGAAGGCTCAAACGTTTTTCTTTTCATTATTTTAAATCAAACTCGGTTACTGTATTTATATTTATCATTCAGACACTTATTCCCTCGAGTGAAAAAAAGAATTAAGATGATGAAAACGCGGTTTAGGATTCAAATCAACCAGCCTAAGTATTAAATGGTTTTTGTTTTCTATTTTTTGGCTTATTATTTGCTTGTTTTGTTTAATGAAAATGGATATTTCGTGCACTGAGACAGTTTAAGGACAAATTTAGGTTTTCGTCACATTTTCAATAACATTTTGCATGAACACCAATCCCGTTAGATTTTCAATGTTATAACCGTGTTATAGAGTTTATGACATATGAAATTTAAAAATGCTTGAAAATAGTCAAAATCAGATTTAAAAAATGGTTTCTCCCTAAGAAGGGAAATAGCCTGAAAAGTAACCACAGGTTTTGGATGAGAATTTTTCTTAAAATTACTACAATTACGCAAACTTGTGACAGCTTCACTATAGAAAGGAATTTTTAAGAAATATCACAACAAACAAAGGGTATGGGGACAAGTTGTTTTGTAGATCAGAGAGAGCATGAGAATTTCCTCTGGCCACAAACTGGGCAGGTCCTGCCGGTGAAGAGGGGCTTGGCTATACCAGATAAGCCGAAAGTTCTCCAAAGAAACGAAGAAATGTTAGAATAAAGGAAAGAGGGTCGAATGCCTATTACTCATTTAGAATCGCCAATCTGTAATGTACACATTATCCACTGTCTTCTCGCTAACAACACTTTACACATCACGTTACATGTTTCTTCATATTACACAATTATTCTCACTCTTTGTGCAATTTGTGGCACGTTGCCTGCTGAAGTTTCTCCATGTTAGTCCACTGTGAATGATTATTGCTGAACATTTCATCAAAGTCAACTGAAAGAAAAAGTGTATTTTCTTCAACTCAACACCAGCATGCTCTGCATATGCGTCTGTGCGACAGAGAATAGAGTGGGGATGACGGAAAAGTGTTGCCTGTTCTCCCCCCCCCTCCCTCCCCTTAGTGCGCTTCGTAAACTTAACCAAGACGTGGTGAATGTTTAGTTTTACCAATATTGATAGAGGGAGGAGTAGAGGTGCTGTGTTCACGTCTGAACTGGCAAAAAGTGGTGTTTTTTTAACACATTGTTGGATATGTTTTCAATAACTATACCAAGGAGTTTAGCCCCCATAGTTCGTCGTTAAAGAGTAAAACTCTGTCATTAAAACTCAAAACAAAACATAAAATCAGTAGTGCACCCGCAATTAAATGAGCTTTGCGTTCAAAAAGCCATAAGTCGAGGAAATTAGTTACGCATACCATTAACTTTAATTACTGGCACACTGCCAGGACTTTTAGAGTCTGGTTCGCTAGGATTCTCTCCATTCAACACACTGCTACTGATTGGTGTCGGGTCTGTACTGGGGCTAGGACTGGCTCCAGTCACCTACAGTAAATAAAGTTTATCTTCTTAGTGACTTGGTGAAACATGTACTTTCAGTTTTCATTGTCGGGGATTTTCTAGAAGGATGGTTCTCATTATGTAATCCTAATTTTTCCCTGAATGAGTTGACCTGATGTAAAGTAGAAGCGATTAGCCGGGGGGGAAAGGGGGGTGTTGAAAGGTAAGAGGTGTTTGGTCAGTTGGACCATGTATATTTACAACAACTTCATACACGCTGTGCAAGCATACTCAAGTGGCCTGGAAACATAGAAAATACTTCCGACTTCAATTTATCGATCGACATCGCAAGGGAAGAGAGGCTCGGCTGCGCGTTTTGGATATATATTGAACTAAACGAAACATGATGTTTTTTGCTACAGTTTACCCTTGCATGACTTTGATAAAATTTTACCAGTTTCTGTGGATGAGGACTTGTAAACAGCTGTTTGGGAGTCTGTCCAAATTCCAGGATCTGAGCTTCTAAAGACGCCCGCTCGTTTGGATCCTCGATCCTTAATAATGAGGGAAGAGTAAGTTCTATCATGAACGGGTCATCATCAGAAAATTGCAAGCAGTAATTTAGCGAAAGCTGTGCAAAGAACGTTTTCATCTTACTTTTCTAAGTCAACAGCTCCCTCGTACGTCAAATAGTAAAACACTGAGAAGAGAGGTAAAAAAAATAACACTTTTTATTAGTAACAGTTTAAATAAGAAATTAGGCGCTTTTGGTTAAAGTTTCTTTGAACTAAGTAATCGAAACAGAGAGCAAAGTCTGAGTCCACTGAGAGCGAGATGCAACATAAACTGTTACCATTGTCTGCTTGCCACGCATCATGTCCTCTTTGTTTATATCCAAATATCAAGTCGATCCAGTTGTGAAGTTTTTCGGAGACATACGGACACTCAAGAGCCTCACGATTCTTCCGAATGAAATCCCCCGGATCTAATCCACGTGACAATATAAAAAAGGCATGTTAGTGTATTATAAATCCAATGTCATTCATTTACTTCTATAATCAATTAAGACTAACGCTGAATTTACTGATACAAAGTCTCATTTGTCGAAGAAAATTTGTTCGCTGTATATAAAACCGAGAGCTCAGGGAAATATTTTCAAGTCATATAGACCAGCAAATTTCGTTGTTGACAAGTTTTTTGTTTGCTAGTCTCATAGTTCAAACAGACGAGTCAGTTGTCAAGGTCAGTCGAGGAAAAACCTTTACATCATTTCATCTACTTTGCCGAGGGAAACCTGTCAAGATGAAACTTTCAAAGAAAACTTCACCAGTCGAATTGCAGCTGTATCTCAATTGGTACAAATCTGCTGTCGCTTGTGATTTCAAGTAGAACTTGGGCTCTCACTAGTCTATAGCGACATGGTGTATTACAGTCTGCTACGTCTGAAACCTTTCAGAAAGAGGCACTAACATTACTGAATTCCCCTTACCTGCGTCTATAAATCTCTCTTGCGACTAGTGCTGAGAATATGTTGATTAATCAGGAAATTTTGTTCCGAGTGCTTATTTTCTTAATTACCAACACCTGTTTGCTGAAAAGTATACAGATACATATAATGAGAGCTAAGTTGTTCATTAATTTCGTCCCACCTTTGGCCCAGGCTGGAAGCTCAACATCCATGACTTTTGTCTTGTCCTGTTTGCAGCCCAATGGCAAACTTTGAGTGTTTAACAAAAATTCGCCAGATGAATGGAAAAATTCTGGAATCAACTGTTTGAAATGAAAAAAAAAAGTTTCTCCGGTGAAACATTTTTCAGAACTAAAACAACAACTCCAAATAGGAAATGTATGACACTTCTCTTTACTCGCTAGTAGAATGTCGTTTTATCGTATATGTTCTTTATTCAATTGTTTTGTTTTATTTCATTATTCTTTGAAATCTTTATATCATCATTTATAGAGCGAGGCAAGTCACGCGCGAGATGAACCAGGAGCGCGGAAAACGCTTCATTTTGCCGCGCTCTTTCCCTTTCGTGTGACAGTAGCATGGTGCTCGTCCCTACTGGCTTTTCATACCTGAATCAGTTTTCTTGATCGCACGCATATGGCAAAAGGTTAAACATCTTTACTGAGCAAGCCTACCTTAAGATGAGTTTCCAATTCGTTAACATATTTCTTAAGAGTGCTACTTTTAAAGAAAAGGCATTAATTTAAAAATGAGGGTTTAAGGAGGAGGGGGAGGGAGGGAGGGGAATCAATTAATTCACTGAACTCGCACAAACCTCTTTGACATCTGCATGTCCCGTCAAAACATTCTCCCACGTTTCAGCAATACTGTAATTCCACAAAACAACACAGCAGTGAGTGTTACAAATGATGATAAGAGACTACGGTCTACATGTGTATGTAGTTGCCATCGACTAGTTACTTTGTTTAAAGTATTGAACATTGTTTGGACTACCTTTACAACTATGATGCCATGTCTGACAGAACACATACATCTCTGTAGAGTGCAAATACTGAGTTAGCATTTTTTCTTTTTTCTCGAAAATACTCATCCGTACGCGAAGGCGAACGTTCGACGTTTAGCTTTGGCGTCTCTCCCAAGTCCTACTCCCGTTTCAAACCCACCCTGTACCTTCCTTTTGAAGATAGTGCACGTTCAACTCCCACCAGAGATTTGACTTATGTTGAAGTCCATCATCACATATTTCAAAATTGCCTCACTCAACTCCTTAGGAAAATCATACCGCCTACACCAAAATGGACTTATTAAATAAGAAATTGTTTTATTTATGCACCTGTTAAATAATCTGTCTGGTTGATCAAATTTTCCTCCCTGTAGGCAGAGCATAAATTCGGGAGCTGTGAAAAGAAACAAGGCCTTTATAAGTACTTTTACGCCTAACTATCATCAATTTCTGACAAAATCAAGTCAACTGTAATCTGCTTTCGTTTATCATCGCTTCAAGCTGAAAACCAATCATTTGATTTTTGCTTTGCTACTCTCTGTGATTGGTTCAGAAAACTCACGTCAATTTCTCAACCAATCAGATGTAAAACGAAAATCAATCATGACTTGGTCGCCCGCGTTTTCCCGCGCTTTAAGCAGTTTTGGTTTTACGACTCTCAAGCGAAAAGCGTCCTACGGCTTAAACTTACCAACTCTAACAAGATAGTACAACACATATCCGGGGGTGGAGTAATGAGATCCGTACAAGAACTTTGGATCAGGCATCTCTTTGCATCGCTCCTGAAAATATGAGTTAAATCATTGATACCATCTCACTCGCTTGATAAACAGGGCCGACTTCGAAAGGCAACAAAAGAAAACAAGTACTTTAGTTTGTCGATAAAGAATGATTTTTTTTCAACAGCAACCTCAATATTAGAATATCATGTAGTCATGTCAATCAGGTAAAGACGTGTGCGCTTTTAAGAAGAGTTTGCTCAATTCACCGACATAACAGGATTTAAATTCGTCTGTTATTGACAAAATATTAAATTTTCTTCCAAAAGGAAAATGTTCTGTGCGTTCATGAATTGAAAACATTTCCTGTAGATGATCGCTGCATAAAGAAACAAGGTCTTCAGGTTGTGCATTTCATATACTTCCATCAGATGCTTGTTTGCTTCTGCACAATGAAAAGAACACTACTTAGCCGCTTGAGGATACAGATTCTGACAGCATCTCTCAATAATATCATTAATAATGAACATGAAAAAATTACGCGCGTCTGATTGGCTCAAAACGAGTGCATTTTCCATGTAAAACGAGTGCAAATTACGAATAGCGCGCGCTGCCGAAATTTCGTCCCTCTTGACTTTCTATGATGCGATAATCATGTAAATTATTAACATGCCACAAAATGACTTTGAGTGCAATTTGGGGTAAATAGGCACTTGTAAATTTTTCAAAGACTAAAAATTGCACTTGCCCTACGGACTCGTACAATTTTGTTGTCTTTTAAAAATTTACTCAGATTTATTATCACCAAATTGCACTCAAAATCATGTTATTACCTATACTAACTCGAGATGGCAAAATTCATATCCCCAAGCGGCCATACAGTATCCTTAAGATATCGATTTAGCGCATGTTAACAGTGTACCTTTAGTTGAGCTAATCTTGTTTCATTCAGAGCTCCTATTGGTTTGGATAATTCTCGGAATGTTTCTCCTTTCTCTAAATCTAAAAACAGAATTCAATTCAGGTCAATGTGTATACATCACTTTTGATTGTGCAAAGGAGAATGTCTTAAACATTTGAACTGTCTTAATTGCTTCAGTTACGTTCGATAAGGGATATAAGATTGGAATGTTACGATATTAAAACAACACAGATGCGTTCTAAGTTCAATTCGGTGAGGGCAGTTTAAAGAGCTACAATAACAACTTTTATCCTAAAAACGGAACCACTTACTATTATATTAAGCAAAACAAGCGAACAGTAATGGTGTAGTAGTTAGAAAGCGGTCAAAGGGCGACTTGCAGCTTGCCTCACACAAGCTTACAACAGAAATCTGTTACGCGTCGGTCTCGAAAATATTTGTAGTGGCGTAAACTGCATCTCTAACTAATAGAACTGAAAACATACCAAGCTCTGCACTCTTGTAGTCTGATATAACCCAAGGAAATACTGGATACTGTGTGAGATCATTGAAACTTCTATCTGCTAAACTGAAGTACAGGAATACAGTCAGAGAAAACGTGGTAAAGTACTAACCGAGTGACTATTGAACGAGTCACTTACAGACTTTCAACGAGTGTGATAAAGCTAAGATAATCACAATGACCAATCAGAACAGGGAAACAAATCAAAGGAAGCCAGAGAGAACTCTAGTGAATAGATGTCAACGGCCTCAAGAGCGGGAAAAGGCGGTCAATGTGGGAAAAGAGGGGAAAGTAAAGTAGAAATACGTTTTACTATTTAAGACTTGAGGTTTTAATAACCTGATTCCTAAATATACAAGTGCAAGAGTTATATACAAAAATGAATAAAGAAGCTATACAAACGAAAACACACAAAAGACATACATGAAACTATTTAAACTAAAATTATGGTAATTCCAAGTTCGCGGCAGGTCACTAAGAGAGTTCTTTGCAAGAAGTATTTTAATTACGGTATACAACATTAAATTACACAAAGCTCGACAACTTATTCAAAGTTTATGACACTAATTTGACTAACCTATTTAGGTACATTAAATATTCAAAATTTGAGATCGCTCCATTCTGCCATCTTAACGTCATGTTCTCCTGTCTAGTGTCTTCTAATTCAACTTCTGTAAAAAAAAAAGAGGCGCATCAGTTGGTGAGCTGTTGACCTTGTTCTTGGCTTCTTGGCAATCTTTTATGATACCTGTGGGTAAACTTCCTCAAACCTTAGCTAAGGTTTTGGTTGAAAGTAAAATAGAATGGCTTCAGGTATGTTTACAACATTAACTTCATTTTCTAACTTAGTTGAAAAGACCTTATCCTAGACAAATGGGTGCCAATGACCTTACGCTGATGCATGCCGGGCCAAGAGCAATGAGAGGCAGTTGTTGAAAGTAATCACGCAACAAGTTCGTCACGCAGTAACCTTGTAACGCAACACGCTAGTCAAACAACGTCTGTGAAGTAGACTAATGAATTTTTAGGCTAATGTTTAATATAAAAAAGTGATCACTGAACCTGGTTGCTGAATAATTTTGTCATAAAACAAATCCCTCTCTGTTGGAGAGTTGAATATCAGATACATATGAGAACCATCTGCTGAAAACACCTCAACCCCCTGGAAAAAAATAAAATAAATTTGGAGAAACATTGTTGAGCATAAGATAAACATGGAAAGATAATTACAATGATGTCAACAAAATATGTATTACTTTTGAAGACAACTTAATCTGCATCAACCTCGCACTCTGTTTGTGCTTGACAATCATAAAATTTATAAAAACTTAACCAAATGAAATGTTTATCAGGAAATGGGCAAGTCATTTAGCATTGTAGATGAAACAGTTGACAGTTTAATTGCCCACATTCATAGCATATATCATGCACATTTCTTTCCAAGGAACATACCCCATTGTAACGTTCAGAGAAATTCAATGTAAAGATGATATACGTACCACATGCCTGAGAAGATATCTCCGTTTGACAACTCTACAGATTTTAGATAATTTACATTTCACAACTGGGCACTGAAAGAGAAAATTTTGATTTTAAGAGCAATTATACATCCAAGTCAGACAAGAAATCTAGAATTGCGCTGGTTAGAGAAAGAAGAGTTTTGAAATTTGTTATTTGATTTGTTATTGTTGTTGTTGTTCTTGAACTTAACCTTTCATTTAAGTATTCAGACAAGATGTTCCCGATGTGATTACCATATTCAAAGTAAAACAACATTGTTGTAATGAACAGCTGGAAGAACTTACTGGGTCAGCATTGTTAAATGGCTGAAAGTATAGTCTGGAAGAAGTTAACATGATGCGGCCTGGGTTGCAAACAAGAGGGGTGATTCGTTTTGCTGAAATAACAGACAAAGGAAAAAATCAGCTCTGAGTTTTCAAAGGAGTTGGATAAGTATGGGGAGGGCTAAAATATAAATCTCAGACATCTATTTCATTCTTTTTATTTCAAATAGCAACCTTTTCAAAAGAAACTGTCATTTGATATAACATTTTCTACTATTCACCTCTCCTTTTTCTCTTGTTTCATGTAAATTTTCTTCCATTTTCTTTACTATATAAGCTATTTTAACTTCATTCATAGGCACATTGTAATTATAGTGTGAAATGCAGAATTGTAAACCTTTGAATCTTCAACCAGTTGATTTTAAGTTCTATGAAAAACTAGTCTTTTGCAATGTAACTTAGAAAAAGATGATGTTGCCTTGGCCAGCATCAATATTTCCTCTTATCGTATTTTTTTAACATTATATTGAAAAAATAATCAGGTGGTTTTACTACTAACAGCAGATGCTGACTGACTTACCCATTGTTTCCATCACAATTTTCTCGTGTAAATCTTCTAACCTTTAAAAGCCAAAAATGTAACATTTACAAAGTAATTATGGTTCACTTTAATTATTACAACATTCAGTATTTAAGCAAGAATAGAGTTCTTTGACATTTAAAAAGCCTTATATAAACAATTGTCCCAACCCCCCAGCCCTCCAGCCCCCCAGCACTCCAGGCCTCCAGGCCTCCAGCCCCCAGTCCTCCAGCCCTCCAGGCCTCCAGCCCCCCAGTCCTCCAGCCCCCCAGCCCCACCCCTACCCCAAATTGTTTAGATGAGGTTATGTTTACATGTAGTCATTCATCATTACCCACAAACTCATCAGATACCTTTCAGAATTTTTAAAGCGAACTCATTGAGCATCAAAATTATAACATTACCAATAATTAAAATTCACTCACCAACTTGTGTTAAAACTAACTCTTGCCTGTCTTGATTGAACAATTGAATTGATCTAAGTAAAGAGGAGTTGATCAGAATTTTATTACACAGATTTAACAGTACTCTACTACAAAATTGTTATAAACAGCTACCAATACTTTTTAGTAGTTAAGACCACTTGGTATTAAAACATTATATGGGATTCCAGTTCATTGTGGTGAACAAGAAACAGCCTCCCTAATAACTAATCTAACCACAAAGTTAACTCAGACTCACCATAGCTTGTTGATCAGCTGGCATGAGAGTAGTTGCTCTGTGAAGCTGTTAGAAAGGTCAACAAATAATTATCCATTAAAATTACTGCTAATGAAATAACAAAATAATCACCTTGAAAAAATAGAGACAGTAAAGAAATTCATTGTTGTATGTACTTTCACTTAGTAATAGACAATTCAGAATAAAAATTATCATTGTGAAAAGGAGACAACCCACCTGTTCTAACTGGGGTAATACAAAATTTAAAGCTACAAAATTGAACGAAAATAAATACTTGGCTTTTTCCTATAAGAAGAGAAAAAAACAGTAAATCACAGATTAATTCATTCAAAATCAGTTTGCTCTGACAAGTGAGATATTCACATATTAAGAGATGTGGTACTCACTCTTCTAAATGTATAAGGTGCTATTGTGTTGCCTTCCTTCATTTCTATGACCTGCTTGGACTCAATTGCCAGAACATCTCCTTTGGTATCAATTCTGTTGGAGACAAAACAATCTTAATTCTGTCTATCTTTTTCAAAAAAGATGTCTTTCCCTGGCAATGTCAACTCACCTTGACATGAGAGATCCAGACCAATGAGTTATTGCATTACATTCTCTGAGAGGAAACTAAACACACAGTTGAAAATTAAGGTAAAGTCGGGAAAACCAAAGGAAACCAGTTATATGTAGTTTCAAACCAACACTTAAAGAATTGAGGGTTGTGAAATAAAATTATCCTTGGCATATAAAACAGCCTAGGCACCTGACCATATTTTTATGTAATTTTTTCAGGTAGCCATGAAATGATTATCACAAACATGCAATCAATACAAATCAAGCCTAGCACAGGTGAGAAAACTTACAGAAAACTTATAAACTTCAAAACCAGAGATAACTTTAACTAAATGTATACCTTTAAAATTGGGTAAGATGTATCTATGGGATCAAAAAGAATAGACTTGGAACATATCTTTAATCTTCCTCTTTGTTTCCTTAAAAAAAACATTCAAAGATGACAATACTTCAGTAAATAATTAAACCAAATAGCACATTCTCGTGATAATTACCATGTTTTCCTTACAATGAATGCTATCTGAGACCTATTGTCTCATCCAGACATCATGTCTGAGTGATAAACAACTGTATTCTATTCCATTCTATAATTCTAAATTAATAATCATATAATAATGACAGCTATCTGAGGGGAATCAAGGATTTGAATAAACAGTTCTACTGAAGAAACCCTTGTGGGAGATGTAGTGGAGCCTTACCAAGCTTACAGTGATATGTCCCTAGGCAAGAAACTATCAAAGTGCCTCTCTCCTTCCATGATAATAAATGAATCAACAAATTGTCATCAAACCCGACAAAATAGTGGAAGGATGACCTGTTACAGATTGCAACCAATCAAGGAGCAGCATCTTAATGACTTACGTTTTGATCACTATGGTGAATAAAATACAATACAAATCAGTTGTGGTTGCTAAGCTGACTCTTAAACTACCTGACCTGTGTAACTCCACTGTAAGAGAGTTTAACCCATCAAATACATACATGTGTACCTTTTTATTGCCTCCTCTTCAGAAAATTGATTTGGGTAATGAAAAACACTAAAATCTTCAAAGTAGATCTCTCCAGGCTCTAACAGGAGCAAGGAGAATCTAATAAAAAAAGTGAAAAATGAAACAAATTAAACTGTGGATTAATAAAGCGATGAGAAATTAATATATTATTAACTAAAATTAAATTTGTCATCAAATTCAAAGTTGTGTATTACAATATTAGTGACATAACCCTTAAAGAATTTTATCGATATCGTAATTATGGAACAGTGTGTTGCAACTGTAAGTAATTAAGACAGTATAAACTCTTTTCCTCACCAGTTAACACCAAACTGCAACCCAAACTTACTGAATCTCAACTTACAAATTAGTGACCATATTAGTCCTTTAACTCCTTAGATCTCATTAGTAATTCTCCTTACTATCTACCATACAGCTCTTGTGATATTAGTTTTGAGAATTTGGTATTGGATTAACTGATAATCCTCTGACTGATATTTCTCTTTAGTCTCATCACTTGTCTGCTTGATATTGTATTGATATCATAAGGAGAAATTCTGTCTTGGTCACTACTGTGAGTTAAAGGGTTAATTTGAATAGGCCAAATTTTTAAGCAAAAATCATCCTTTTTTTAATACCTGTTCCTGAGGACAAGAAGACTAATTTATTCTATTTAAATACACAATTACCACATCTCCAGTTTTTAAAAGAAATCTGAAGGATTTTTTTCTACAACTTTAAATATGTTTAATATTGAATAGCCAATGTAAAAATTTCGGTTCTATCTCAAATTTCAATTTGGGTTCATAAACACACTTTGACCTTCAAGGAAAAATAAGACACTCATTCAAACATCTGCGGCATGCACCATCAATAATTAATAATAGATCTTAAAAAAACTTATGTGATTTTGGTTACATTTAATTTCCTTATTTCTATCATCATTACAGATTTCTATCATACACTGCATTTCAGAATGTCATAATTATTTTGGATTGTACATCATACATCAAATCAACCACAGACATATAAAGGTGGAGGTAAATTGTTTTGTGTCTAGACACATTCTATATGTACCTATCACCACTAAGCAAAGCATTTCACTTGCTTAAATAATCCTCAGATAATTAATCTAATGCCCTATCATACACAATATGAAATTCTCCGACCGTAAAAAATTCTTCTTTCGAGGAAAGTGAAATATATTTACCATAGCAAGGATCAAAACAAGAATGCAGACGAGACAAAATTTTTTTCCAAAGGGAAATTGTGAAAGTAGGCAAAAACTTCATAAATCCATTGTTCTTAGGTCTGTTAATCTAAAATCTTCCTCAAGAAATCTCAATATTTGATTAGTGATATCAATAATATTGTCAAAACAAATTGATAAACCCCACGGATTATTCTTGAAAGCTAGATATGTAACCTTACAAATTAACAGGCCGCTAAATTGGTGACAAGATCAATCTTGAAGATACAGTACCAAATTTTCCCATTAAATCTTCCCCACATCTTCAAGAAAAATGAGAAATTTTAAGTTGAATTAGCAGAAAACTAGCGAAAACACTAAACCAGCTGTTTTTTTAACGGCGTCAATAATGGTCAATAAACTTTTGAGTTTTACCGCACTATTCTTGGCTTTAATACAAAAGTTGTAAAATAAAGAAAATGGCAGAAAACATCCAACGGAAATTTTGAATTAAACCATGTAGGCTTTACCTCTCTTTCAAAGGAATTGTATGGGGCTCTAATCCAGAACTTGAGTTGTATGAAAGCTCCGCCATTTTGTAAATAAGTAAAGCTCTTGGGCCCAGTCCTAGGCGCGCCTTTCTATTCTTCTCTTCTTTGACCTCGGCCCATGGCGGAAATATTAGTGCGCGTAAAAGTAAATTCTGCGACAGCTTTCTCCTTTACGAACACGGAATAAAATTATTCAAAAAAACCTTCACTTCTGATCTCACACCGGAAATGGTCATCCATTACGATTCAATGAATCGAATTTGCCGTTTCAAGGGGGAAATTCCAGTAAAGTTACTGCTTTGTTATCATGGCCCGCGTAAAAACGCCATTTTCACTCCCTCGTACTAAACTAGAAACTGCCACCGCTCGTTTGATGGATTACCAACAAACTAACGAGCTTTAAAGAACCTCCAAATTACTTTCAAATATTTAAAACCACTCGACATTTTCGAAACCGAGCGTGTTTTACCACCAGTTGTAACCTAAAAACCTACAAAACCGTAACTTCTGTAAACTTTACCCAACAATTACCGTTGCCGCTTACCTCGTGAAGTAATCTTCGTAAAAAACACTTTCACTATTTGGGTATTCTCGACCACAACTGCATCCAGCCGAGTTCTCCGAATTTCCCAATCGCTTCCGAACTTTATCCCACAACGCCATTGATTTATCGGCTATTGTGTGAACACTACCTCGTACATTGCTTCCGATACTTGTCGCAGCCCTGCGGAGCGTGAAAAAAGCAAATTATCGCGTTATAGTTCAGCAGATTTCGAAACACCGCGCCATGGATCAGAAACTGCGCTGAGTTGGTTACTTGTAATGGTCTGGGCTGTTTTCGTACGAAGACAATACGCAACAAGCTAATTTGCATACGTCAATGCGGGATGGAAATCAATCTACCAGCGAATTTATTAAACCCGGTCAAAGAAACTTCTAAAAGCGTTTATAAAGTGCGGTTATGTTTAGCAATCATTTATGCCACATGTGGCAATTTGTCTTGATTTGTTGTTCAGTGGTCTGACCAATTGAATCGCGAACACTCTCAACCGACAAAAGCTGTTGGCCTATCGCCTCTTTTGGAAAAGTTAAACTACACACTGAAATTCTTCTTTGTCGCTGCCGTGCACTATTCTTCAGCTTGTTTTTCTCCCAGAGAATAAACAGCGACGGGATTCTGCATTTGGTAGACAGGAATATTCCAAAACAGATGGTTTAAAAGCAGATGGTCTACGGCTTAAAAAATTAAACCATAAGCAATTTCGCGGAATGCACTTGCAAACATTTCACCTTTTAACAACCGCATCCAACCGTAAGTTGTTTTTCCTTTGAGGCGCAAGGTTTTTTGGAAACCCATGGTTCATCACAAAAGCGCTCGTCAAAGCAACAAGTTGACAAAAAAACCACCACGGCGATAAGAACACAGCAGATAAAATTGTCATAAGAAAGAGTTGTTATGGTGACTCGCGATCTGGCAGGTGGTTATAAGTGTGAGATCATTAAAATTTTGATCACAACCGTACAATAGGTTTTCCCAGAAACGCCAACTTTCTCTTGTCATATTTTCAGAAACTATCGAATTCATATTAAGAAATGTAGGTTTATCAAAATGGTTTTTCTCTTTCATCTGCGAGTATCGATCGGTTTGGTTCTGCATTGATTCCCAGTCCACAAATTGAGGTAATTTCCCTTCATGACATAAAGAAAAAGTTCTTAATGATCAAAAGGAACTGAACTATCGTGCAAATTTTCTCTTGTGGATCAAAAATGCAAATAATGATCTTTCCTGCCCTTGAGGCGATTTTAAACAAGTCCTTTTTTGGTAATATTAACAAGCAGATAAGTTTCAAATCATTAAAACAATTTTATACATTATTGCAAGTTTTGGAAGGAAGCACCTTCTCGAAATCGTGACTTTTTGAAGGAAGTTTTTGTATGTGATAAATAAACATTTCCTTTTCTGTTGTCGAATTGATCAAAACAAGCTTTCGAGTTTAATGGAAAATTTGGCAAGTAACGATTAATAATTTAGAATAATCGGGTTTGAAAAGGAAATAGTTATGCTTAGCATGAATATTCACTGCGTAAAGAAGTTTATTATGTCGGTCATGCCAAAACAAAAAAGAAAATTTTATAAAATGTTTACCAACGTAATCTATAAAAAAAATACAGGCCTGTGATATAGTAATGAGCTGGAAGTTTTGCTAACTCTTTCACGAACGCGATTTCATTCTCCCGTTTTGTAGATGCTCAAAGAAACTGCGTGAAGGAAACGCGTTATTGATAACTGAAAACCTTCAAAATGAATTGATAATTTCCATTAAAGAACATATTTGTATGTATAAACAAAGTGAAGAAGATTGGACTTCGTGAAATTGATATTTTAAGCTAAATAGATATTCAGATATTTCTTTCACAGAGGCAACCCTCTGTTGAGAAATTTTCGATTGATTTCACAAAAAGGAAGTAAACAAGAGTTTTAAAATTTATTTCCTATAAATCTCTGTGTCCTGCTAAATAAAATAATTGAAGAACCGAACTGCTGACTGATGATTTTCGCAGTCAACTGAAGCAAAAAAGATTGACTGATATGAAGAAGAAATTTGGGTATGCTTGTCACCCATGAAATGTGCCGAGAATGTCACGGCGTCTTACAAAATACGATTAAGTTCTAAATTCAAACTGCTTCCACAAGTTTGATTAACAAACAAAACAAAACAAAATTGAAACTTGGTAGATCGTGTATTGATAAATGACAAATAAGATTCATTTAGCTACCGAAAAAGAGAAATTTCCGGTCCTTTGTCGAAGACAGAGTTAAAAATCTTCAGGCCTGCCAATAAAACAAGCCAACTGCCTGAATCACGTGAAAATGAAATTGACCTAGTCACGGTAAGTCTACATTGGCCACACCTCATTGATTGCGTGAGAAGGTGGCTCGAATATTTTAGACCAATCACGAAGCGAATTAAAGTAACTGACTGATACAACCCTTATTCCAGCTGTTCAAATGCTGGTTAGCGCTAACCCAAGGTTAAATTTTAATCCAGGTTTCTTTATCCCTTTGTTCAAAAGCCTCTGTCGGATAATTTTCTCTATTATTTGAAGGGCATTCAATCATCAGATTGTAGACAAAAAACTGTACTGAATTTTCTCTTAAAGCAGTCGCGACTTAGTTACAACTTTACCTTTGATCTAAAGCGCTTTCCGATTGAATGTCGTAAAACCAAACCCAACGAAATCACATCAACCGATCAAAAGAAAGGAAAATACCTTTAAAAGGGCTTTACTTCTGGTAGAAGAGCACAGAACACGTCATCACAAGGGAGTGAGCTGCACATGAAATTACCAACTCAGAGTAACCTTGAAACGTGAAAATGTGTGATTGGAACTGCCCACTTTAACCACTCAAATTTTTTAGCTTTAAAATACTGAAAAGTGTAAATATTAGCTAACTCACATGCATGTTAACTTGGTAGTCTAGTAATGTGGAAATCTGGAAATTAGTAAATGCGGAAACCTTAAAATAGGCAGACAAGTTTCTTGCTTACCCACATTTATCATAACTTGGTAGTCTGAAAACGGGGAAATCTGGTTATGTGGAAATCTGGTTATGTGGAAATGGGGAAATCCGGAATTGTGCAGATAAGTCTCGAGCCGAACTTACATGTACCTTTACTTAGTAGTCTGGACGAGTTAAGATACAAGCGAGTAAGCTTAAGACTAACATGCACATTTCCAGATTTCCACGTTTTCACATTTCCAGACTACCAAGCTAAGAAAAATGTGGGTAAACTGAAGACTCATAGTTATATTTCCAGATATTTCCACATTTCCACATTTCTATACCACCTTGTTAACATAGATGTGAGTCAGCTTATATTTACACATTCCAGTTTTTATAACCTAAATAACACAACTAGTAAATGTGGGCACAACTCCAAATTACACATTTTTACGTTTCAAGGTTAATCGAAGGTAAATAATTATATATGCAGCACATTTTATTGTGATGACGTTTTCTGTGCTCTTCTACCCCAAGTAAAAGTCTCTAGGAGCAAATGAGAACTGAAAGTGAAAACAAACAAACTGCCTGAAGCGCGGGAAAACACGGACGGCGACTAAGTCGCGGTTAGGTTTAGTTTTGCACCTGAATAATTGAGAAAGCGGCGCGAGTTTTCTGGACCAATTACAGTGTACAAAAACAACAACAAAGCAATCCCGGATTATTTCGGTTTTAATTTCAAAATCGAAAAGCGCTAATACAAGACTTATGTTATCCAACATCGCTAAAAACTATTTGCTTTCGGAAATATTTTGGTATTAATTCTTGTTACATTCTGATTTTCATTCGTTCTTTTGTAGGGACGTATTGTATGAATTTTGAACCTAAAGTCAGTTGGGTACAAACTACAAAATTGTTGCGATTCTGTTTTTGTTGCGAACAACACTGAACAACCGTTTGATTTGTTTCCTCACCCAGTTTGACCCCTCTATCAATTGTACTTTTTCCAATAGCATAGATTTTCAATTATCTTTGAAATGAGAGAGCATTATTAGCGAATGTGATCCAATATTAAATAATAACATAAGGAGGCGAATGGACCCTTGTGATCGTTAGAAAGGCCATTAGCCTTATTTTGAAAGCAGTTTCAGTCGCAATCGTTTTTTATGCTTAAAATGAAATCGAAAAATGGATCAATAAAGAATTTGTTGAGAATATTTAGCACACAAACCCTGATACTTATCATCCGCCTTTCATCACTCGCATTGACTTTTCAGACTTAATTTCGACAATCAGATTAAAATTACCCAAATTTTGCGCATAATTTTCCCACAGTTTCCTTCAAATAAATAAAAACCTGCTTTAATTTACAAGTTATTCTTTAAGGATAAAAGCAATGAAAAAATACGGCGACATGAGAACAGAGAAAGCCGAGCAAATCTGTTAGTATCGTCTTTGATTCAGAAAAATGAGGGGATACAGTACACTAATTCGCTAAATTAACATATTCCCAATTGTGTCGATACATTAATTCATCCAAGTTCTTGAAATCGAATTGTAATTTGTTATCTAAACAAGTATTATTTAAGGCCTTTTGAATTTAATCTTAAAGCAAGTTTTTTCCTCTTTATCAAATGATATCGATATCAATGCAAATGAAGCGATCATGATTTCCGATGCGCTACTACCGGCGCTATCAGCGCCCTGAAAGCGGATGTTTTTATTTTATCAACAAACATAAAATTTTCTAGTACTTACAGACAAGGAAAACAATCTCCAAACATTATTCAACCTTTCGTCTCAATATCTTGTTCCACTTGGCTTTCTGTTGGCGAAAACCTGTTATTCAAAGGTTGATTCACTCTTACGTCTGGGAAACCGCTAGTTTCCTCCCATCAGGAAACTGGTACTTGTCTCGGTTTGCTTTTCAGTTCTTGCTTTTCCCTTGGCCAGCAAACAAAGCAATTCTTAGAAAAAATTTATGGGAAGATTAAGGCACGATGCCTCTTGTTTCAGCAAGATATCAAATGCTCCTCTCAGCCAAACTTATAAAGAAAAAAACATCAGTTGTCATTCACTGTTCCTTTGTAAGACGTGTTCTGTCGCGGCTGTTCCGTAACAAACTTATCTCATCGATTCTTACGCTGATATGTTCACAAAACTGATGTAAATTATCCCACGGACAACAGTTTTCCTTTAAGCCAAGGTGCTATCACATTCAGGTTTTTAATTTTCACGCTTTTTCACGTTTTTTCACTTTAACACATGAAACGACCACGACGTAATATTCGACAATTCAGAAGTAAGCAGTACGAATATTTGAGCCGAGCGACAGTTTATCGAAACATTTATCCTTGTTTGTATTTTGAGAGGTCTTTTGTGATTGCTTTTTTCACTGTCAGGAAACCTTCCGGTAACTAACGATATACGAGCATTATGCATAATAATATTGTCGAGAAATGGACCAATTACATCGAGCGCTTTTTCTTTTTCGATGTCGAAAGAAAGCAAAATTTGGATTTCCAAAATAAATATTGAGACAAAAACCAGTGATAACTCGAGTTTAATCAGCGGTTGGGGAGATTTTCTTAGGACTAATTTATGAAAAGCCCTTAGGCTCCTTGAAAATGACAATAAAAATACAACAGAATGAAATATTAAATGAATAAAACGACTTGGCGTTCGAGAAATAATTCTTTCACAGTCGAATAGTCGCATCAATTTCATTTTATTTCAAACCCGTTAATGTTAGGTTTGAAACCGACTGAATAAATGAACCGATGATTAATTTGTATCTCCCTCAGGGTCAAATTATGTTTGTTAATCAGGCCTTGTCAGACGAAGATTAATAGATCCTTCTAACTCTATGGCAATCGATTTTGCACAGAGTAGGAAAATTAAATTCAGATTTCTTTTTCGCAATTTCTTTTGCGCTTTCTAACATCTTTGATTTTTTCTCTATATAGATTTGTAACACCCGATTTTCATTTTTTATTCCAATTTTTATCACTTAGATCAAAATCGGAATTCGTATTCAGTTTATATCCATGCCCTCTTTCATCTAACGCCCTAAAAACGGATCTGAATTCTGTCTTTCTTTCTTAGTGTCCATGTGTAGGTGAAAAACGGCAATCGCACTGTTTTTCTGAGCTATGCAATTAAGAAAGGATTTTTCGGTTCCGCACTCTGTTGACCCATGGAAGTTCGAAAGCGTCTTGCTTTGATTGGTACAAAAGAACAAATATGAAGGCTTAGATTGCGGTCTTGATGAACAATCTGTCCGCTGTTTTATTTGTATCATTAAACATAAATCTATTGACGATTATCTTGTCATGCAAACCAAGAATTGATACCTGAAACTAAAAGAATGTCTTTGTGAAGCGTATAACGTTTTTTGCAATTGTCATGGAGTAAATTCCAAATGAAGTTTAAAGCAAGGGTTTTTGTTGTGTTCTTTCTTTTAATTCGCGTTTTTCGGGCGCGCGCGGTAAAAGCGAGGCGAACACGAGAAGGACGCACGGGTGTCTCACCCCTCTTGCTTTCCTCGCGCCAGCTTTAGTCGCTTGCCTGAGAAGAACCCAAAATATTGCAAAATATAGAGATAAAATAGACTTCGTCTCAGCACAATGGCGTCCCATAGCTCAATTTTGGCCATTCGCTCAGACACTTCTTTATGTACCGCACCACAATCAAAATTCATTGCAACTATGCACAAGAACATGCCTTGCTCAAAAGAAAGTAGTTCGGAAATTCCGTTAGCATTTGAGTTGCACAATTTACAAGAATAGAACAATTTACAATCAAACGTCTGACTCGGAACACTTGGAACAAGGGAAATGAATTGATGGAAAGACGGCGCTTTCGAGCTTGTCATGATAACTTTTCGAAACATAACGGATGGATCTCTTAGGTTGCTTAGAGTTTATTTCGTGTTCTTATTTAAAACTGTGGAAGACAAGATGTTATTTTCACCTATCCTCCATAGAGGACGTACAGTGGAGAATGGATACTTTATTTTCAACTTACGTTGCTTAGAAACAACCAGTATTTATTTTCTTGGAAAAATAATATTCAAATTTTTTTGTTCTTTTTTTCCAAAGTCCGTTTTTACTTCATAAAATGACTACATCCGACTTTCACGATTCATAACTTCTTCCTTTTGTAAAAATTTCTTCACTTATTATCTTTAATAATAAATTTAATGTTGATCATGATTGTTCACTGATCACCTACGACTTGCTCTCACACCTCAGCCGTGGTCAATCATTTATACCCAGGACCCACGACCATTAGACAAACTATCGCGAATTTAGGCTGCAACAGTAACTCATGAATTTCAAATGTTCCAATGATATTGTTATATTACTTAAACAAATTGGACCTTACCTTTGACGTATTTACCGGCGCTTTTGCTATCTAAACCAAACCCAATTTGCCTCTTGCACATTTTCCCGCGCTATGGAAACCTATAAAAGTCGGTCAATTTAGCGGGCCATATTTCATTGACATCTAAGTTAAAAAATTGTTTGAATTGAAACTTCCCCCCTCTCTTTGAACCTAAACTTACAATAAATATCTTGCTAACCTCGTTTTCCCTATGTACTCATTGACTGAGTGGAAGGCTCTCCCGCCCTGACTTGACCTCGGGCCAAATATTTTCCCGTCAGGCCCTCCCACTCAATCAATAAGCATTTTATCATATGCCCACTGACTTAATTTTCAAGACTTTGAAAATTTTGTTCTAACCCAAATAGGACGTGATAGACAGGCGCGGGCGGAAAAGATGTTCTATGTTAAAATTTTCCCTCAAATTTTTTGAGTCAGAACAAGAGATTCACAATTCATCGAAAAACGTGACTTATTTTCTCATTTCTGTTCACTGCTGTCACTCAAATTTTACAACAATAGCGAAGAAAATATAGATATATTTTTTTTGTGTCTTTTCTTTTTTGCAACAAAGCCGTACAAGCGCACTAGCGCCGGACGGCTTTTCCGTACCGGCTCACGCCAACACGTCCGGCGATACTTAAGTCATCTTCCACTTTGGTTTTCTATGGGATTGCGAAAGCGGAGCCGGTACGAGTCGTATGATAATATAAGGAACCTCGTTTTTTCCCGCTCGCATTTGTAGACCGCGCGCTTCGCGCTTGGGTCATAAATCCAAGAGAAACTGAAACCTCTGTCCGAAACTTACAGTACGGACAAAGAAAACGAGGTTAGTAAGAAACATGTAAGTTCCCGCGCTGTTACACACTAGACCGATTACAGACATGTTCAGTCGCTGAAAACTCAAGAAACTCAACGCAGACGAAACATGGTTCATTGAGAGATTTATTTCATTTGAAATCATGCGTGAGATCCTACAAACATATCCAATGTCCAAGCAGAAGATCCAGTTCAATTCAAACTAAATATCCACATCGTTTGTTTACTGATAGCACTTGTTTACTGCTACGTCTTCACCATAAAGACTTGACATAACTCTCAGAAGAGATGACTGAATATGCTCTATTTGATCTGGAGGGGTATATTCATCATATGACGACCTAAAGTCAAATCAAAGTGACTGAGTAAACCTTGTTAACTGTAAATTTATAGAAAAAAAAAACAGTTGATAAAGATTTCTGAAGCCTTTCTAGAGAATAAGAAAAACATGAAATGGCAGTGTTAAAGTAATTCTGATACTATTGGGGTACGAGGCTGCCTTTTCGTTCTCTATCTTCTCTCCTAAGTCCATCTGAGAACCGAGCCAATGAAAAGTACAAGTCTATAAGTCTGAGACGAGACCGACCTATCATATCTGCTGAGATTATTCTTACCTAGTGTTTACACTTAGCTCCATTACAGTCTTACCAGATGATTTCTTTGAGGGAGAGTGGGCAATTAAAGTTAGAACAGGCAGAGGAGGTTTTATTTTTTTTTTTTTGATATCCCATTTCTCACTTGCAACCTTTTGTTCCCTTCAATATGCTTTGCAAGACATCCACTGGTCAGGAGAAACAGAGAGCAACATGAATGGAGTAAAAGTATTGCTACCAAATTTCTGAGTGGGTGGGGGAGGGGAGAGTAGTACAGTGGCCCTGGGAAAAAGGTTAATTTTTGTTATGTTTACCATGATATGGGAGAGAAAACAACAAAGGTAGGATAAAACAGCATCTGTACCTGGCCATAGTGATGAAGGTCGGCTTTGGAAAACATTTCAACATGGCTGCCATAGATTGCATCAGACTGTCAATCATTTCTGAAGAACTCACATGATGAGGAATATCTGCTGACATCCCAGAAAAGTGCAGCTAAAACGGTCAAATAGGTAAATAGGTATTTCTCAAAAATAAGGTTATAATTATTTTTCAAAAACCTTCAGTGAGGACACAAAATAAATGTTCTCATATTGCCTAGTTTCTGTTCAGTGGTAAACCAGAGAGAAAACAAAATGTAGTGAGAATGTGAGTGACATAATCACCTGTGCCTCACATTTTATGCTCTTTTACTGAACAGATGCACAACAGTAACATGAATCTAGTTTCTCACTCAGACGTTTAATAAGGCCCTTTTGCAAATAAACAAGTTTAAGCAGAATATCGTTGCAATGTTGAACTAACAGGGAAAAGCTGGGCAAATCATGTTGATCAGGAGATATGAATATGTTGGCATTATGAACCTTTTCCTTCATTTCTCTGTAAACAATGAAACAACGATATCTTTATTTGCTGTTCTTCATGACTAAAATTTTTCTGCAGCTGTTTGGACTTACCCTTGCCCACTCACTGCCCTGGGACTCTAACCATACTATTATCAACAAAACATTTATTTTCTACATAGAAAGCAACAATACCATTTCATAATCAGGCTCCTCTCTTTTGTGACTTTTGATCATTTCTATTAGCTTAACCAAATCTTGGTTCAGACAACATTCAGGTGATGTTTCAATACATAATTTCTCCTCACTGCCAGGAGAAGATTGATGTTGCAGATATGAATAAGTTGCCTCAATTTTTTCCACTTGAGCTTTCCGTAATGTTACACAGCTCTCTAAATCCTGAGGATTTATAAAAAGTTCAATTACTAAACAAACTTTGGTTACCACAGCAATACTGCTGAATAATTGTGTGCACTTAAAAAATAAAAGTTGAAACCAGGAAAATCAACACAATATACTATTAACAGCAGAAGATAAACTGTACAGTCTTTCCCAAACTTTTCATAATAAATCAAGGGCCTAGCTAATCTGCAAGGACCTCCAGAGAATTTGCCACAAATTTGGTCATATTATGTCTCAAAAATTCAAATTAACAATGACTGAAAACTATGAGGGTATTTATTCACTGAGTTATTTATTAGACTTCATTTATTGATTTTTTTCTATAACTCTTTAAAAATTACCACATTACTGTTTTTGACATCAGTTCACACTAACCACTGAATAATCAGTGGCTGATGTCACTGCCCTTTAACTGACTGTAGTTAAATTAATCATCAAAACAATAGCGCCATCTTTTAAATTTCTTACCTTTCTACTTGTTGAGAGAGGTTCTTCAAATCTATAAATATCTCTGAGCCACAGGAACTCTTCCTAAAATGGAACACAACTGCTGTGTAAGTCACCTTGTGAAAAGATAATAACAGAACCCTATGAGTTATTACTTACGTCTGTGTAAAGCAGCTTGAAAGGGTTTTGGGTTGAAAAAAAGTCCATGTCTATATCAAGTATAAAGTTATTTTCAAGGGCAGTTGATTTGCCTGATGGAAGTAATGATTCAAATGCATCTTTGCTCTGTTTATGATCCCTCACTTTGGCAACTTTATTTTCATTATTCTCCAAATCTAATGCCTTAGAGACTTTGTTTTCTTTCTCCAGGGCAGCAGTGTGTTCCTTGATTTCTTTTGAACCAGGTTCAAGAGTAAATACAACAAGTTCCAAATCTTTGCAGCTTTCTAGTGATGCTTCATCTGCATAAAGTAGCTCTTCCACAAAATATGTCTCTGGGCATGTCACCCTGAAAAATCAGAAAAAAAGGCTATGCACATTACTGAATAAATACAACTGCTGACTACATGCAGGGCAGTCTGATTTACAAAGACCATTATGTTAAATTTTTGTAACTGTAGTCTAGTTTGAACTTCCTAGGAACCAGCAATAATAGTCAAACAAAACCAGGGTTCTTTCAGGGCAATGCAGAGATGTGGTGGCCTAACATTTAGTGCATTAGACTCTGGGGGGAGAGGTCTGGGTTTGAGATTTAGAAGGGTCGCAAGGTGCTGCTCTTTGGCAAGGCACTTTCCACTCACAATGCTTCTCTCCACCCAGGAGTATAAAGAGGTACTGGGAACTGTCAAGGAAGTCTGATGAAATGCTGGCAGGTAGTCTGTGACAGACTAGTAGTGCATCCAAGGGGAAGTGGCATTATTTGCGGCCCATTAGAGCTGCATAAACTGGGATTAGCTCTGGCTGGAAGGGCCACCTGGCTTGAGTGCAGACTCAACCTACCTAACTCTTTCAATGCAGGTTACAGTAAACATCTTTAGGATGGGTTTGAAATATTTTGTGGTAAATGTAATTGAAAAGTGATGGGAGTTTTTTGGCTCAAAATAGCAATAGAAGAATTGTAGCTTGGAAAATTGCTTTCTTGACCAGTGGATCAATCATTGAGGGTTTTATTCAAGTTTTGGTTATGATTTAGTAATCCTCAGTCTGTGGATGCTCATACGTCTCAACAAGTAAACTGAATTTCCAAGCTGTCAAAACTCATTACTGGTGTGACAAGCGGACGATAGGGTAGTTCAGAATACGTTTTGCCGTTTCACGGACGTGGGTCTCGTCAACATGGATTTTGGTCACTCGTAAAGTGCTCAGGCGTAGAATATTTAAATGTCTTTAACCCATTTTGGACATGCAAAGTCGAAGACGTATCTTACCTAATAAAGCCAGTTTCCTTGTGTTGGCCAACCTTCAAGTGAAATACACCTTCTTTGATTTGATCTGACCACGGTGGTTTGACCCAGATAACCTTATTTATATGTCCTGCAAAGACAGCAGGAAGAATCCAGTCCGCAATACTAATCTCTTCGTAGAGTTTTTCTTGCTCAAACACGGTGCGGCCCTTCATCTTCACGGGAACTGTGAGATCAGGGTGAGAGTCAAAATGAAGGACAGTAACTCCTTCGTATGCGATATGCTTTGATGCAATAGCTCTATGAATATAGTAGAGGACTTCATCGTGATTTTCGCATATCCATATTGGCATTTTAGGATATTCACGTAGCTCTTTCTTAGCTCTTTTTGGCTTGGGAAAATCCTTGTCTTCGTCCACCATTTTGAACCTGATGCCTGGTCGCAAGGCAGAAGAGCGCGGTTACTCATTTCATGAAGAAGTTTGAAAAAGGTTGTATCAAAAATGAGAAGGAATGAGGTGTCTTTGGAGATCTAGACTATTGGTTAATTTTGCGATATTCACCTACCCTAGAATCTTTCTGGAGAACTTCGAGAATCATTTTATTCCTCAAAGGATATTTTCCGCTCTCTCCACACCAAAGTATAAAGACAAATTTGCGATTGGATCAAAGAAGAGAAACACAAAGTAAGTTAGCTGAAGCCTGTTAAATGTATTATACTTTTTTCTTTTTGAACAAGAAACTGAAGGGAAAATTTGAATATTTTATGATATATGGAAGGCCACTGAATACTTAAACTGTTTCCTTAGGGGATGAGTGAAAGTTGAAAGTGGGCTGGACAAACCTGAAGACCTAGGTGGGGAGTGAGGAAACCCCCCCCCCCCACACACACACAAATAAAATAAAAACAAACCTTCCTTTGTATGACATCTCTATTTGATCATTTTGTCTTTTATTGGTAGGAAAAATTCAGGCCAAGGGAGGAAGGTAATGATTCTATAATGTTGAAATGAAAATAGTATGCCTGGCTGCCATTTTAGTTCCATAAAGATATTGTTATGTCTGAGTAGAACCAAAGTGGTTTTTATAAGCATCCCCTTCATTTTCCATAGCAAAGAACTAAACAATTTATAAATGTTTTATGCCACTTTGGCTATGGTCTAATGATAATTTACCAGTGCAAATATATTTTTATGATGATTGTTCACTTTGATTCTTTATTAAACCCAGCTGTCACCATCATGGAAACAGATTGATGTCTTTGAGTTGGACCCCTTAAAGGGAGATGATGCACCGAACATCCCAGACACTGTCAGAGAGCGTGCAGTGTCTGACATTTTGCTTGGAGTCATTCAGGATGTGCTGAATGGTCCAGAGATGGAACCTGCTCTGCGTCCTGTCCTGGGAAATTTTCACGTGGAGATTACACGGGTACTGTTAGTGAAATTCCTGTTCTGTTCCAATTATGAGCACAAGTCAGTTTTAAGTAATATGTGCTGGATTATTTATTTAGCTCCAGGAGGGGAAATACCACAAACTGGGTGTGGTTTTCAGGTTTTTCTGGTTTGTCGTGCTTGCTGTCTTTCTCTCTTCCACAAATTCCCCGCTTTTTTCTTTGTTTTGTGGTTTATGTTAATTTTACATGGGGCAGGTATAATTTGATAAATATGTATTTTATTGAAATTAATTTTGAACTTTTTCACCCAGGTTAAAATGACTCCAAACCTTAGAAGTGCCTCTGTATTCTGGAGAGTTGCAGATGAATTACAAGGCAGTGAACAGAGTGTTCAGATGTTGTTAAATGAAAACAGGGACCACATCAGGTAGCTAGAATGTTTTAAGCACTTTTTCTGCCTCATAGCAGCTCTGAATGTAAATTAAATTAAATTTTTTTTACTTGTGCTACGGACTTTGCCAAAAAGGTGGACCTGCTAGATTTATGAGTGAGTATTACTTTACTTTTCACCCTTAGGAAGCTTCTTCCTGCCTATTCCACTCGACCTCGCTTTCCCCAAATGTCTTTTATCAAAGATAGAAAAGCTGAATATGAAAGAACAGTGGAGCAGCTTATTCAAGAGGCCAAGCAGGCAGATGGCTTTATAAAAGACTCTAGCAAAATATCTGAAGAAGTCTGAGTCATTCATGAGATTCAAAATTGTACATGGTATGGAATCACAGATAAAGATTATTAAAGAAGTTTTGAAAGAGGTGTAATGAAGTTGGTGGAGAAATTTCAACCTTTCTGCCACACTATTTTTCTGCTCATTTTTGGAGTAGCAATCTCCCAGGTTTTCTCAGCCTGATGTGTCTCAAATGAATGTTTTACATGTCATGATGGAACTAAGAAAGTCAGATGTGGCATATGTTAACACTTGAGAAACTGGCAAGTTTTGCTTTGTTTCTGATTTGCATCTCTCCTTCACAAGAAAAAAAACTGCTCTGGGGTGAAATTGCTCTTCCCCTGACACGAGTTGCTCAAGGACAGACCTTACCATCAGCCACAAAATTACTCTCCTCAGGCAGGTGTTGGTGGCACAAACTTTTCAGTTCAACAGGGAGTAATTCTCCCATTTATAAGCTTTATTAATGAAGAACGCAATGAAAAATCTCCATAGAGGGGTTGTATGTGATACTGTGATTAGGGCCGTGTGAAAGGTGCACAACCCTGCATACTGCCTCATGTAAAAAAATGAAACGAGGAAGAAGGAAGAGGAAGAACAGCTGTCTTACAATAATGATGTGCTTATTGACTGAGTCACTGCAGGTTGGAGAGGAAAATATTTGGCCTTTGATCACTCCAGCCTTACTAGGCTGAGAAAAAAGTTGCTATATAGAATGAGATGCTTAGGTTTTATTGTCACTATTGTCAAATGCAAGGAATGAGAGGCTAAGAACGATATACTGTAAATAAAGATAACTTTTGAAATTGCATCAGTGCAACTGTTCATTTTGCTTCAACTTTTTCATGTGTTATAAAATTTTGCACTTGATAATGGTGATATGTGGCCAGTGAAGCGTTTTGTTTCAGCGAAGCTTTTAGTCTTAAGTGGAAAAAGAGAACAACAAACCTTCAAGAAAGAAATGGGAATTTGGAAATTTATCATATTTTTATCTTTACTATTCAGTCAGTAAGCGTATACATGTATATCATATGACCATATGAAACACAAAAAAAATTCCTTGTATCACAGCCCCATAAGATAGCATGAGAAGGACTGGAAAAAGTGGCACAGACCAATATGTGGCTCCATGAGATGTGAGTTAGAGGAAATGTAATAATAAAGAAAACAAGAAAGAAAGCATTATGCAGGTTTTATTCTTTGAAGTGTTACTTACAGTACTGAACTTGTTTGAACTTGTTCCCATTTAATTTTAATCTAAATAGAAATACTGTACTATTGAGTATATTGTTTGTTTAGTATCAAAATCTTTCAGAAACTAGTAATTGGTGAACTACTCTTGCCTGTCTAAGAAAGCTTAATGCCATGGGATGTAAATGTACTGAGGTAATGGCACCCTCCGAAAGATCAAATTTTTGTGGTCCATTTTTAGTACTATGTACTGAGTAAGGAAAACAAACTTGTAACACTTTATGATAACCTCTGCAAAGGGTTTTAAATTTGGTGCAAAACAGCAATTTATCACTATTATCAAAGTAATCGTTCTTTTTGTTCAATGGTGTATCTTTATGTGCAGGTGGTACATGTAAATTCAAAAAATCACTAAGTATCATTTCACAAGGTTCATATCCTAGGTCTCTACAAAATAGATCTTCTGTAAGGACTGTCTTGATCATGTGATAGCCAAAGATGTCGTTTGAGTTGGATGCTGGTTATAAACTTTTTTCCACAATCTTTACAAACAAATTTTTCATCCCCAACATGTTGTCGAATGTGTCGTCTCAATCCCTCCAGCTGTTCATATGTCTTTGGGCACCACTGACACCTGTATAGATAAAGCGCAGAAAGTGGAAAATTTTAAAGCTACAAAATTTTCCAAACAATTCTACAGTTTTGACAACTTATTCATTTCAAAATTGTCTTACTTCTTTATTTGTTAACTCATATGTTGGAACTACAGAACAACTTAATGAACAGATTTAAGTTCTTCTATGATTTCAGATTATCCTAGCATTACAACTAGTGAGATGCTTGTTTTACAACTATGAGATCATTTCAAACATCAACATTTCCCATCAGAGGGAAGTTGTTTAACAAGTGTCCAATTGAATTTTCAATGCAAATGCGTCATTTGTGTGTTACACTGTATCTTGGGAAATAACTTAGAAAAACTGTGCACTCATAAACACAATGACCAAGTCTTATATAAAGACCATGAAGTACAAAGACCTACATCTATAGATTATCTCTAGCACCTGAAACATTCAAAGTTTGAATTACTTGTTCCAGCAATTCCATGTGTAGCTGTGCCTGCATTGTGTTGTAGTAGTACCTCACATAAAATCTCAATTCTTAGATGTTACCTACAACTGCATACATGGAGACCTGACTTACTCGTAGGGTTTCTTCTTAGCCTGCTTGTGTATGTGCATATGTCTCTTCAAGTAAACTGCATTGATGAACTCCTTGGAACACAAGTCACATGTAACCACAGACTCCCTGGTATGCAGGAGTCTATGTGCTTTCAAGTTATCTCGACGTGTAAAGGCCGAACCACAATCTTCGCACACAAACTTCTTCTCATTTCTGTGTCCTGCCATATGTCGTTTGAGATCTGCACTTTTGACAAATGCTCTGCCACAATCTGTACACTTGTGCCTTTTGTCTCCTTAAAAAACAATACAGGATCAAAATTAGATGATCAGTAAATACAAATGTTCTAAAAGATAAGTGAACCAAGATTTTATTATTCGCAATGATACCTTACTATATTCTCTGGAGTGACACCTGGAAACAAAAGGCACCATCAACCCTACAAACTATAAAATTACTATTCCTATTCTTCACAATGTTCTCTTTAAATTTCTGGTAGTCAAAAGGAAATTTGTTTAATTCCAAAATTAATGATCACTCCCTTAAATCTCATGACCTTTCCATTAGATTCAAGCATGATACTGTAAGGAGACTTAAAAACCAGTCACTAAAAGGTTTAAGGGTTAAACGACCATCTAAGTCACTTTAAGTTGATAGACTACTAATGCTGACAAATTAATACCCAAGTTTCAAGTTCCATCATTGTTGTATGTGATTGATGCAAACTTTATATGCTATCATTGCTTGACTTTGTTTGTTTCAAAACTTCACTGTTGATATGTGCAACAACCTAGCATTTGTAAAGACTATTTGGTGAAAATGGCTTTTCAGTGTTGCGATGATGAAGTTGAAAGAAATATTTTTCCTTTCATATGTATTATCAGTCAAATCCAGCAGTTACAATTGGTAAGAACTACTTTCCATCAACAATCGTACTTTCGCAAATAGTTATCCAAAAAAAAAACAAAAAACTATTAATCCCTTCACTCCAAGTGACTAACATGTCACTTCTCCCTAAAATATCCATATCTTAACTGGCAAACAACCAATGAAAGTGCTCAATCTTATCAAGAAAGAGTTATTACCTTATTCTAACACCAAATTCTCAAAACTAATTTACAAGGAAATACAGTGGATGTACTGTAGCAGCTTGACAGGAGAATCAAAGGGTTAATAACAAACAAAAATCTGATTCTCACCAATGTGATACTTGATGTGTGACTTGATACATCCTTTAGTCCTAAACTCTTTTCCACAGAATTCGCATTTGTATTGCTTGACTTCCACATGAATGGCCTTGTGGATAGTGAGCTCATTAGAAGTTCTAAATCCTTTCTGACATTCCTGAAAGAAACAGAAATTGGTTGTGCTGAAATCTTATTCTTCACACTCAAGGACCAACACTGAGGTTTTCACAGAAAAATGTCATAGCTGGTGAGCACAGAAATGGCTGTAACTGCTTTTTAAGGGTTTGTGTAATTTCTCAACCGTACCTTGCAAAACATCATCTGATCATGAAATTTTTATTTTGTTCAATTACAATGCTTAAGCCATAACACAATTTTCATTTCACAATTTTCATTTAGAAATAAACACTAATTTTACGTTTTCTGAGAGTATCAAGTAAAAATGTCTGCTTAAACAAGATAATTAGTATCTGCAGTCTTATTATTGGCATATGTACCAGGTAGTCTTAATTTAATAAGCATAACAAAGAAACAGGTGTACAGTGTAAATACAACTGGACTTCCCATGTTGCATTTGCCAACTGTGAAAAAATAAATTATTATTCACACCAAAAAATTCAGTATGTTACCTCACAGCTAAAAGGTCTTGCCTCTTGGTGACTGGTTTGGTGGCGTCTTAGGAGATTGTTTGTGTAAAATTTCTTGTCACATTTGTCACACCCAAATTGCTTTACTCTTGCTGAGAAAAGAGGAAATTCAGCCTTCGGTCAATGACCAGATATACATTATGAAATCCCAAAAATTCATATCAGATCTATGATCTTGGCTTTGATAGAGGGTATAGAGTGCAGAGTACATGAACAGGTGGGGTTCCCATCTATTATTTGATATGTTTTAGTTGTTCTGTTGCCTAAACAAAGAAACAACAAAAAAATTAGTTCCCATATTACTAAGTACAATAACAAAACAAACCTGGTTTCTTTGAGTTACTGTCTGTATTTTCATTTTCTAGTGGCCCATCAACAGGTGTATCTTCCTCACAATCCAGTTTTCTTTCACTGACAATGTACACCTCTGATTCACCACCTGTCTGAGTCATTACTTCACGAATTTGTAAGACTTTTTTCCTATAAACAAGTTTAGGTACATCATCTGCAAAGTTTTCTGGTGCAGTCTCTGTACTGGTATCTGCTGAATCTGCCAATTGTGCTCGTGTTTCGTCCAAAATAGGCCGCAAATCAAACAAACCCTGATTTTGCATGATCTGCGAAGTTTTCACAGTAACAGACTCTGATACATTCTCAATGGGTACACTTTCTCCAGCAGCAACTGACTGTGTTATGACTACATTCTGAGAAATATTTGGCATAGAGCCAAATGAGTGATCAATGGGAAATGATCCTTGCAAATTGGAACTAGTTATATTGGAGGGAATAGAGCTATTTCCCTCTGAGATCATCAACTCTGTTGTTATGTTCTGCGATGGCAGCTGAGGATCACTTTGTTCAGGATTTGATTGAAACTGTGCAAGTTCCAAAGCTTTCTCTATAACTCCTCCATTTAAGGATGCATCTTGAGGAATGACATTCAGAGTAACTGGCTGAGTGAAGTACACTGCATTTCCAAGTGGTGCATTAGAACTAGCATTAGAAACAAGTGGAGAATCTCCTGAAGGAACCATGCCAGATGGCCCCAAGAAAAACACAAGAGCAGGCTGTGTGCCACCGGTTAATGGCAGAAGCTGTGGTGTCATCAAAGGTAACTGAATTGGATTGCCTTGGGCATCAACAGTTATCATTACAGGTGCTGGCAACTGAGGACCTGCTGTTAATCCAGCAACAGGGAGATCTGTTGATGCACACTCTGCCGAGCTAGCTGCTGTTGTACTAGAAGCTTCTGAGCTCTGATCTGTTGCACCATCCATTCCTCCATCTTGGTTTTTCAGTTTCGGTTTCAGTTTTCTTCTTCCATCTCTCTTGTTTAAGACAAAGTTGTAAAATTCTTTAACTTCATTATTTGTCAATTTGGTTGGAGTTCTCTTACGTGTCATTTTGCTGCAAAACATAGTAATTTAACAATAGCAATAATTACTATCATTAATATCATTAAAAACATACTGATTGAAAGTGAAGTAACCGACAAGGAAGCTTTCTATTTTGTAAAAAAATCTCACATCCTTTAAGAATCCTTCTTGACCAAAGGTAAGAATATCGTCCTTGTGCAATACTGCCATACAATTTTACATGTAATTCTAAGCAATGTTATGTGCAGTGCAGATCCAACAGCCTACAGTTCATTAATTTTATGGGGGAACGCATGCATAGAACTCACATTTTGGGTGTACCTGCTGAAGAATCCTGCCTCAAGACCTTCAATAAACATACAAAATTTAAAGTGGTTAAAGAATATTCAACAGAAATGATAAGGCACAGAATGAAATGAAATGTTGTGTACCATTAGTCAAAATCAACTTCAGGTAAAAGTACTTTAAATCTAGCTTGATTTCTTGCAACAAAAGGCAGTTTACACAACACGTGTAATGTAGCCTTTGGCCAATCACATATCATCATGATGAAATTTTAAGAATTACCTTTACTGTGAGGGAGTTTGCATTTCAGGGAAATAGTCAGAGACCTTAATTATGCAGGCCCTTTTCCCCTACATTCCTTTTAACTGCTAACAGAGAGAACCGAGTTGCATTTTTTATATTTGATAAAAGCTCGTAACAATCATATTTAGTAGTACAAACGTATAGCGACATTTGTGGTAATACGTTTATATTCCTAATCATGAAATATGTTCTTTCGAGACAGTGAAATAAATGAAAACACAATTATTTGACTACTTACGGTATCTTTAGCAGATTGACTTTTCAAAGAAGACACAACCTGTTCCAAATCCAGGTGCAAACGCGTTTGAGAGGGCTTTTTCTTCAGTTTTCGAGAAGTCTGTTCGAAAACCTTCTTTGTCAACCATTTTAGAGAATTTATTTCTCGCATCTCATTCACACCAGCCTGATCTTCTGATTCCCTGAGAGACAAACGCACATTTTTGGTAGTTAGCAATCATACCTCAAATCCAGATGAACGACGGCAACTAAATCGAAGCGCAGTGTAAATCATAGCAAAGTGATAGCGCAGAGCGCCTGCACGCTACAAATTTCAAAAACAACTTTGTATTTTCTCAATTCCACGACTATACAAACACTAGTTTCAGTCACTTCCCCAAATCTTCCATCATTAGGAAGCGATTAAACGATTTAAACGCTCTAAGATTCAGTTCCGAGATGATTATTACCTAGCCAAGGTCTCAGACGAACGAAAAAATCAAGGCGTCTTCTTCTGAGCAGAGAACGATATCCCAGAGTGCACTGCTAGTACAAGTTCCTCGTCTTGGGCCGTACGCAGGTGGTTCTGCGCAAGGGGTTCCAAGGACACAAAACAATATCAATTGTTCTCGAGTTATGGCTTTTCCACGGGTTGTTGGCCAATTTTCTTTGAAATGTAACCCTGCAAAGATCTGCTTCCTGGCATCATCAAGATCAAGGTGTGCCTGATGACCATTGTCTTGTTCATTTGATGCGCCATTTTAGCATAGTTTGAGGCTGGCATCCACAGTCTGTTGCACTCGGGATGATCATGTGCACCTCGGCCTTCGCGTTTCCATGTACATCAGGAAACCACAATCGTTTAGTAGTAGGTTTTGTTCTGCCAGCTGAATATTTGTATTTCCAAGAATTTTGCAATGAATTTTAATATTTTGGTTTCGAAGTTGATTCTAAATGCCTGAAATGATCGTTATTGCATAATTGGAGCAACTGCAGAATACCCGGCCACTCATTTACATGTCATTGAATAAGAATAGCGTCTATGTGAGGCGAACCAAAGTGGCCGGGTATTCTGCAGTTTAGCCGCATAATTAATTCCTGGTTGACTGTGGAAGGGGGAGGGGGGGTCCATTTCTAAGAGAATTCTCTATCTCAAAGTTGTATGTAGTTTGTCAGTCCCAATGTCATAGAACTTTTCGTCTCTCAAAAGGGCTAATTTCTAATCTACCAGTGTGGAATGAGGATGATTGTGGCTGCCTCAGAGGTGACTTGCACCCCTCCTCCCCCCCTATTATAAGGTCAAGTTTGGGCTAATTACCTCCCCCTCCCCCCCCCCTTTCCCTATTGCTGCCTTATTTGCCTCTCCTTAAGTTGCCAAACTTCATTCGTAGAGTCTTTTTTCCTTTCATGTCTGTGGTGTGCGGCAGTTGTGCATTTAGCATAAAAGTTTTCAACCGTAACATCTAGTTTTGGAAGATTTGGGAGGGTTACATCCAGGCATGCTTGACAACATTTGCAAGATGCTTTAGAAACAAAAGGAGAGAAAAAGAGCAGGAATATATTTGAAAGACATTTGAGGAAGTATTTTATCTGTTTTCAGCTCATGGTGGTCACAGGTAGAGCTTGGTCCCCCAGATGCCATTCTTGGAATAACAGAAGCTTTCAAAAAAGATACAAGCCCCAAGAAAATCAATCTTGGGGTTGGAGCTTATAGAGATGATTCAGGAAAGCCTTATGTTCTGCCTTCAGTGAGAAAGGCAAGTATCAATCTTTTTACTCTTGAAGGTGAATTATATGTAATTTTACAGAAAAAAAAAACAGAGTTGTAAACCAGTCGTATGAAAATTGTTTTGATTGTTGTTTAAAATACTGTACTTAATGCAAGATTTGGTTCTTCAAACAGGCTGAAGAACTGCTGATAGCTAAAAAGCAAGACAAAGAGTATGGTCCCATCCATGGTTTACCAGAATTCACTGGAGCTGCTGCCAAACTAGCCTTTGGAGAAGATAGTGAAGTTATAAAAAATAGTTTGGTATGTATTGCATGCTGGAATAGATTTTGTTATATTTTAACAGTCTTTTTAGTTGGTATTTCTAGGAATATTACATTTACAGTCACAGCGATAATTATGACATGTCCTTAGTGTTGTCAATTTTTTTTATTTTTTTTTCATTTGTTTTTCAATCCATGTTTTGTTTTGTTTCACTAGAATGCATCTGCACAGGCAATCTCAGGTACTGGAGCTCTTAGGATTGGAACAGCATTCCTGGTTAGTGAATTCAACTTCTTTTGTTTGACTTGCAAAATTAATGTTGTACAGTTGGTATTCAAAATGCATACGACTTGCCCATTTGTATGTGCTTATATACATAAGAATTTGATTAATTTCAGAATTACTTCAGTTTGATCCATTGTGGATATGTTTCTTTTTTAGAAAAGCTTTTTCCCTGGAAGTAAGGATGTCTGGTTGCCTACACCATCTTGGGGAAACCACACTCCAATCTTGAAGTATGTACAAGAAACTTTGGACACAGCCAAAATGCAATTGTTGATCAAATCCAAATTATTTATATTAATTTTTCACTGTTAAGAGAAACATATTGTCATATCAAATTTTAAGAAAGAAAATTATGTTTGTAAAAGTTAATAAGTGATACAAGCACTCTTGGAAAATATAATTTCAGTGTGCTGTTTACTGGTGTCAGTCTTTTGGCCTTTGATCAGTTAAGTGGATGTGCTACAAAAATTGTAATGCTTGTTCACGTTTTTATTGTCAGTGATAGTTGTTACAAAATTTTTCTTGGACATACTTCATATACATTAAATTTGTCTTCATAAGCTTTTTTTCATAATTCATCAAAAATGATAGTAGCAAGTACTTTTATTTAAGAATGAACATAAAATAATGATACCAAGTTACATGAAAAACCTTTCATGCCAATGAAATCTTACCAATTGATTCATGATATTTGACAGAATTTATATTATATTTGTATGTATTTGTTTCATGGCACACTGTCACTAACACCAACATTTTTGTTGCTCTGATTTGCAGACATTCAGGACTGGGAGTAAAACAATATCGGTACTATGATCCACAAACTTGTGGTTTTGACTTCAAAGGCTGTATAGAGGATATTTCAGTGAGTTTAAGAATGATTGACTTTAATTTACAAAAGTTTTACTTGTGGTACAGTTCTCCAGTGGTTAGTGTTTTAATCACTAATTTCTGTTTTATAGAAAATTCCAGAAAATTCAGTGGTCATGTTACATGCATGTGCTCATAATCCAACAGGAGTGGATCCAAAGGTAATTAAAAAAACCTAATTTTTTCAAACCTCCAGGGCTGTGATACGCTTGGAATGGTGTCTAGTCTTATTTAGTCACAATCATTTTTAAGTAGGCAGTCTTGATTTATCATTTCTGAACTATGATAGCTCAACAAAAGGGTTCATATACTGCTTTGCAGCATGAGAATTTTGCAGGGTTCAATTGCTCCAAAGTGTAGAGAAGGACCATGACTTGCAAAAGTAAGGTCACTGCAGTAAAAAATCCAACAAAATGAAGCACTGGAGTGTTTCAGTGGCAGATGCATTCATCATTTTCCAAATTAGGCAAGATATTCTACTGTAGAATTCCCATCTGAATAACTTAGCAATGGCAAAAATGGCTCTTCCAGGTAACTAAACTGTAGATTTTGAGAAGGATAGGGGTTAATTCTGTCTCACTTTTTCAGGAAGAGGAATGGAAAGAGTTATCAGATGTCATAAAGGTATTTACTTTTCCACCTAATTTGACATGAAAAGGCAGATATGTACAAAGTTTTAAAATTTAAAGGTTAGGTAAGTAAGATTTATTCTTGATATTATCAAGTAATGTTTTTTTTTTATCTCTTCTCCAGAAAGGCAAACTATTTCCTTATTTTGACATGGCATACCAAGGTTTTGCCAGTGGAGACACTGACAAGGATGCATGGGCCCTGAGATACTTTATAAAGGAAGGACACAAAGTACTGGTAGCTCAGTCATTTGCCAAGAACATGGGTCTCTATGGTAGGCTTTTATAAGTCCCCTTTGCTTTTCCCTCACCTTGTCTTTTGATGATAAAAAATAGACCAGTAAAAAGAAGAGGCTCCACCTGCTGTTTCATGAAATTTTTTGTATTTGCAAAGCAAGGCCAAAATCTATTTTTACCTGTTGTCTTGAAGGAAAAAAACAATGCAACATTTTCTGTCACTTCACTTTTTGCAATACTATTTCTATAACGTACCATAAATAAGTAATGGACAAGAGTTGAAACAAAAACCTCAATTCTTGAAAAAAAAAAAAAGGATGGAAATTTGTCTAGTAATTTCCCCATCTTGGAAAAAGTATGGAAAATGAGATGTTGAGAAAATGGAAAGAGATCTTTCATTGTCTGATTTCTGAACCTGACTGGTTGAAAAAGTGGCATAAGTTTTCTACACCAATCACCAGAGCATAGTAGAGCGATACCAATGCAGTCCTGGATTTCTTCTGACACTCAATTGTGAATGGCTGTAATGTGCTAAGTTTTATGTTTTTCCTTTTCCTTGTTGCCCTCCTCAAGGTGAGAGAGTAGGAATGATCACAGCCACTTGTGAATCGAAAGAGGAGGCAGAGCGAGTCCTGTCACAGATCAAGATCCTTATCCGCCCCCTTTACTCCAACCCTCCAATCCATGGGGCCCGCATAGCAGGTACTGTCCTCAGTGACCCTGAACTGAGACCACAATGGGAGGTGGAAGTCAAAGGAATGGCTGACAGAATAATTTCCATGAGACAACAACTTGTAGATAACTTGAAGAAAGAAGGTATGAAACTCTACTGTAAAACAGCTGGTCGGATGTAGATTATACCCATCAACCCACCAAATCACCCAACCCCCCTCCCCCCCCTTCTCCCTTCAATAGAGAATCTTTTCTGGAAGCAATTAATGGTAAATTGAGTATTGACTCATTTTAATTAGTAATTGAACATAGTTAAGTGGAAAATGTGCTATTCTCTTAATCATCTGTTCATTACTTAACCCTTCAACTTTCTGAAGTGTTGAACATGTAATTACTCCTAATCCATACATTGCTCAGCAAAAAGGTCATGAAAATCATAAGTTGTTACCTTGATCTAACACCAAATTCTCACAAATGTTTTACAAGGAACTGTGTAGCAGCTAGAGGGGAGAATCAACAAATCAGATCTTAAGAGTCAGGGGGTTATAGCATTTACCGATAGTTCTTTATCTTAAATAATTTCCCGGTTAATATGAAAAAAAATGCAATTACAGTATTAAATGATGATTATAACCACAAGTGATAAAATATAATGTTAAAATATCTCTCTTTTGTGCTGTTTCCTTTCCAGGTTCATCTCACAACTGGTCTCACATAACAGATCAGATTGGAATGTTTTGCTTCACAGGGCTTAAACCTGATCAGGTCTGTAAGCATACAATGATTAAAAAAAAACAAACAAAACAAGAAAAGAAACAAAATTCCCACATCAAAACACTTCAGTTTTTGATGTCTTTGGTTAACATGGCAATGTGTGATGCAATTTTGACCCATGGCCTCAACTGATAAAATCTGTAAATTGTGTCTTCTTCAGGTTGAAAGACTCACAAAAGAATTTTCAATCTATTTGACCAAGGATGGACGTATTTCGATCGCTGGTGTGACATCCGGAAATGTGGGGTACTTAGCTCAAGCAATGCATGAAGTAACAAAATGATGGACTCAAAATTCTAGTTACCTTTATTCTTTGCCTGACAATTATAAAAGAGCTGCCCAAGTTTCTACAGTATAATCAACATGGAAGTGTAACAACCTCTCAATGCAGTCAAAATTAATGTCAAAACCAAGACAATTTCAGCTATTTCAGTGAGGGACCAGTCTTTATTTATCACCTTTGGGGAGGTTGAGGATTCTGTATGTGTCACAATGAAATTGACCTGATTTCCCCCCATAAGGCTCTGTCATATTCTTGTGACCCCTTCCCCTCCCTCGTTGGAGGTTAACCCTTTATGCTCTGTTATATTGTACTACAACTAATCCCTCTCCGTTCCCCCTCAAAAACTATTCAACCCCCCCTGAGAAAAATCCTTCAGCCCCCAGGCCATGAATAATGACTGGTTCCTCATAGCGCATCGCGAGCAGCTTACCCCAGTTGTGGACACCTTTTTGTCATTCTTAGGGTGTTTGGGTAAGAGAGCTGCCTGCGATTGAAGCTGGAGTATGTTCATCAAAACAATCTTTCTTGAAAGGTTTCGTTTGCAATTGAGTGTTTACAGTACTGCATCTCTGATGCAAGGGAAGGGAAGCCCAACTAGAGGGCAACAAAAATAAAATTTATGACTTGTAGCATGAACGGCTAGTTTTATTCTATTTTAGTTTATTATGCTATAGTTACCTAGTCTAAACCTGAAATAGATCTACAGCTTTCAGTATGAAGTAGGTTTTCAGAAAGAGCTTGAAGAGTGGAGAGTGAGCTTAACCGCGAGGGTTCTCCTTAACAAAATACGTTTTTAGAAACGGCGCGATGATAAAGGAAAATTTCTTAGTGTGTCAGGAAGAAGCAATGACCAAAAGGAGTATGGTAATAAATATGTATTTGCAATAAAATGGGGAGTCTGAAGTGATACCTTAACCTGAAAAGCTTGAAAATTGGGTAAAGCTTGTATATTTTGTTTACCCATTTCAGGTCAAATGCAATACACTAGGGGACTGTTTCCCATATTCATGTGCTTATGTACGTATAATTTACAAAATAGGAAGCTGGGAATTCCTTTGAGACCATAACACCATCAACATTCTTACAATTTTCATGGTTACTGGATTTTGAAATAATTTTTTTTTCGTGTAAACGGGCATTTGCAAGTATCACTAAGCATAGATTTCTAACAAAATTGGCATTTCTCAAAAAGATTCTGTTTCATGTCCTGTTGATCAGACAGGTACATTAATTTCAGTGGGATTTCAACATCGACTCCATGCTCTCTGATCTAAGTTATTCTTTGTTTGCTACAGTCGTTGTTCTGTATCCTTTTATATTTCAAAATCAAACTCTAGTCCACTTCCTTGTAATTTTGCCAGCACCTCCTTCTCAAATCTCTCGTTCAACTCCGGAGTAAAGTAATTTTTCCAGTCACCGACCACGCCCTTCCGAAGAATCGGCACATTTCGGCCATCCCTGAATGGAACTGTAAGAACTGAATCACGGTCTTTCTTCATTGCGCTGAAGCTGCTTTGCTCAGCGATGCGACTGATAATATCATCAGTCAGTGGCCTGTTGAGGAAGTCTGCGATTGACCGAACATGGGAGAGTAGATCCCAAAAGACAAGGGGATTTGCTCTTTTGTATACGAACTTGTTCCTAATTTGCACGATTAATGTTTGGTATTTAGCCAGCAGTAGGGCAAAACTCTCTCCAAGGGTCAAAGAGATTAAACAGCACTTATGCTTTGAAATATCAGTATCAATGTTATAACCAAGCAAAAGCCATGAATTATCAATAATACGTAAAACCGGCGCTCCGAGAGGCCACCGTGAAGGTCTCTACCTTGGCGACCAAAGTAAAAAAATTTGGAGTGTAAGTCAGCAATTTGGCAGCCTGTGTTCGGCAGTCATGCAACAATTTGAGACGTTCTAATAACTCATTTTCACAATCTAAAGTCAAAGTGAGGTAAGCATATTGGTGTTTTATTGTTCTGTTCTTTCTCGACGTTTCCAAAAACAATTCGTGCGGACAGCGGTTAAGTATGTCCTGTTGTATTGGGCAAAGTGTATTCTCTTATACTGGCGGTCATAGCCAGTTTGATTTACGGTCGCCAAATGGTGGGTTAACTGTCCTGTTGATAATGCCGAGGTTATTGCCTGTCGAAGTTACTTCGGGTGCAACATTTTTGTGTCGTTGGCAGATCGCCATCTTATTCTAGAAGGATATTAGATGAAATAATTCGCATATTTTTCAGAATTTCCAGGAACTGCTGTCGAAATTTATGAGGTAAAATTTGATTGGCTGGCGCTTATTGGTGGGAAAGAATAAACGTTGTACTCCGCGCCACTCGGGAGATTGACATGAACTGACACTTAACGTCAGTCTATTCTCGCCACCAGTTTACTGAATCAGATAGTGAGGATAACTGACATGTTGATCGGTTGTGGAATTGAGGAGTTTCTTAAGACTACAACAAACCTTTTTTAGATCTTCATATTTAACAAACAAGATGTTAGCATCATCTTTGTGCTTCCACCAGTCCAGAACATGGTCATTCCAGTGGTTCCAGGGGACTTAAAAAATAGAAACAACCAACTTCGTTGAGTAGAAAGACATTTGTTCCTCTTAAACTGTTCCTCATTTGGTGGGGGTGGTTTTTAGATAAGAGGAGAGGATGTTTTGGGGGTGGAGAGGGGTGTGAGGAGAGGGCTTTTTGAAAGCTTACAGCTGTCGAATAAAATCAGAGAACAAAACAATCGGAAGATAGCAGAAATAAGGCTAAATGTATAATTTTCCTAACGTAAAGAACCTACCATTTCCTTCAACGAATAGTTTAGCAAAAAATTCCCACGGCCCATGCCACGATGATGAAATGCCTGACCAGAAAAAATAATAAGATACCACAACGTCCTTTGGATTTCGAGCAACGTAAATGTATTTGCACACCGTGTCCTTGTTTGGTGATTTAGGGATCACATTGTAAGGTAGATGTGTCTTAAAAATCCTTGGACTTGGCAGGGCGCTGAGATCAGGCGTTGGGGAATTTGGTTGGTGTGAGTGTAGTGCTCTTTCCAGGAGGAAACCTCGTTTTTCTGACAGGTTGCCTTCGTTGTAAATTTGCGAGACAATTTCTGCAAGCCAATTTGTCCCTGAAAAAGTAAATAACATCAAAAGCTGTGTGTTAGTTATGATATGTAAGGTGTATCGGGCAAAACCAAGAGATAGTATTATGACAAGATTTCAAAAAAGTGAAATATTGTTAAACCGACATAAATTGCAAGTTCCAGCGACCGTGGTTTTGACCTTTAAGTCCTTATTATGTTGCCTACTAGCCCAGCGATGGCGAAGATGGGTGGTAGGGATTAGCCACCCACCTGTTTGCAAGGACAAATTTTTTTTTTTTTGGTTTAGTATGAAGTACGTATGAAGAAGATAAGACAGAGGATGAGAAAACGATAAAAAAAAGTTTGGTTCACTGCAGATTAATCCTCGAGATCACAACTTCAAAATTTTATAGGGGAGGTTGCCCCCCTCCCCACTTTTGTTTCAAAATTGGCTCACCCTGAGCCAGTGAGATTCTGTGGAGAGCAGAGCCATTACGAGATAGCCAGACTCCTGGGGTTCGCCCTGCTGATGGTTCGAAATTACAGTTAATCTGTAAAAGACATCTACAGGGAAACGATTTTCGTTCGAGTTGACGCGAAAATCTGATCGGAAAGGGTACTACACCTAATTTTTAGCGGAGTCACGACAAATCTGCCTCTGGAGCTCGCTTGTCACTGCGTGCTACTGCAAAGGATATGTTTTTTTAGCCATTTCAATTGCGGTTGAAGTATTTAACAGAAACAGATATAAGTAAGATTGATAACTACAAGAGAAAGAAATCAAAATGCTTCACTCGTTGTTGTTGCCTTGTTTCTAATCCAATTCGCGCATGAGAGACTGTGACGGAGACTACTTAATATGCGGCGCAATGAAGGCGAACATGTATGATCTGGTTCCCAACGGTCACGCAAATAACGCGAAGCTCCCGTGGCGAAAATGGAATCGTCTCTCCATTGGCAGTATCGTTTGTTGATGAATAAAAAAGCCATTGTTTAAGAATTGGAAGAAAAATTAGTACCTTTTTAAATTGTATTCTTGTACCTAGCACATAGAAAGACATGCAACGTGTATATATCTGCAATAGTACAAGTACGCTGTAAATGATTGCGAAATATTTGTATCTAGTCATACTTTGTAGTCGAATCAAACTTTGCCATTCACTTTTTAGTACTTGGAGGTTTCTTTGTAATATACCGAACTACCAATCTGCCAAATATTTTATTTCTCGAGGGCCCCTTTGACACGACCCCGGGTAACCTACTTAGTTGGGTTAAATAACTGCAGACAAATGTTTGGTGTTCTCATGAAGAAAACTATCGCGGGTCATTCCCATCTCAACGAGTGACCCTGGGCCTTGTCGAGACCGGGTAAGAGTCACACGAAAATGTACACTTTCGACGTAAAGCGAATATGTTTCAAAGTTAACGACAATTCAAATCAGGACAAAAATCAACCCAGGCTTGTGTAAAGCGGCCTTATAGAATGCGACTAGTGTAAGATTTTGCAGATAGGTATCAAATCACCGGATAAGTTTACTCTCACCTGATTTAGGGTAGGAGGCAATGAAGACGTCATCTGGTCTTGTCTGGAGGTTCGTGATGAAGTTGCTTAGTAGCTGAGGATCAGATGTGAAATACGCTGGAATTTTCAAGCCCAAGATTTCACGGAAATTTCCTGTCGTCCAGTCGCCTTCTCTTACTTCAGTGACTTCAGAACTCGTCATGATCAGCAGAGCGCACGGCAATGATAACGGGTCACGTACCATGAATCAGTGCTGCACATCGTTCTGTCTAACAGTCAATACAAGACGACCGCTGACGTGTATTGTGATACAGACAGCGAGGGCGCAAAACTAATTTTAGTGTGTTCTATGATTGTTTGTTTGTTTGTTTTCTTTTTTTAGGATTATTATCACAAATGAACGAAATAATAACCCATATTTTTCCCTGTGGATGACAATGAAAACGAAATGGTCGTCATCATGGAGCTGCAAGAAATTGGAGAAAAAAATTTGCTCCGTGCCCAACAAAAGGCTTGCTAACTTGGTAGTAGCGCCAACTTGCAACTGGTGGGCACGAGTTGCATCACCTCGAAGTATGATCGAAGGCTGATATTTTAAGGCTTCTTTCTTTGCAATCTCTCATCAATGAGAATAATTTTGTCATTTAAAATCATGCGCAGGTCGCTGAAAATCTGATTTATTTCGGCAATTGGTAACTTCTATTCAAAATCATCGTACGAGTTTTGGAAACAAGGCAACAATAGCTGGCTTCAAATTCAAAATATCCTCAATGAATTCAACAATCAATCAGACAGACGCAACGCAACGCAAGAAAATCAGTGACACACTTACCCGCGGTCAGTTGTGCAGCAATCTTTTATTCAGTTACATGGTTTGATATCATCTTTGATCAATAACACTCACACAGAGCACTATGGAACCTACGTGTTAAATGAAAGAAACGTCCTAAGAAAAAAAACACTTATTGTCCAGTAGAGATCCAGGCTGCCTCTCGTCGATTGTATTTTTTTTTAGTCATTCAGCCTTTCCTTCTCCTTTTTGCAGTTATAGCTAATCTCAGGATGTAATCCTTATTGAGTGATTGAAATCTCGGGCTTGAAGTGAGGCTTCGTGCGACACTAGGATTTAAAGGACTTCTTCTAGATTACCTATGAAAATCCAATTATAACTCAAAATCAAACTCCAATCTAGTTCCTTCTATTTTTGACAACACCTCTTTCTCAAATCTCTCATTCAACTCTGGAGTAAAAGAATTCTTCCAGTCTCCGACCACGCCCTTCCGAAGAATCGAGGTTTGGCTTTCATTGACGTGCACCATGTATCTCGATAAATCTTTTGTCATCCCATTGAAACTGCACTGTTCAGTAATACGATTAATGATATCCTCTGAAAGCGGCTTGTTAAGGAAGTTGGCGGTCAATCGAACTTGTGAAGGTAGATCCTGAATAAAATATTCATTATGATTTAAAATCTGTTCTCAGGAGGCAGTCCTAATGTTTCACACAAATCCTTGTAACAATACGCGTCTGGCACTAGAAAAATCTAAGCAGGATCTTGAAGCACTGAACGAGGACAAAGTAGAAGGGATTATACTACGCGCAAGAGCTCGATGGCACGAACACGGTGAAAAGAATAACAAATATTTTTTAAATCTCGAGAAACGCAACCATGTTAAAAAGCATGTAAGAAAGCTGCACATTAGCGGTGTAATTTCTACTGACCCCTTTATGATTATGGATTCACAACGCAAATTTTATAAGAACTTATATCGTAGCAGAAATGTTAATCTAGATAATGCAGAATCATCGATTTTTTTCGATAGTCCAAATTTACCCAGTATTTCACATGATTCAAGAATAATATGTGAGGGTAGAATAACTGCGGAAGAATGCCAGAACGTTCTCAAAACTTTTCCAACTGCAAAAACGCCAGGCAACGACGGGTTACCCATTGAATTTTATAACACCTTCTGGCCATTACTTAGTGATACTTTGATTAATTCATTTAATGAAGCTTTTATGAAGAAGGAAATGTCCCCATCTCAGAGACAGGCAGTGATTACTCTTATTGAGAAACAGGACAAGGATAGGACTTACTTAGAAAATTGGAGGCCAATATCCTTGACTAACGTCGACGCCAAAATTGCGTCCAAAGTTATAGCGACCCGTATTGTCGCTATAAAGTTTATTAAAATAAAATAAATATAAAGCTATTGTAAAGTTTTACCCGAAATCATTCATAGCAATCAAACTGGGTACGTTTCAGGTCGCTACATAGGGGAAGCCGCAAGATCAATTCTAGATATAATGGATTACACGAAAACTTATGAAATCCCTGGATTGCTACTTTTTATAGATTTTGAGAAAGCTTTTGATAGTCTGGAGTGGAATTTTATGTTCAAATGCTTAGAAGTCTTTGGATTTGGATCCAGTCTTACAAGATGGATAGAAACCTTTTACAGTAACATAACAAGTTGTATTATCAACAATGGAACGCTCTCAGCTAGCTTTGAAATAAATCGAGGTGTAAGGCAGGGAGACCCCCTTTCTCCTTACTTGTTTATCATTGCTATGGAACTACTAGCAGTCGCTATTCGCTCATGTTCAGAAATAGATGGAATCAAAATAGATGAAAAAGAATTCAAAATGGTACAGTATGCAGATGATTTAACAGCTTTTGTGTCGGATATCAGATCTGCTCAATACCTTTTTAAGTTACTTGATCAATTCCAAAAATGTTCTGGCCTAAAGGTGAATTATACAAAAACCGAAGCAATGTGGATTGGCTCTTCCCGTAATAACATCGAAACACCTCTAGCATTGAAATGGCGTAAAACTGTAAAAGCTTTAGGGGTTCACTTTAGTTACAATAACGAAGAATCAGTGCAAAAGAATTTCTACGATAAGCTCAAAGGAATTAAATCTCAGATACGCTTGTGGAGTTGGAGAGGCCTCTCTCTGTTTGGTAAAGTTACAATTATTAAGAGTTTACTACTTCCTAAAGTTCTATACATCTTGTCAATTCTTCCTTCTCCTTTGGAGTTCATAAAGGCCCTTCAATCAATTATATATAATTTTCTTTGGAAGGGTCCTGATAAAATCGCCAGGACAGCAGTAATAAATGATGTTGAATTTGGTGGCCTAAAGGTAACTGATTTTACAACGTCAATTATGTCACTCCGACTTTCATGGATTGGAAGATTTCTAAGCGATAATTTTTATCCCTGGAAAGCGTATCTATTACATTTACTAAAACCTTTTGGTGGAGAATTTTTTCTTCATTGTGATTACAATATTAATGACTATAACATTTCCCCAATATTTTATAAGGAGATGTTACACTGGTGGTCAGATTTTCGTTCTAAATTTGATCTTGTAAGTCTACGTGAAACAATCATCTGGAACAATCATAATATTAGAGTAAACGGCAAACCTTTATTCTATTATAATTATAATAGCGCAAATATTATTCTTTTAAGCGACTTAAAAATTTGATTTGAGTAACACAGAGTCCTTTAACCTTGCAAAACGTAATGGTTTAAAAGATTCCAACTTTCTGACCTGGACTGGTGTTCGTTGCGCAGTACCAATTCATCTAAGAATTCGATGCCACGAAATTAAGAAAGATCATGTCAGATCACTGCAATTTAAAATCGGTGATAAAATCTTTGATCCAGCACTTAGCAAGTCTAGGGATTTCTACGGTTTGCTTATATCCAGTAAGGCGACAGAGTCCAGAGGCTTCACAAAGTTGAAATCTAAATTTTCTATTGATGATGTGGAAACAAAAAAGGCCTTCTCATTAATAAGGTCCTGTATCTGCGAGACATATGTGCAATGCTTTCAATTTAAAATACTAAATGACATTTTATTCACAAATTCCCGCTTAGCTAAGATAGGTTTAATACAAAGCGATCTTTGCACTTTTTGCAATACTAGTGCGGAAACAATTGATCACTTATTCTTTTACTGTGTTTACTCACATGCATTTTGGGAAGAATTTGAATCTTATTGGATCGCTATAGCCAAAGAACAAAGGAAACTTGAGTTAAAGACTATTTTAATTGGTGTCACAGATACTAATTGTTCTTTATTTAATTACTTAATCGTTTTAGGTAAGCTACATTTATGGAATTGCCGTAGGAATAATAGTCTTCCTTTTTTCCCTTCGTATAAGGAACTAGTTAAAAGAAAATATGAAACTGAATGTCACATTGCGGCTAAGTTTAATGATAGGAAGATGCTAGAGGCTAAATGGAAACCCATTTTGAATTATAATTTAATAGATACATAGGTGTGTAAGCGAGTAGTCTAAGGAAGTATTATATAGTAAGTAGAATAAGTAACGTCTTGTAGGTGGTATTGTAAGTAGTGTTCGTCTTGTTTTGTAAAGTAGTGTTCTTCGTGTTGCAATTTAAAAAAAAAAAAAAAAAAAAACCTTCAATAGCATTAACGGATGAACAATTGTACCTTTGGACAATCAAACATAACAAATATACTTTCAATCTCGCGCAATGGTTGATCATTAACACCAATAGAAAATCAATTGCATAGTATGACAGTCAATTGCGTATTAGAGACATACAATAAAACAATCTGCATAGAGACGCACAATCAATTGCACTTTCATACAATCGTTTATTCAAAATGGTCAATCATTAACGTGAACTGACAAACGTGTGTAGTAATAACAATCAACTGAGGAAAAAGAAATTTCAAAAGCGTTCTATTACAGTGCATTGTAATGTAATGTTTTGTAATTATCCTTCAATTTCTTCCTTAATTAAACATCTTGGAATGTGCGTTTGCATAAATCTGTACCACTGTCCACATTTAGCAGCCGTGATAGTGCCTATGTTTCTCTGCAGGGCCTGAAGTGTAGCAATTGAGTCGGAAGTTTCCTAAAGCGATTCCTTATCGTCTTGCCTCTGCTTTGTTGTTCATCTGTTCTCGCTGGTCTGGACGACTTATGTCCGCTTTTATGGCTGCTTTTAAGGCACTTATTGCTTGCTCTACGATGTTAAGAAACGGACTGTATGGTGGTAGCTTTTCAAGCTCAGAAATAGGACCAGGAATGGCAGGATTGTTGTGGGCTGATGCACCGTCATAAATGAAAATCACATGTTCATTTGGGTCGAGATTTAGCCTTGCCTGTGACAGAAAATCATTAAATCTTTGTCCATTCATTCCACCGAGAAATGCCGAGTGAAAAACGATTCCATTGGTGGGTGAAATAATCTCCATTAACATCTTCAGAGGCTTGAACAATTCTTTGTCGCTGTTCAAGTAGGATTCTGTTTCTTGGTGGCATGATTTTCTTCGGTTATTTGCGTCTCCAACGCGTCTACTTGTTCATACAGCGTACACTGTTTCTTACAGCGTACTGTACATGTAAAATGTTCTTCATTTTTTATCTGCTTCAGCAAAATATTGTGCAAAAAAAAAAAACCAGGTGAATGATAATGTACATACTCTTGTATTTTTGTTCAGTATTTTAAAATAATGTAACTACGATGAATGATACTTATGAATATTTTTTCTTCCTATTGTTTATTCGAAAAACACCAAGTTTATCAGTTAACGTTAATGATTGACAATTTTGAATAAACGATTGTAGAAAGGTGCAATTGATTGAACGTCTCTATTATTGTATGTCTCTTAGATGCAATTGATTGTTATACTATGTAATTGATTTTCTATCAGTGTTAATGATCAACCACTGCGCGAGATTGAAAGTATATTTGTTATGTTTGATTGTCCAAAGGTGTAATTGTTCATCCGTTGATGCCCTGGAATGTTAATAGGGTCTGAATGGGGTTTAGTGTTTAGTGTTATTTGTCCATATTTTTTAGTGTTTACTGTTAAATTGGCCATTTTTTTAATGTTTACTGTTCTTGGAAAAAATCATGTTTAGTGTTTGAAAGGAGACCCCAAAGGTTTATTTAAGGATTTTCAAATTTCGTCTGCTCTTTTAAATTCTGCAAGAAAATCACTCGCGAACAGTGAGCCAAAGCTGAAATGCTCTTGTCCTTTGAACCGATAATGCGCCTTACTAGACCCTCAGTACTGGATGTACTTAAGGGGATACGTTTGGTAATCCACACAATAGTTCCTGAAAAGTATCGCTTCTGGAAATCCAACCAAAGTAGTGTTTGCAAAAGACCAATTGCACATGAAATTGGGCCCCAAGGCAAAGTACTGGCGTTAGACTACGATTTCGACTCTCGATGGTCTCGTAGAACTGCTTTTACACCGACCAGTCGATATAAATGTTCGGAGGGAAGTATTCAAGGATGCGCGGGACCTATGCTTTACCAATGGCATAGTCTTCGTTGCAGAGAGAGGCTCCTCAGCAATCCGTTTCATTGAATTGAAAGGCGAAGTACCTTTCTAACCCGGACGCCTAAAATCGCTTAGTCGTTTCAGATTGTCACTTGAGGGTACAGGTTCAGTGCTACAGAAGCGGTTGACGACACATCTGAGATCTTTAGCTGCACAAGTCGAAAACTGAAAAAACAAATTGTCCAGATTAACCCACCTTTAAATAAATCAACTTCCATCTGTGCGGCAAGTAAGGATATCATCTTGTGTGCAGATGATGAGCAGAAAGGCATAATGCAGCTGGAGTTAGAGTACAATGGAGTGGCTATCATCGGTAGTAGGCTGAGACAGATAAACTACTCCAATGACGTGCAAGTGTTGAATCTCTTTATGTTCTGCGGCAATCAGCATGCTTGGCTGCAACTAGCGCAGCTGGAGGGTTATATGGTTGGAGGGTTATATGGTTGTAACCTCGATTGAGCGACTTTTTCGGAATTCTTCAGATTCTTGTAAGGAAATCAGGAGGCTGTATGGTTATGAGGGCAACATTGTTTTCACCGACAACAAAGATCAAAAGGTTAAGACCTTTAATCCCTTAAGTGCAACAGTCGAGACCTTGTTGGGTACTGGCCATGAAGGAACCGTTGATAGAACTGAAGAAAGCTGCTCATTTACACAATTTCATGCAATCTTTTCCTTGTAGAAAATTTTTTTTGTTTCCGATATAGCTGCTGAAACAATCAAACTAGCTTCGGGGCTTACTGGCAAAGTGTCCTTTCTTCGCAACCTCGAATGTCTCTATGATAGTTTTGGAATTGGTGCACGACGCGTTCCAATTATCTCTTCAAGATGCTGTGTGCAATGTTTCATCTGTAAATGCTTATATTAAAAACACAGTCGCTGAAGTAAGGCAGTACTATAAAATGAAAGAAACGGCAACAATAAATGGCCCTAAAGGAACTGTTTCCAGCAAAACACAGGAGTCATTGGTGCTTCTCGAAAGAGGTATGGAACAGCTACGAGATAACGTTAAGAATGTAAACGAGGACTATCTTGGTGACATTGACCTGCGTACGCTGCTAACAACTCAGGTGGAAAACCTTCATGCAGTCTCCCACTTCAAAAACGAGACTTTCACCGCTCTTCAGTATGCTCAAGACTTCGGAACAATTTTAAAGGAATCTTTAAAGAGAACAACGAAGTGGGGTGCGAAGTACTTCACACTTGAGAAGTCTTATTATCCAGTGCCTAAATCCAGTGTGGAGTTACGGGACGTAGATTTGGTGAAACCTCCTCCAGCTGATAACGTTGACCCCAACATTGAGGCAGCCATGAAGGAATTGGTTGACAGGTATCGACCTGTTAAGGACAGTAAGAAGCGAATCAACAAAAGACAAAGCGGGAGCCCTGCCGCCAGCTGTATATTCCAGTACGCCATCGTGTACTAGAGTAACATTCCAAGAGGATGTTTAAGATGATCCAGGGACAGACAATGAAGAACGAGTCGACCAGGGTACAAATATTCCACGAGCTACAAACGAAGTACCGAGAATCACCTCTGTTGACGAAAGCATGCTCGGAGTTGTCGCAGTTGGTGACGTGACAGACCTCCCCGAGCAACAGGATGAATTCGACACCGACTCGGAGAGCGATGTGGATAATGATACAGACATAACGTTCAGCAGATTTGGTCGCACCACCCGCGCTCATTTCCGCCTTGATCTCTAGAAACAGTTGGTACAATCGCGAATATTCAGGTATGGAATATAATCAAATGTTTTTGGCCAGAATGGAGTGACATGTCTGTCATTTTTGTTGACCATTATACATTGCGAGCAATGTAGCCGATCTTATTGGTAAAAGAATATTCTGTTATTGCATTCATTACTAGTCAAATTTAAACACTCATATATGTTAACTTTCATTTTCCTTGTAACTTTCGTATTTATCTCTTTTTGTTTACAGTGCAGATACACCAACTGGGACCATCTGACAAAGCCAACCAATCATACTGAGGTATTCATACAACGGATGGCAGTCCGTAAATTTGCTTAATTTTACTGTTTATTTTGATGTTCTATCCCATTGGCTGTTTGATTTGAATATCGTAATCTGATTTGTTACTAATATATTCTCTCTAAGTGGTCACGGTCGGTGAATCCTCGCTGTAAAAGCGCTCTAAGAATAGAATTGTTGAGTTATACAAGCCAAATCTGCGGTAGTCTTCAAATATCGGCAGTCTCAGTGGACATCTCCGGCGGTCTTTGGACATCTTCAGCAGTGTTCGGACATCTTCGGCAGCCTTCAGACATCTTCGACAGCTTTCGGAAATCTTCGGCAGCTTTCGGATATCTTCCTCACTCTTCGGAAGTCTTGAAATAATCCCGAATTGTTGGAAAATGGCCAAAAAAACTTCTTTGAGACCATAAACATAGGCCCAACATAGATATTTCCCCTTTTAGGGTGTGGTTTGTTTTTTTACGGCAAAAAAAAAAATGTTACAACGAATTTTTTAATGTTAGTGTTAAAATGGCTGAAAATTAACTGTTTAATGTTATACAGTCAGAAAAATAAGTGTTTAGTGTTATCGAAGTACCCCCATTCAGACCCTCTTTATACGTATGCAAATAGCTTTGTTGAAAGTTAGTTCGCGCTAATGAAGTTCATGGAAGTGTTAATGAATGTATATTTGCCGCATAGTTTCAACTGCTGTCGTAAATGAATATACATTTTGCGTAAATGAACAGCAAAAGGCGTACGTCCGTATGGTATTGTGATCTATTTCTGAACAGCCTCACGGCAACATCTAATTTATTTGCTTCACTTTTTGTTTTACTAACAAACCTTTTTGAGATCTTCATATTTTAGAAACAAGACGTTGGGATCATCTTTGTGCTTCCACCAGCCCAGAACATGGTCATTCCATTTGTTCCAACCAACTGTTAATGATATGCAATACAACACTATAAGAGCGAGCCTGATTTGTTGAGGCGAAAGAAAGTGTGGTGTTTTAATCTTCCAGTTTACGTTAAGTTCTAACAAAGTGCACCAACAAGCTCCAAAAGCATTGTCTTAAATAACAATCTTGGAGACCAGTTGAGGATGGAGAGCGTTTAATCTTCGTTCCACTCAACTATACCTCCTTTGTACATGGGAAAAAATCAGGTCAAGAATATTCGTTTCTAATTTCTCCATGATAGCCCCCATGTAGTTAATTGGGGCCTGGTCATTATTTATCGATTTATCGTAGGGATATTGGGAGGGGGGCGGGGGTTTGCAGGATTTTGGTTGTCATTAAAATTGATCTGCCCATACGGCGAGGTTATATCCTTATCATCCCCCACCCCTCTCATTGGCAATTAGTTAGCAGTCAAACTTCTCTAGGCCCCACCTTTATACTATTTGGCGACGACTGATCCCCCTTCTGTTCCCTCTGAAAACCATGTGATCCCCCCAAATCTTCGCCCCCAACCTCCCCCCACCACCAAGGCGATAAAAAGTGACCGACCTGATAAATCTTATCATTTCCGTCGATGAACAACTTGGAAAAATTTCCCATGGCCCATTGTAACCATTTCCAAATGACGCCAGGCTCACCGTGAAATGGAAATATGAAACTGCAACATCCTTTGGATTACGGGCAATGTAAATATATTTACATTTGGCGCCGTCGCTTGAACCTTTAGGAATGATGCTGTAAGAAAGGTGGGACTTCATAAGACGAGGACTGGGAACCTTGGCGATGTCTGCAAACTCTCCCAATATGGGACTTGTTGAAAATTCTAGGAATGGAACTCGTTCAAAAATATTTTTACTTGTGTTCTCCCCGTTGTTATAGATTTGCCAGATAGTCTCTTGCATCCAAATTGTCCCTGAAGAAAAAAACGGCAATTTTGAAAATTTGCGTTCGTTGTTGATCTTATTTATTGATTTACTGATTAATTAACTAATTAATTAATTAGGCAAGTCTTGTCAAAAAAATTAAGTGACCCAAACTGCACGAATTTATATCAGTTCGACCAATCCGCTAAGGTAGGATTTTTATTTACTGCTGGAACCCTCTGCAATTTCCTTAACAGTTCGGTGATACTCATTTTATTTTGTTCTGAAGCAACCGAAGAGGGGTCGGAATCTTGAATCCTCGAATCTGATTGGCTAATCACACGCTCGTAATCAGTCTAGATCTTTAAAAATCGGACAACGATCCAATTTTTTTCCGCGTCATTCGCAAAAATTGTAAAAAGGCAGACCCATGTGGTGTTGCAGTTGTGCCTTCCGTTGTCGTTATTTCATCACACCTAAAAATCAATACAATGCAGTTTTATTTCTTCCAATAAATGTGCGTTGTGATCGTGTCTTCTGCGTATCATTTCCCAGCTAGGGGAGAGAAGCAATGCAAAAGTGTAAGAAGATTGTAAAGATTTCCTCGCTCGAAGTTTGAGAATTTCAAAAGGGGTAAATTCTGTGAAATTCATCATTTTAGTGGAACGTATCCTACTGACTTGCCGTAGCCAACTTTACTCCGATTTTCCATTTGATTATTGTGTGAATTTGTTATAAATGGGGTAAATTATGACAGATCCACCCACAAGTGCAATATATCCTACAAAGAGTTAGAAACAGTACTGAAAAAAGAACACAAAACATCAACAAATACATTGTATATATTAACAATCCATAGTTTAGGAATCCATGTGTTATATTTTTAACAGCGACATCCTATCTTCAACATTAACGTCCGTTCGTCTGCGATTACAAGAGAACTGATTTTATTTAGACGCAAGAGACTTTGAGAAGGTCCCAAGATAAAATAGACCGACGAAGCATCGTCACTGATTATTCACCCGTGTCTCAGTCCGTAGTTTTTGTTTAGGTCATAGTTAGTAGAGGAGGCTAACTAGGTTAGGTTAGGTTTAGGTAATTGAAAGATGGGATGGAGAGCGAGCATGCCTCAGGCATGCTCGCGTACATGCCTCAGGCATGTTCGCATACATGCCTCAGGCATGTATATTCGTGAACGGCTACCGTACTGGTTTTCATGTGATGTACGTGCTCATAAGTTTGGTTTTCAAAGATCATTGTCTTTCAAATCAGCTTGAAGCCCTCTGTGGGATAACAACAAACCGCTCTGTGACAGTATAAAATATGCGGCTAGCTGTAACAGCTAAAATCAGCGGAACCGCAATAAAATTACAATCTATTACTTCAACTTTTCTAGCGGAGGGCTCAGTGCGATACAGCAAAAACATACAAAATTCCAGTTAAACATCTGAAGGCCAAACTTCTGTGAATGAAGGAAGACTTCGTGACGCAGACAAACAATGAGAACTTTGACCTCTCGCCTTGGGCAGATCAGGAAGAAGCGTCAAAAATATATAATTTTATGTTGACGAACCATAATATATGATCTTCAACTACACCTTTTGCTGTTCATTACGAGAAAATACGCATTCATTCGCGTGAAAAGGCGAACAATTGCGTGCAAATACATTCACTAACGGTAAAAACGATTATTTGCGCGTAAATCAGATTCAATAACGATTTTGGGCATTCTTATGAGACATTCGTCAAACAAAAGAGAAAAATATACTTTCATTTGCGCTAACATTCAAGTCATTTACACCATCTTGAAATTCAATAGAGACAATACATAATCAATATCGTGCATAAACCATTCATTAACATTTTTATCACACTGTTTGCAATTCAATAGCATTCCTGGACGATGGTTTTTTGACTCTAATGATTGTATTTCCACGCAATTGTTCGCCCTTAACGCAAATGAATGCGTATTTTCTCGTAATAAACAGCAAAAGGTGAATTAAAGGAAATAAAGCAATTGTGATATGACGCCGTATAGGCCTATTGGAGTGAGGCTGAAGGTGACCTTGCTGCTCGGCACATTTTGAAAAAGCTAGCTGTAACTGAAAGAAAAGAGACCGAAAGAAGATTTTCTTCTATAAGTGATGTTTTGTCATTTAAACTAAGCAGTCATAGATCATGGCATCTGAAATAAATTAGTACATCCTGCATTAAGAAATCCGACATGAATCAGTCCCTCGTGTTGTTTTCAAGCTTGATTGTGTTTAGCACGTTAAAGAACACAGAATTTACGTTACATTGGTATGAACATTTCTTTTTAGCACTTTACCGATAGTTTTGTACGTAACCATAAGTATTCTTATTTTAGCACTGCGAGTTGCTCAAGCGTTGACCACAGTGGAGAAGATAGTGATGACTCACCGTCTGATGAAGGCTCTCAGGTATTCATCATTCAATTCTTGCATTATTATGCAGGTAGAGACCAGTATCCAGTTAGCATGATAACAAAGTAATCTGCATTTGAAAAGCAGTAAGGTTTGTATCATGACTAGACGCAAAGGTGCGTTCACCTGGGGTTTCTTTGTAAATAAACTTTGTTTTTTGCCCTTGCATTTGCCTAAGTTTTTTTATGCAATTATTGGTTTATCCCTTCTGCTCTTGTCCCTAACCTTTTCAAACTTAGAATTAGTATTCCGCTTGGTTCACGATCACGTCTACATACACCATGAGATTTGCGTCTATGCTTCTCTTGATTAACATTAGATAGCTTAATTGATATAGCATGTTTCTCGATGAAAGGTTCACTCATAAATGTTCGCTCATAAAGAGATCTCTCATAAGGTTCGCGGACCGACCCGTTCCGAAAACGCTAGACATCTCTTAGTGTGGGTGTACCGCGAACGATGTGTGCATATTTTGTATGCGTTTTTAGCGTATTATACACAGTATCTGTGCTCATTTTGCACCGCGAAAGCCTCTCTTCCTCTGCCACTACACCATGCCACGTGCTCAATAGTCAAAACGTCGCGAATACGTCAAAGTCAAAAGTTTACGCATGCGTGATGAGGACTTGACTGCGATTTGCGACCGAACGCAAAAAAAACGAAGCCGGAATTTCAACTCGGGCCTTTCTTTTGGAAACCCCTAGTAACAATGTCAACCTTTAGCCTCAGTTCTGTTCAAAGGCTTGGCAACCAAGCACACAACTGTAAACTTGACTAATATATATACTATTATACTTTTGTCCTAGCTTGTGGATAAAATGTTGTCATTGGAGTCGCAAGTCAAGCAACGAAGACTCTAAAGAAAACAAGACTGCAAATAAAGCGTGAATAACGCATCCTTTGGTCGAAAATCGCTTTTTAATTCAGGCGGCAAGTTTTTCTTTCACTTTTAGGTTATAACAACGATGCGATCACACGGCGTCAACGGAGAAACGATAAAACTTCAAGGGAAGTATCTGGTTCGCAATGACCAAGCGTTTTGGCACAGTTTGAAAGTTAAACCTTTTTTTATATTTTCACAAACCTGACTTGGGGTAGGTAACCACGAACACATCTTCAGCTCTCGTTTGGAAATTGGAGATGACGTCGGACAGTAACTTAGGGTTGGGAGCAACAAATACTGGAATTTTCATGCCTAAAACATCAAAATACTTCTCCGATGTCCACTCGTTTACTTTCACTTGGAAAACAGGCAAACTTTCCATTCCCGTTGTGTAAGCAATGCGATTATATGATTCAACAGCAATTGGCCTCTGATATGGCTACGAAGGTTACGTGACTGTGTTGAAAGAAGGGTAAATTTTCCTAAGTCACTCTATGGCCGCCAACCGTTAAAAGCTGGGGCGAGTTGCACGAAAACGAGGTTATAAGGGCCAACTGTGTTTGTTCTGTAAACAAAATGCCGTAAAACTGCTGTGTTCCGAATTGCACGAAAAAGGTCTATCGAGAGGAAGACTGGAAGATATCTTTCCACTAATTTCCAAAAAATAAAGACCTATTGGCTGCATGGATTCGAGCTGTTCGAAGAGATGTTGGTCGCCACTTCAGGATATCTTGGCACACGAGGGTTTGCTCGAGACACTTCAAGGATTCAGATTTTCAGAGCACACTTGCTGGCAGAAGAACACTTCATCCTACCGCTGTTTCTTCCATTTTTTCGTGGAAGAAAAATTCTCCTAAGAAGCGAGAACCACCAAAACCCCGGCATGTAGTCTCTAAAGCGGGGCCTCAGGTTGCCAACGAAGAGCTCGAGGTAAATGGTACAAGCTTAAATGTTGACAAGGTTGCCGACGAAAAGCTCGAAGTAAATACATATAACACTAGCTTGAATGTTGACAAGGCGTACGAAATCCTAGCGGTCGATTGTACTTTTCAAGAGTCTAGAACTTCGCAAGAAGAAAGCATGTGAATTAACTGAAAAGACAAGTAGTGGAGTTGATAAATAAACTTGAAAAACAAAAGGAGAAAACAAATGCCCTGGTGATAAAACTGAACTAGACCCTGTGAGCAGGGTAACTGGGATACCTGGATGGTACTGGTTCCTTGGAATCAAGTGTAGTGATACTACGGGTGTCGGACTAGTATACTGAAATAGTGCGCTCAAGTCTGGCCAAGGGCATAGACGTATTTCAAAACATAGGCATGGTATGCATGCAAGAGTTACTTTTTTGTAGGGTGGGTGGATTACTTGAAACATTGTGAGTGATGTCTACATTCTTACAAAAGGAGAGAATATTAATGTGGGAAAGAACGAAAATGTCAAATTACCTCACTCACAGGTATTTTGTGGTAGATTACGTGTGTTTTGCGAATAAATGTAACCAAAAATAAACTGTATTGGTGTCACAGATACCTGTTAGTACAAAATGCAGACAGCAGACTGCAGACCGGATACAAAATATAGACTGCAGACTGCAGAGTGGGTACAAAATGCAGACTAAGAATCTGAAGAGTTTTTACGTCAGGTATATAATAACATGTCATCTTACAGCTTACCGAGCGTCACGCAATCGCTTTTCTGCGATCCGCCTTCACGATTATTTGCAGTATTGAGGAATATTCCTGGCCCATTTCTTGATGAAAATCGATCGCAATATTATTTCAAGCCTTCAATATAGTCTTATTACTTTGCGCGCGAGTTGGTTGGTGTGATGTCTGTACAGATTTTATCAACGTAATAAAAGTAGATGATGTGAACAACAGTGATGGTAAAGCAAGCTTAAAACGGTAGAAATCGCCAGAAAATACAACGGATACACAGGGTATGAGTAAGTTTTATTGACTTTACGTGAAAAATGTTCATATTTCGAAATATGTATCGTTGTAAATCGACCATACTTCGTTCCCTGTACTATTCCTTATAACGTGCAGTTCCTCTCGTAACTTAACACCGAGTCACACAACGCGTGACGCGTTCATAAATTAATCGTTGGCTTTTTCTCGAGACGTGAGCTTGGGCCGCTTGTGACAAGACAATTGCATAAACAATATTTAACATAACAACATTATACACAAAAAAACACAGGGTTTTGGATCACGTATTTATTAAAAAAGAATATCCATACAACTACAATGAAAACAAACGTAAGATTCACCTTTCTGATCGTGAAATTAATACCATTCGTACTGTTATCGTAGCTACGTTCCTTGCCATCAAGTGAATCCAACATGTCGTCTTTCTACACAAGCAGTTTGCATCCCTTATAGCTATGTTCTTCAGTCTCACGGTAGTAGCGTTGTTCAATAGATTGCATAGAGTATATGACAACTAAGACATTGGCATACTTAGCATACAAGGCATTCAAGGCTTTCATGGCTTTCAAGCGTTCGCGACTCGATCCGTTCCAAAATTACCGCTCAATAACATCTTTCAGTGTGGATTAGCCGCGATTAATACGACTTGTATATGCGTCTGTAAGTATTTTGCGCGTTTGCGCTATAATGCTCCAGGAGATCGCAATCCAAATACGTTGAAATACAAAACAACTGACCTAAGAGTTTTATAAGCAAAATCTCGTGTTTGTCATGTGACCCGGCCCTGTCTGTGCATGACAACGTCAATCATCATCAAGATAACACGCGTGATCAGCATGTGAACACCTCATTGGATCAAAGTTAGTTGTCATGAAGTTGAGGGATAACACGCGTGATCAGTATGTGAACACCTCATTGGATCACAGTTAGTTGTCATGGTATTGAGGGCCCAATGACCTCTAGGTACTATTGCGCAATTTTTCCATTTTGTGGCGGAGGAAAAAAAAAAAAAAAAAAGACAAACTAGACCCTGTGAGCAGGGTAACTGGGATACCTGGATGGTACTGGATCCTTGGAATCAAGTGTAGTGATACTACGGGTGTCGGATTAGTATACTGAAATAGTGAGCTCAAGTCTGGCTAAGGGCATACACCTATTTCAAAACATAGGCATGCTATGCATGTAAGAGTTATTTTTTGTAGGGTGGGTGGATTACTGGTGGTCTACATTCTTACAAAAGGAAAGAAGAGTATTAACGTGGAAAAGAACGAAAATGTCGAATTACCTCACACACAGGTATTTTGTGGTAGATTATGTGTGTTGAGCGAATAAATGTAACCAAAAATTAACTGTATTGGTGCCACAGATACCTGTTAGTACAAAATGCAGTCAGCAGACCGGATACAAAATATAGACTGGAGACTACAGAGTGGGTACAAAATGCAGACTGAGAATCTGAAGAGTTTTTACGTCTGGTAAATAATAACATGTCATCTTACAGCTTACCGAGCGTCACGCAATCGCTTTTCCTCGATCAGCCTTCACGATTATTTGCACTATTGTGGAAAATTCCTAGCCCATTTCTTGATGAAAATCGATCGTAATATAATTTCAAGCCTTCAATATACTCTTCTTACTTTGTGCGCGAGTTGGTTTGTGTGATGTCTGTACAGATTTTACCAACGTAACAAAAGTAGATTATGTGAATAACAGTGATGGTAAAGCAAGCTTAAAACGGCAGAAATCACCAGAAACTTCAACGGATACACAGTTTGCGATTCAATCCGGTCCAAAATTACCGCTCAATAACATCTTTTAGAGTGGATTGGCGGCGAACAATACGACTTGTGTATGCGTCTGTAAGTATTTCGAGCGTTTGCGCTATAATGCTTCAGGTGATCGTAATCAGAACACGTTGAAATACAAAACGACCGACAAAAGAGTTTTCTAAGCAAAAATCTCGTGTTCGTCATGTGACCCGGACCTGTCCGTGCATGACAACGTCAATCATTATCAAGATAACACGTGATCAGCATGTGGACACCTTCACCCTCATTGGATCACAGTTAGTTGTCATGGTGTTGAGGGCGCAATAACCACTGGGTACTATTGCGCAATAATTCCATTTTGTGGCGGAGGAAAAAAAAAAAAAAAAAGACAAAAAAACAAAGGCATTTTATGACTGGGCTACCACAGGTATCCCAGTAAAAAAGACAAAAAAACAAAGGCATTTTATGACTGGGCTACCACAGGTATCCCAGTAACTAGACCCTGTGAGCAGGGTAACTGGGATACCTGGATGGTACTGGATCCTTGGAATCAAGTGTAGTGATACTACGGGTGTCGGACTAGTATACTGAACTAGACCCTGGGAGCAGGGTAACTGGGATGCCTGGATGGTACTGGATCCTTGGAATCAAGTGTAGTGATACTACGGGTGTCGGACTAGTATACTGAAATAGTGCGCTCAAGTCTGGCCAAGGGCATACACCTATTTCAAAACATAGGCATGCTATGCATGCAAGAGTTCCTTTTTTGTAGGGTGGGTGGATTACTTGAAACATTGTGAGTGATGTCTACATTCTTACAACAGGAGAGAAGAAAACTAATGTGGGAAAGAACGAAAATGTCGAATTACCTCACTCACAGGTATTTTGTGGGAGATTATGTGTGTTTTGCGAATAAATGTAACCAAAAATAAACTGTATTGGTGCCACGGATACCTGTTAGTACAAAATGCAGACAGCAGACTGCAGACCGGATACAAAATATAGACTGCAGACTGCAGAGTGGGTACAAAATGCAGACTAAGAATCTGAAGAGTTTTTACGTCTGGTATATAATAACATTTCATCTTACAGCTAACCGAGCGTCACGCAATCGCTTTTCTGTAATCCGCCTTCACGATTATTTACACTATTGTGGAATATTCCTGGCCCATTTCTTGATGAAAATCGATCGCAATATTATTTCAAGCCTTCTATATAGTCTTCTTACTTTGCGCGCGAGTTGGTTGGTGTGATGTCTGTACAGATTTTATCAACGTAATAAAAGTAGATGATGTGAACAACAGTGATGGTAAAGCAAGCTTAAAACGGTAGAAATCGCCAGAAAATACAACGGATACACAGGGTATGAGTAAGTTTTACTGATTTTACGAGAAAAATGTTCATATTTCGAAATATGTATCGTTGTAAATCGACCATACTTCGTTCCCTGTACTATTCCTTATAACGTGCAGTTCCTCTCGTAACTTAACACCGAGTCACACAACGCGTGACGCGTTCATGAATTAATCGTTGGCTTTTTTCTCGAGACGTGAGCTTGGGCCGCTTGTGACAAGACAATTGCGTAAACAATATTTAACATAACAACATTATAAAAAAAAAACACAGGGTTTTGGATCACGTATTTATTAAAAAGAATATCCATACAACTACAATGAAAACAAACGTAAGATTCACCTTTCTGATCGTGAAATTAATACCATTCGTACTGTTATCGTAGCTACGTTCCTTGCCATCAAGTGAATCCAACATGTCGTCTTTCTTCACAAGCAGTTTGCATCCCATATAGTTATGTTCTTCAGTCTCACGGCAGTAGCGTTGTTCAATAGATTGCATAGAGTATATGCAGTTTGGTTTCAGATTTCAGATTTTGCTTTTTACAACAAGTGAACGTTTTTCAACTAAGACATTGGCATACTTAGCATACAAGGCATTCAAGGCTTTCGTGGCTTTCAAGCGTTCGCGACCCAATCCGTTCCAAAATTACCGCTCAATAACATCTTTCAGTGAGGATTAGCCGCGATTAATACGACTTGTATATGCGTCTGTAAGTATTTTGCGCGTTTGCGCTATAACGCTCCAGGAGATCGCAATCCAAATACGTTGAAATGCAAAACAACTGACCAAAGAGTTTCATGAGCAAAATCTCGTGTTCGCCATGTGACTCGGCCCTGTCTGTGCATGACAACGTCAGTCATCATCAAGATAACACGCGTGATCAGCATGTGAACACCTCATTGGATCACAGTTAGTTGTCATGGTGTCGAGGGATAACACGCGTGATCAGTATGTGAACACCTCATTGGATCACTGTTAGTTGTCATGGTGTTGAGGGCCCAATGACCTCTGGGTACTATTGCACAATTTTTCCATTTTGTGGGGGAGGAAAAAAAAAAAAAAAAAAAAGAAAGACGACAAAAAAACAGAGGCATTTTATGACTGGGCTACCACAGGTATCCCAGTAAAAAGACGACAAAAAAACAAAGGCATTTTATGACTGGGCTACCACAGGTATCCCAGTAAAAAAACAAAGGCATTTTATGACTGGGCTACCACAGGTATCCCAGTAATGAAGTAAAACAACAACTTGTCAACTTGACATCCCGGTACAATCACTTGGAGAAGAAATCTTTTTCCATAGATCGGTTTAGTAAGTCTATGTGGTTTTACACTGGATTCGCTAATGAAGAAATATTTGATGCGTTATACAATTTATGTGACTCTGGTGAGAATGGCGAAAATATTCGTTATTGGCACTCATCATCCACAGGCCAGGATACAACTGTTCTTAGAGAAAATGATGAATACATAGAAACATTTCCAAAGCCTGGAAGACCAAGGTTACTGCATCCTAAGGAGGAACTTTTTATTACTTTGTTTAGATTAAGACAAGGTTTCGCAGAGGAACATCTTGCTCATCTCTATGGAATATCTCTAACTACAATAAGCAGGATAATAATAACCAGGGTCAACCTTTTACATTTAAGGCTTAAGGATGTACCCATGTGGCCCTCTAGAGAAAAGGTAAACAAACACATGCCAGAGCAGTTTAAAGAAAAATATTCCTCAACTAGAATAACAATAGACTGCACCAAAGTTAAATGCCAAATGCCTTGCAGCCTTTGTTTAAATAGTGAACTTTTTAGTACCTATAAAAATAACACCACTCTGAAAGCCCTTGTTGGAATAACCCCAGGTGGGGCACTGTCATTTGTGAGCCAGGTTTACACTGGACACATCTGAGACAGGGAAATTGTTCTACACAGTGGTATTTTAGATCAAAAGTTTGAGAGTAGTAGCAGTAGTTCTGTGACACTTCTACAGTTATAAAGATTGTACTAGCATATCTTCAGCATTAAAGCTAAAACGTGATTGCAAAAACCGGATTTCCCGGCAGCACACGAGGGGCCACAATCAAGAAATCAAGCATAAAGCAATAATTAAATTGTGAGGGCTTTCGTACTTTTTAAAGCTACGAAAGCATTTGCAACGATAATAAAAGTACTGCTGGTCAAAGTTTGTGTGAGTATCGTGTAAATATTCGTCTTCAAGGTAGGTTTTAGCCTTTTTAAAGCCTATGGGAACAGAATGATGTGCATGTTTATCCCCACCGATATGTTCCCAGACTTTCCAATATGTCTGTCCATCTCTGCCCTTGTAAAGAGAACATTCTATCACCAATTGTCTTTTTAGTATTTAAACATTTTTTATCTTTCACTCTTTGACTTGATAATGACGTTAGCCAAATGTCGAGACGTCGTCAACATATTTTTTAATATGCTTTTACGAAAATGTTTTATCGCAATTTTTTATCGTTAAAGCGTAAGAAAAGCTTAAAAAAGTCAGGCCGCGACGGAGCAAATTTTTATTTAGAGGGTTCTTCTAATGAAATAAATTATGTTAAAATTTTTCAAAACCACGGCGGCGACGACCACGGGAATGTAGCGAAACCAAAGATCTAATGAGCAGAGCAATAACACAACATGTGCGTTTTAAAATTTTCTACATTTCTTAGCCGTCCCACTGAGAACAAAAACGTGAAATCACTATGGTTTACGTCCGCTAGGCAAGAAAACCGCGACAGCCTTGAATATAGTCTCGTTTTCACCTTGAACTAAACACGACATTCACATATTATGCAGAAGGGAAGATGTCGTATCATCAGAAACGGTTAATGCATCGAGCTACTGGCGAAATTCTGAACCATAACCAGTGGAAACTAATAGTAGCCAATGCAATCTGATTGGTGAAAGCGACATGTCCTGCATCAACTGATTGGTGAAAGTACCTCCACTTCTCAAGCCTCAGATGATGTTTTTGTGAGAAACTCGAAAACAATCATCTCTATAAATACAGTCATTAGAGCATTGCAGTAAATGGTATGTCACAATTCAAAGTCAAACTCTAATCCAGATCCTTTCAATTTCGCTAATACTTCCTTTTCAAATCTCTGGTTTAACTCTGGGGTGAAGTGTTCCTTCCAGTTACCAACCACACCCTTGCAAAGAAACTTTGGTCCCTCTATCTTGTCTCCCAACGTGAAGCTTTGAACGTTCTTCATCATTCCTTTGAAGGTGCACTGTTCAGTTATTAGACTAATAACTTCTTCTGACAGTGGCTTATTGAGAAATTTGGAAATCATGCGAACGTTGGACTGAAGATCCTAAAAAAATAAATCATAGTAATAATAATGATTAATAATAATGATATAAAGACTCATTTATTTGGCTCAACCATACTTTGCAGGGGACTTTGTATTGAGTAGATTACAATTTTTGAAAGAGAATTTTGCAGGTTCCCTCAATTTTGGAACTTTTTGGAAACAAAACCAGACCACAACACTGGGAGCTACGTTCTCTAGACTTTGTGAGAAGTGCGTAAACTCATGGACGTCTCCTGCAAACCAGTACAGAGGAGACACAGGAGACGGGGCCTACGGTGTTTCGTCTTTACCCGAGAAGCTTAAGACGTCTAACCCGATCTGGAGATGTCATAGCTAGCAAAGACAGCACGTCCTATTCAGTTATTTTTAGACCCTGACTGTTGATTCGGTCTGGGGCAATAATAATTTCCTCTTTTACTCGCACAGACTCTAAATGACATGAACTTAACTATGAGCACGATTAGCCCCTGAGCCCACATAGTTCTTGCCAATCAGACACATTTGAACAAAGTCTTAACTCTACAAAGAGAGAGCACTACGCTTCATATACACTGACAGAGCCCTGCGCTTCATATACACTGACAGAGTCCTACGCTTCATATACACTGACAGAGCCCTACGCTTCATATACACTGACAGAGCCCTGCGCTTCATATACACTGACAGAGCCCTACGCTTCATATACTCTGACAGAGCCCTGCGCTTCATATACACTGACAGAGCCCTACGCTTCATATACACTGACAGAGCCCTGCGCTTCATATACACTGACAGAGCCCTACGCTTCATATACACTGACAGAGCCCTACGCTTCATATACACTGACAGAAACTATCATGCTGTTTCTCTCTTTATCGACGCTGATGTTTTACCTATAAACTTTCTATACTATGAAGTCATTATTATCTTATTTCATGCTTGACGTGGCTAATATTTGAGACTACGAGAACTTCCTCCTTTTCCGGGTAAATTCCGTGGCGCGAGTCAAAGAAAAAAAAAATAGAAACGGCGAAGAAAAAAAATTAATGTTAGCGCACCGTGCGGAACTCTGGGACTGAGGCGCACATAAAAGTAGTATACGCCTTTTACGTGCGCCTCTGTCCCAGATTTCCGTGCGGCGCGATAACATCACATTTTTTTTCAGTGATTTTTTTGTTTTTGACTCGCTTTTTTGACCACTAATAATTGTGTTCCATCTAACATCTTAGAACCTATATTGAGCGGTACTGTACTAAGCGTTCACTCCGTATTTCGCGGTAGGTTTTCAAAGTCCCTAAAATGTTTCCTTTACCTACTGTCATTGTACTGTAAGTAAAATTTAATCCTGTTTATCCCCTGAAATCGATGTTAGTAGTACGTTTTAGCGAGTTTTTGTACATTAAGTGATCAATCATGGCATAGAATGATGTTTTCATCGTTTTCTATTATACCCCTATATTGGGGAAGTTGTATCAAGCGGTCATGTATTATGCATTTCTCCACCATCCCCCGGATGATGGCTTAAAACTGGTTGGAATGTTTTAGTAAATACAAAAATAGTGGATAGCGTTGAGAGTGCACTCCGATTATCCTTTGTTATTAATTAAAATTTTAACTCTAAATGTTGTATTTTCTAGTGTCCTGATTGGTTCACCTTACTCCGGTTATCAGAACATATTCAGAATCACATTACATGGAAATGCATTACGCCAATTTTGCGGAGCTAAAAAAAAAATCAATTTATGAAACCGTTCAGGATCATCACCTGATATTTTCCTTTTCGACATATTTCTTGGTAGTAAAATTTGTTTAATATTTTAGTAGTTCACACAACTACTTAAGATTAAACATGACCCGCGTTAGACTAAATGTAGCTATTTACGGGTCAGCCAATGTAATATTGATTATCTGAAAGTGTAAATAAAAAAGTGTGTCAATGAGAACAGATGTAAGGTTAAGGACTCTGTGGTAAGCATACAGAAGTAAGAGGGAAATTTTCATACCTTCTGCAGGTCTTCATATTTAAGGAACAGAACGTTAGGATCATGTCTGTGCTTCCACCATCCAAGAACATGATCACTCCATTTGTTGTAAACTGCTGATTAAAGGGAATTTATTTGCCTGATAAGCACTCAAGCTGAACGGCAAAACAGATGTTTTACACGTACTGACAATACTGAACATAGTTCCAGCGAGGAGCAAAGGATTTCGTTAACTACCTGATTCACGGAATAACTAGTATTAATTAAGGACAAAGAAAAGGAAAATAAAAAAGTTTATCAAACTGATAGCCTGCAGTGCTGGCTTATTGTTTGGGCGAGTTACCGTTAAGAATTTCGTGATTTTATATTTAACCGGCAATGTTTGATTCTGGAAGTAAAGGCGGCGATAGGGGGGAGGAGGCAGTGAAAGGTCTTCCATGACCAAGGTTCTCCTCTGTGGTCGAAATAAACGCAATTTGAAAACATTTCATGTACTTACTTTTACCCTCGATATATAGTTTCGCATAAAATTCCCATGGTGCATTCATTCCGTTTGTGCCAAAGCTACCCATAAATTTGTAGCTTGAGACTGCAGCATCCTTGGGGTTGCGAGCGACGTAGATATATTTACAGGTTGTCTTGGCCTCGTCTGTACTCTTAGGAATCGCATCATAAGACAGGTGGCTCTTAAACAGACGAGGGCTCGGCATACTTTTAATATCAAGATGAGTTGATTCTGGTAATAAAGCTTTTTCTATGTACAAGATGCGATCTCCAAGAACATTATGACTGATTTCACCATCGTGGTAAATCTGCCAGACAATTTCTTGAACCCAAGTGGTCCCTTAAATTAAAAAATACATCGAGACAATTGTGTCGCCAGCAACGTCGGGTTTAAGATTATTCACAAAAGCTCTGGGCAATATTCGTTTAGAATCCCATACTTCATTGCGTACGCAATGCTTGGATAAATGAAAACAAAGGCGAAAGCGATAAGATACTTTTGAGAATGCAGCTCAGCAAGAATAGTATGGGATTATTCGAAAATCTTTCCAAGCTCCGAGTCATACACTATTAAAAATTAGCTCACCTGACTTAGGGTAACTGACAATAAATACATCATCAGGTTTCGTCTGAAAATTAGTGATGAAGTCGCACAGCAACTCAGGACCTTGAGAGCCATACACAAAAAACGCTGGAATTCTAAAGCCTAGGATTTCAATCATTTCATTGGAGGTCCATTCCCCCTCACGTTCCTGAATGATCGGGTAAGACGCCATACTATTCAGGAATTACGCCGAAACTGAGCTTCGAGAAATTTCGAAACGCGAAGGTGTCATTTGTTCGACACTTCAGAAAAATTTCCGTCATAACACCGCACTTCATTATGCATGCAGTTCTTTAATGAAAAACGATGGCTCCCCACATGGAGTAAGGTATTGTTTTAGAAAAGGCAGAATTCTTCCTTTAACTAAGTGCAGGTGGGGTCGCTAGTTTTATTAATGAGCCACGCGAACATTCAAAATCCATCGAAGCAAATTTTATACGTTGTAGAATTTAAGGAAGACGCTTGATTAGTGTGCTGATTCGCAATAACATTTATGCTATTTTATTTATTTATTCATTTGCCACCAAACATCACCTGTAATTTAAAGGGAGGCTATCAAAATTACTGAAGGATTGAAATATTTCACTTATTTACATATCTGACAACAACTCAAGTCTGAACGGGGATAGGAAGAAGGTAGGTGCTTATAGAATTTGGGTCTCTCAGACGAGAAATCATCTTATTAAGATAAGCACTAGTCTGTATTGCACTTGTGATGAACTCATATGAAACTAATTACAAAAATAAATTAATCACAACGAATTATGTCGCGCGCTTTTGAAAGAGCGTCCACGAGGGAAACATGTGGAGCCTGAAATTTAACCGCAATTACCCCACAGCACATGCGAATAATAAACAAACTGGGCTGCTAATAGCTAAATTGTTCTGAGATATTTTTAAATTTTAATAAGAATTGAGTAATGTAACGTGGGTCTATTAAATGACTATGGATTATCCAGAGACGCATCTTAGAAATTTCTTTTTCTTAATTATTCAGTATTCTACTTAATGGTCAGAGAATTTTCGTGACAGACGCGCGATTCATGTGGGCGCGAGTGATTTTATGTTGTTTGTTCTCGTCAGAATTGCATACTTACATCACTATCAGTAACTGCTCTCATTATCATTTTACCTATTTTCTCGTAAGAGAGAAATCGCTGCGTGATAAAACCAAACAACGGCAGCGAAAGAGACTTAACTGATAGCGTGATAGTCCCGAAGGTGAACGGTTGTTGACGCCATAGGTTTTTTTTAGCAATGAAGATGTCATCCGGTCTTGTCCGGAGGTTCGTGATGAAATCACTTAGTAGCTGAGGATCAGATGTGAAATACGCTTGAATTTTCAAGCCCAAAACTTTACGGAAATTTCCTGTTGTGTAGTCACCTTCTCTTACTTCAGTGACTTCAGAACTCGTCATGATCAGCAGAGCGCAAGGCAATAATAACGGGTCACGTACCATGAATCAGTGCCGCACATCGTTCTGTCTAACAGCCAATACAAGACGACCGCTGACGTGTATTGTGACACAGAGAGCGAGGGTACAAAACTAATTTTGGTGTGTTCCATGTTCGTTTGTTTGTTTGTTTTCTTTTTTTAGGATTATTATCACAAATGAACGAAATAATAACCCATATTTTTCCCTGTGGATGACAATGAAAACGAAATGATCGTCATCATGGAGCTTCAAGAAATTGCAGCAAAAAATTTGCCTCGTGCCCAACATAAGGCTTGCTAACTTGGTAGTAGCGCCAACTTGTAACAGGTGGGCACGAGTTGCATCACCGTCGAAGTGTGTTCGAAGGCTGATATTTTAAGGCTTCTTTCCTTGCAATCTCTTATCAGCTAGAATAACTTTGTCATTTAAAATCATACGCAGGTCGCTGAAAATCTGATTTATTTCGGCAATTGGTAACTTCTATTCAAAATCATTGTACGAGTGTTGGAAACAAGGCAACAATAGCTGGCTTCAAGTTCAAAATATCCGCAACGAATTCAACAATCAATAAGACAGACGCAATGCAAGAAAATCAGTGACACATTTACCTGCGGTCAGCTGTGCAGCACTCTTTTATTCAGTTACACGGTTTGATATCATCTTTGATCAATAACACATCACACAGGGCACTATGGAACCTACGTGTTAAATGAAAGAAACGTCCTAAGAAAAAAAAAACACTTATTGTCCGGTAGAGATCCAAGCTGCCTCTCGTCCATTGTATTTTTTTGGTCATTCAGCCTTTCCTTCTCCTTTTTGCAGTTACATCTAATGTCAGGATGTAATCCTTATTGATTGAAATCCCGGGCTTAAAGTGAGTTTTCGTGCGATACTAGGATTTAAAAGACTGATACCAAGTCACGTGACCTTACGGAGTAAACATATTTTTATTTCCTTCTTTGTCTCAGTCGTTAAATTTACGTAGCGTCTTACAACCGAACATCCACTACGTAGAGATTACCTATGAAAATCCAATTATAACTCAAAATCAAACTCCAATCCAGTTCCTTCTATTTTTGACAACACCTCCTTCTCAAATCTCTCATTCAACTCTGGAGTAAAATAATTCTTCCAGTCTCCGACCACGCCCTTCCGAAGAATCGAGGTTTGGCCTTCATTGAAGCGCACCGTGTACCTCGATAAATCTTTTGTCATCCCATTGAAACTGCACTGTTCAGCAATACGATTAATGATATCCTCCGAGAGCGGCTTGTTAAGGAAGTTGGCAGTCAATCGAACTTGTGAAGGTAGATCCTGAATAAAATATACATTATGATTTAAAATCTGTTCTCAGGGCTGTTTATTACACCTTTTGCTGTTCATTTACGCAAAATGTACATTCATTTACGTCAACAGTTGAAACTATACGGCAAGTATACATTCATTAGCACTTCCATGAACTTCATTAACGCGAACGAACTTTCAACAACGCTATTTGCAAATGTATTAACATTCAATGGCATCAACGGATGAACAATTGCACCTTTGGACAATCAAACATAACAAATATACTTTCAATCTCGCGCAGTGGTTGATCATTAACACTAATAGAAAATCAGTTGCATAGTATGACAGTCAATTGCGTATTAGAGACATACAATAATACGATTTTCATAGAGACGCACACTCAATTGCACCTTCATACAATCGTTTATTCAAAATGGTCAATCATTAACGTGAACAGAAAAACGTGTGTAGTAATAACAATCAACTAAGGAAAAAGAAATTTCAAAAGTGTTCTATTACAGTGCATTGTAATGTAATGTTTTGTAATTATCCTTCAATTTCTTCATTAATTAAACATCTTGGAATGTACGTTTGCATAAATCTGTACCACTGTCCATATTTAACAGCCGTGATAGTGCCTATGTTTCTCTGCAGGGCCTGAAGTGTAGCAATTGAGTCGGAAGTTGCCTAGCGCGATTCCTTGTCGTCTTGCCTCAGCTCTGTTGTTCATCTGTTCTTGCTGCTCTGGACGACTTATGTCCACTTTTATGGCTGCTTTTAAGGCACTTATTGCTTGCTCTATAATGTTAAGAAACGGGCCGTATGGTGGTAGCTTTTTCAGCTCAGAATTAGGACCAGGAATGGCAGGATTGTTGTGGGCTGATGCACCGTCATAAATGAAAATCACATGTTCATTTGGGTCGAGATTTAGACTTGCCTGTGACAGAAAATCATTAAATCTTTGTCCATTCATTCCACCGAGAAATGCCGAGTGAAAAATGAGTCCATTGGTGGGTGAAATTGCCAGTGCTACAGTAACATTTCTCCCTCGCTGACCACATACTTGTCGATATGCCCTCTCTCCCATCCTTGCTCGTCCGTGACTTCTTGCCGTCCAAATATTGTACCCACACTCGTCTACAAATATACTTTGATTCACTACAGCATGGCGCATGAACCAGTGGGCATAGTCGACTCTTTTTTGCAGGACATCAGGGCGGTTTCGTTCAACTCGGAGTGCCCTTGCCAATTTTACACGATACAACATACCTTCAAGTGTCCTTGCTACTGCACGGTCATGGATTGTTGGTTTTCTTGGAAGACGCTTTCTCAATTCTTGATTTATCTGTGCTAGTGTTAGCAGGCAATTTTGGTTCAAAATGTCATTCAGGCAATTCCTCATTTCATCATCTACTCGAACATGATTTGCTCCCCCTCGTGGTCTCTCCGCGATCCTTCCCTCTCGCAACTATCGGACAACGCTACTTGCCGTTGATCGGTTCACTCAGATACTAGCGGCAACCGTCAAATAATCTTCATTAACATCTTCAGAGGCTTGTACAATTCTTAGTCGCTGTTCAAGTAGGATTCTGTTTCTTGGTGGCATGATTTTCTTCGGTTATTTGCGTCTCCAACGCTTCTACTTAAGCTTGTTCATACAGCGTACACTGTTTCTTACAGCGTACTGTACATGTAAAATGTTCTTCATTTTTTATCTGCTTCAGCAAAATATTGTGCAAAAAAAAAATAAGGTGAATGATAATGTACATACTCTTGTATTTTTGTTCAGTATTTTAAAATAATGTAACTACGATGAATGATACTTATGAATATTTTTTCTTCCTATTGTTTATTCGAAAAACACCAAGTTTATCAGTTAACGTTAATGATTGACAATTTTGAATAAACGATTGTATAAAGGTACAATTGATTGTGCGTCTCTAGGCATATTGTATTATTGTATGTCTCTTAGATGCAATTGATTGTCATACTGGCAATTGATTTTCTAGCAGTGTTAATGATCAACCACTGCGCGAGATTGAAAGTATATTTGTTATGTTTGATTGTCCAAAGGTGTAATTGTTCATCCGTTGATGCCATTGAATGTTAATACATATGCAAATAGCGTTGTTGAAAGTTCGTTCGCGCTAATGAAGTTCATGGAAGTGCTAATGAATGTAGTTTGCCGCATAGTTTCAACTGCTGTCGTTAATGAATATACATTTTGCGTAAATGAACAGCAAAAGGTGTACGTCCGTATGGTATTTACGCACCCGTCGGCATTTTGAAGTCTTCTATGATCTATTTCTGAACAGCCTCACGGCAACATCTAATTTACTTGCTTCACTTTTTGTTTTACTAACAAACCTTTTTGAGATCTTCATATTTTAGAAACAAGACGTTGGGATCATCTTTGTGCTTCCACCAGCCCTGAACATGGTCATTCCATTTGTTCCAACCAACTGTTAATGATATGCAATACAACACTATAAGAACGAGCCTGATTTGTTGAGGCGAAAGAAAGTGTGATGTTTTAATCTATCAGTTTACGTTAAGTTCTAACAAAGTGCACCAACAAGCTCCAGAAGTATTGTCTTAAATAACAATCTTGGAGACCAGTTGAGGATGGAGAGTGTTTAATCTTCGTTCCACTCAACTATACCTCCCTTGTACATGGGAAAAAATCAGGTCAAGAAAATTCGTTTCTAACTTCTCCATGATAGCCACCATGTAGTTAATTGGGGCCTGGTCATTATTTATCGATTTATCGTAGGGATATTGGGAGGGGGGGGCGGGGGTTTGCAGGATTTTGGTTGTGTCATTAAAATTGATCTGCCCATACGGCGAGGTTATATCCTTATCATCCCCCACCCCTCTCATTGGCAATTAGTTAGCAGTCAAACTTCTCTAGGCCCCACTTTTATACTATTTTGGCGACGACTTATCCCCCCTCTGTTCCCTCTGAAAACCATGTGATCCCCCCAAATCTTCGCCCCCAACCTCCCCCCACCACCAAGGCGATAAAAAGTGACGGACCTGATAAATCTTACCATTTCCGTCGATGAACAACTTGGAAAAAAATTCCCATGGCCCATTGTAGCCATTTCCAAATGACCTCAGGCTCACCGTGAAATGGAAATATGAAACTGCAACATCCTTTGGATTACGGGCAATGTAAATATATTTACATTTGGCGCCGTCGCTTGAACCTTTAGGAATGATGCTGTAAGAAAGGTGGGACTTCATAAGGCGAGGGCTGGGAACCTTGGCGATGTCCGCAAACTCTCCCAATATGGGACTTGTTGAAAATTCTAGGAAGGGAACTCGTTCAAAAATATTTTTACTTGTGTTCTCCCCGTTGTTATAGATTTGCCAGATAATCTCTTGCATCCAAGTTGTCCCTGAAGAAAAAACCGGCAATTTTGAAAATTTGCGTTCGTTGTTGATCTGATTTATTGATTTACTGATTAATTAACTAATTAATTAATTAGGCAAGTCTTCTCAAAAAATTAAGTGACCCAAACTGCACGAATTTATATCAGTTCGACCAATTCGCTAAGGTAGGATTCTTATTTACTGCTGGAACCCTCTGCAATTTCCTTAACAGTTCGGTGATACTCATTTTATTTTGTTCTGAAGCAACCGAAGAGGGGTCGGAATCTTGAATCCTCGAATCTGATTGGCTAATCACACGCTCGTAATCAGTCTAGCTCTTTAAAAATCGGACAACGATCCAGTTTTTTCCGCGCCATTTGCAAAAATTGTAATAAGGTAGACCCGTGTGGTGTTGTAGTTGTGCCTTCCGTTGTAGTTATGTCATCACACCTAAAAATCAACAGAATGTAGTTTTATTTTTTCCAATCAAAGAGCGTTGTGATCGTGTCTTCTGCATATCACTTCCCAGCTAGGGGAAAGAAGTAATGCAAAAGTGTAAGAAGATTGTAAAGATTTCCTCGCTCGAAGTTTGAGAATTTTAAAAGGGGTAAATTCTGTGAAATTCATCATTTTAGTGGAAGGTATTTTACTGACTTGCCGTAGCCAACTTTACTCCGATTTTCCATTTGATCATTGTGTGAATTTGTTATAAATGGGGTAAATTATGACAGATCCACCCACAAGTGCATTATATCCTACAAAGAGTTAGAAACAGTACTGAAAAAAGAACACAAAACATCAACAACAACAAATACATTGTATATATTAACAATCCATAGTTTAGGAACCCATGTGTTATATCTTTACATCCTATCTTCAAAAATAACGTTCATTCGTCTGCGATTGCAAGAGAACTGATTTTATTTAGACGCAAGAGACTTTGAGAAGGTCCCAGTATAAAATAGACCGACGAAGCGTCGTCACTGATTATTCACCCCTGTGTCTCGGTCCGTAGTTTTTGTTTAGGTAATTGAAAGATGGGATGGAGAGCGAGCATGCCTCAGGCATGCTCGCATACATGCCTCAGGCATGTATATTCGTGAACGGCTACCGTACTGGTTTTCATGTGATGTACGTGCTCATAAGTTTCACGAGAGGAATTTGGTTTTCAAAGATCATTTTCTTTCAAATCAGCTTGAAGCCCTCTGTAGGATAACAACAAACCGCTCTGTGACAGTATAAAATATGCGGTTGGCTGTAATAGCTAAAATCAGCGGAACCGTAAAAAAATTACAATCTACTACTTCAACTTTTCTAGTGGAGGGCTCAGTGCGATACAGCAAAAACATACAAAATTCCAGTTAAACATCTAAAGGCCAAACTTCTGTGAATGAAGGAAGACTTCGTGACGCAGACAAACAATGAAAACTTTGACCTCTCGCCTTCGGCAGATCAGGATGAAGCGTCAAAAATATATAATTTTATGTTGACGAACCATAATATATGATCTTCAACTACACCTTTTGCTGTTCATTACGAGAAAATACGCATTCATTTGCGTGAAAAGGCGAACAATTGCGTGCAAATACATTCACTAACGGTAAAAACGATTATTTGCGCGTAAATCAGATTCAATAACGATTTTTGCATTGTAATCAGCATTCAATAATAATTTTGGGCATTCTTATGCGCCATTCGTCAAACAAAAGAGAAAAATATACTTTCATTTGCGTTAACATTCAAGTCATTTACACCATCTTGAAATTCAATAGAGACAATACATAATCAATATCGTGCATAAACCATTCATTAACATTTTTATAACTGTTTACAATTCAATAGCATTCCTGGACGGCATTAGTATGAGAAAGACAATCAATAATGCACTCGTACAAACAATTCGGTGTTTTTTATATTCGATATGCAAGAAGTGATTTTCAACTGAACACCGATTTTGCCAGAACTTGCATTCAGTAAATTTCGTCCCCTTCATTCGCTTTGTAAAGGTTTTCGAACGCAGGCAAAATGCCACGAAGAAATCGAATATCACTCGAACACAGAGAGAGAATCGTAAGAGGATTTGAGGACGAGGAGGAAGATTATCTTGTGGTCGCGGACACGCTCGGAGTGAACCGCTCAACGGCAAGAGGCATTGTGGCGTGCTACATCAGAGAGGGCAGGATCCAGGAAAGACCACGAGGAGGTTGAAACAACGTGCGCGTGGACGAAGAGATGAGAGATTGCCGAGAGGAAATCATAAACGAAAACTGTTTACTCACACTTGCTCGGATAAACAGTGGACTGAGGAGTCGGCTACCACTAAAACCTAAGATCCATGAACGCACCGTGGCAAGGACATCAGACGGGATGCTTTTCCGATTGAAACTTGCAAGGCCCCTCCCTGCGGACAGGAACAGACCTGGTGTGATGAACAAGCGAGTGGATTACGCTTCCTGGTTTATGAACCATGCCGTAGTGCGCCACTGTGTGTTTGTCGACGAATGCGGCTACAACATTTGGACGGCCAGAAGCCACTATAGAGTGCGGCAGGGAGAGAGGGCGTACCGTCAAGTATGCGACGAGGACGAAACTTGACTATGACAATGGCAATTTCGCCGATCAATGGACTTGTGTTTTCCTCAGCAGCTCTTAGCAGAATCAATGCTGCGCGTTTTGATAACTTCCTGGCACAGGCGAGGACAAATCTAGATCCCGACGAGGAGGTGATCTTTGTGTATGACGGAGCACCGGCCCACCAAAACCCGGTCATTCCCGCCCCAAACACAGAGCTTAAAATGCTTCCTCCCCACAGTCCTTTCCCAAACATCGTGGAGCAGGTAATAAGCTGTCTGAAAGCGGCGATCAAGGCTAACATCTCGCGTTCGGAAACTCAAAACGCATGGATAACTGAGATGAGGCCAGAGCCAGAGGAATCCCACTGGGGTAGTTTCGAACACAACTGCTTGAGGCTCTGCACAGAAACATCGACACTGTGACCGCGGCTAAAAGTGCGCAATGGTACCGCTCTATGCAGACCTATCTGCCAAAATGTTTGAATAGAGAGATAATTTTGGAATAGGTATTTTTCAATTGGAATTCGATGTTTGAATATTGAAAATAAAAAACGCTTATTGGTTGTAAAAGCGCATAAATGATTGTCTTATTCATACTTATGCCGTCCAGGAATGCTATTGAATTGCAAACAGTGTGATAAAAATGTTAAAGAATGGTTTATGCACTATATTGATTATGTATTGTCTCTGTTGACTTTCAAGATGGTGTAAATGACTTGAATGAAAGGGCAAATGAAAGTATATTTTTCTCTTTTGTTTGACCAATGACGCCTAAGAATGCCTAAAATTGTTCTTGAATGTTGATTAAAATGCAAAAATCGTTAATGAATCTGATTTACGTGCAAATGATGGTTTTTTGACTCTAATGATTGTATTTCCACGCAATTGTTCGCCCCTTGACGCAAATGAATGCGTATTTTCTCGTAATAAACAGCAAAAGGTGTATTAAAGGAAATAAAGCAATTGTGATATGACGCCGTATAGGCCTATTGGAGTGAGGCTGGAGGCGACCTTGCTGCTCAGCACATTTTGAAAAAGCTAGCTGTAACTGAAAGAAAAGAGGCCGAAAGAAGATTTTCTTCTATAAGTGATGTTTTGTCATTTAAACTAAGCAGTCATAGATCATGGCATCTGAAATAAATTAGTACATCCTGCATTAAGAAATCCGACATGAATCAGTCTCTCATGTTGTTTTCAAGCTTGATTGTATTTGGCACGTTAAAGAACACAGAATTTACGTTACATTGGTATGAAAATTTCTTTTTAGCACTTTACCGATAGTTTTGTACGTAACCAGAAGTATTCTTATTTTAGCACTGCGAGTTGCTCAAGCGTTGACCACAGTGGAGAAGATAGTGATGACTCATCGTCTGATGAAGGCTCTCAGGTATTCATCATTCAATTCTTGCATTTTTATGCAGGCAGAGACCAGTATTCAGTTAGCATGATAACAAAGTAATCTGCATTTGAAAAGCAGTAAGGTTTGTATCATGACTAGACGCAAAGGTGCGTTCACCCGGGGTTTCTTTGTAAATAAACTTTGTTTTTTGCCCTTGCATTTGCCTAAGTTTTTTTATGCAATTATTGGTTTATCCCTTCTGCTCTTGTTTCTAACCTTTTCAAACTTAGAATTAGTATTCCGCTTGGTTCACGATCAAAACCATCAAAGTTCACACTCTGCGATAGTTTACAAACTAAAATAATTCGGCAGGTCGAATTTAACGCTTTTGCCTGAAGTTTTTAATTCAGAATCTTGAAGTGAAATGTTCAGTGAACTTCAGCCGAATTATGGCTCATAAAAACACGCGGGTTTTTTCACATGACAAGGTAGAAACAAACTGTTCAAGGCGAGTGTTTTTTAAATGAACGACAGCCGAATTCACCGGAACATGAAGATCGCTCGGGATGACAGCGCCGCAAAACTCGGCTGCAGTGACTGAAGTGACTTTCCACTCAACACATTGGAAAGGATATCAGAGCGAGCTCTTATTTTTCACTCGAAGGGCGGCAGGATAAGTGAGCCGCGATGGACTTCAGCATGATCATATTTGCTCAGACACCGTCATGATTAGTATGAATTTTAACAATTATGCCAGTTTGATTATATTTTTCATCATTTCTGTTTTGTTCTGTTTTGTTTTTGAACTCTGAACTTTATATACTATACGAGTGTTGGCTGTGTTTGATTTTCATTACCGTACGTAAGCTTGCTATCCAACTGAGCGTGAAAATCTTTAAAACTCGGAATGTCTATTTTGTTTTTCCTTTGAGGATTTTCGTATCTTCCCACGTTTTAATAACGTAAATAACGGCGCCTGGTATGTTTACAAACCTTTCTTTGGTTCTTCTGTTACTACTTGCCGGCTCGCTTGTTCCGAAATTTCACTTTCAATTATCGGAAAAAAGCTAAAAAGAAGTCCCGGAAAAGGTCGAACATGGTACAATTTGGCAGATGGCGTGACAGCTTTAACTCAGTTCTATGCTCTATACTCTCATTGAGCACGCTCTTTCAACCAATGACAGCGCGCGTTATATCCGTACTTTAATATAATATGCTTTTGTCCCAGCTTGTGGATAAAATGTTGTCATTGGAGTCGCAAGTCAAGCAACGAAAACTGTAAATAAAACAAGACTGCAAATAAAGCGTGAATAACGCATCCTTTGGTCGAAAATCGCTTTTTTATTTAGGCGGCAAGTTTTTCTTCCACTTTTAGGTTATAACAACGATGCGATCACACGGGGTCAACGAAGAAACGATAAAACTTCAGGGGAAGTATCTGGTTCGCAATGACCAAGCGTTTTGGCACAGTTTGAAAGTTAAACCTTTTTTTATATTTTCACAAACCTGACTTGGGGTAGGTAACCACGAACACATCTTCAGCTCTCGTTTGGAAATTGGAGATGACGTCGGACAGTAACGTAGGGTTAGGAGTAAAAAATACTGGAATTTTCATGCCTAAAACATCAAAATACTTCTCCGATGTCCACTCGTTTACTTTCACTTGGAATACAGGCAAACTTTCCATTCCCGTTGTGTAAGCAATGCGATTATATGATTCAACAGCAATTGGCCTCTGATATGGCTACGAAAGGTTACGTGACTGTGTTGAAAGCAGGGTCAATTTCTCTAAGTCACCCAATACACCTTATTCCAAAATGGCCGCCAACCGTTAAAAGCTGGGGCGAGTTGCACGAAAACGAGGTCATAAGGGCCAATTGTGTTTGTTCTGTAAACAAAATGCCGTAAAACTGCTGTGTTCCGAATTGCACGAAAAAGGTCTATCGGGAGGAAGACTGGAAGATATCTTTCCACTAATTTCCAAAAAATAAAGACCTATTAGCTGCATGGATTCGAGCTGTTCGAAGAGATGTTGGTCGCCACTTCAGGATATTTTGGCACACGAGGGTTTGCTCGAGACACTTCAAGGATTCAGATTTT